GGCCCGCGCCTTTTCAGCCGAATCACCAACTGTCATGTCTGCTTTTGAGTTTCGACACATTACTGACATGTGCAAGTTTGTTCGTTGCTTATTCGATTGCTTGCTTGTTTCCGGGGCACCCGAATCCGGGATCATGGGGATTAATTGGTCTTTGTCCACGCTGGAAACAAGCTAACACGTTCTAACTTCTCGCCTCAATGCGACTCAGGTAATTGCGTGGCGTCACGAGTCGTCTATGCAGCCGGTCCGAACCTATCATGCCTTACAATGTTTATTCAACACTGAACGTCACCCACCACGTCCCAAGACAACATGGAACGTGAAAATGGCCGAGGAGGCCATGATCTGTCGCTTGAACAGCATCAATGGACCCAGAAGAAGCAAATTAGGGACCACCCCATGAAGTGGATTGACTAATGCGCTGTTCGCTTCCTGTTGGTAGGCATTCATCGTTTCAACCATGGTAAGACACTCGGTGATCAAGTCTGTTGTTCTTGATACATGTAGATGTCATGATGCCACTTCTGAACGAGTCTCGCCCCGCCTACCCTATACTGTCGACTCTACACAACGTCATCCCTCAGACCTTGCCCATCAGGAAAGCAGAGAAAGACCATATATCCCGATGGCTTCGAGGCATTGTGAAATACATACAGAACTCAATGGCGCCTTCAATTTAATGTCAAACTTTACGACTTGAAGCCAGACGTGGCCATGGCGGTAATTTGTTCTACAAAGCGTGTAAGTTGGTGTAAATTCAAAAGTCGATTGAACGAATTCAATTATACACTGCAATCCGTCTTCAAACTGGCATTTGCTGTAGTGCAAATATCTAAATCTCATCTGGACTGAACCGTGAGCCGGCCACCTGGTTCAGTTTCATCAAAACAGAGTATCAATGGCATCTGGTAGTATCGAAGCCACAATCCAACCGACGATACAGCTCAGGGCGTTGTATTCTTGACTGCGCATCGACGACGAGACCGCAATCAAGGCATAAAAGCAAGACGGGCATGCGTCTCAACCTCATGGGTGTTGTCCACATGCAAACAACAGGGGGCCTACAAACATACAAGCACTGGCACATGTGCCATGCCTCTACCTGTACCATTGATTTCGTATCTGGCCAAATCAATCTAAAGAGAAGCGCAAGATACGCCCAGGAAAAGTCGAGACCTTCAATGTACTACCTTATCAGAAGTGCCAACGCTCCATGTTGGAGTCGTGTGTCCGATAACTGTGGAATGCTTAGACACGTTGGCTTCACAGCCATCGGCTGCTTCGATGATTGTAGTTTCATACTAGCGAAGCCAACAGTAAGCAATTCTAAACCCTGTAGTAACTTAATCTTCAAAGCGTATGGTTTGAGTGCTTCCACCGTCCCTCATGCCCAGCACTTGCCTGCTACAGCTTCCTGTGCATGCGGACGGGTACCTACGTTGCCGAAGTTCTACACGAGTGATCTCACATCTGTATGAGGCCGCACTTCCTGCGACCCCCCCGATCATGCGGAAATATTGTTGAGTGCACGGGGGCTCCATGTGTGACCGAGGACCAGCAACCTGTGAGACCTGTGATTGAGCTAGCCACATGACTCCGGCGGTTCTAGACTAAAGGTGCACGGCCGCATTATAGATGCGGGAAGTTTCTTGTTCGGATAAGTAAGTCTGGCTTCCAAGCAAGCGGCTGTTATCGCGAGATTTGTGCCCCATAATGAAGAGAAACTTGCCTCACTCTGCCCACAATCACATGCACGACCACCTCGACAGATCCAAACAGCCACGTAGGGAGCTGGCACATTCTGGTAGACCTAGAGCGTCGCACCTCGCGGCAAAAGAGCTTTTGCTCGCCCGTATTCACCAGGAGTTCTGCTGTGTGACATGTGGAGTCGTGAAGGTCGCGGGAACTGAGCATAATGCAGTAGCTAAGCGGTCGGTCGTTTCAAAGAGACCGCAAGATGAGGCAAACCCAGGCCGTTTGGATATCGTTGGCTGTTGCTGGCTGCCGGGGCGGTCAGTGTTCGATGTCAGCTGATCTTCTGAAAGCCAGATACGTCCACTCAGGGGCTGCGTTGGGTTTGGAGCTGACGTCCGCCACCTGGACATGCCAACATACTATGTGTTCTTATTGTATGTGATCTTGGGACCGATATTGCATCCTCTCGATTGCTCGCCGTCGGTCGCCTGCAATGCGAGTGTCTCCAGAGTTTCAATCACACTGCGAAGTCATGAAGATTCCGACGCTCCCATTCTGCCACGAATAGCCGAGGGAGGACTGGGGAGCCGGCCCTATCGCGACGACGACGCCGAAAATGCGATTTGTAATGTGAATCGGGGAGTTAAAATTTCTCCTCCAACAAAACAATGAGGACCAGACTGCTGCCGATGAGGCGAGGGCGTCTGGCCATGCGGACGTGTGGCGTGGTTAGACGGGAACATAAACATGCGCGATGTTTATGGAGGACGATTCGACGAATATACCTCCTGTGCAACTATAGCGGGACAGTCGCGATGACTACTATGGTCAACCATGACAGTAGGGCCGGGTGCTATGCTGTTGATGAGACAGAAAAGACATCATGTCGTTAACATAAACAGAGCAAGCCAATGAACCGTAGCCTGGTAAGTGGAACCCTGAAGGTCTTCCCAGAGCTGTTCGGCCGCTCTCTGTCACAACTGTGATGAATTGTACTACACATATTTAGCCCTAGTTATTAGACCGTCGTGCGAAGCGTACGTATGCTTTCGACGCGAAGCAAGCAACATGCTAGTCGTTGACAGTGGGTTCCTCACGCTAGTTGATTACTTAGTGCACGAAAGGACATTCTTGACAGTGGTTGAATGAGAGCCAGTGCTAGGCACCTAGGACTGTCGAGAATGGAGTGAGGGACTTGAGACTCGACTTATTAGAGAGTCCAGACTGGAGTCGAGAGACTGGCGATCGAACCCCTGGAAGGTTGGAAGCTAAAACGGGCGGGAAAAAGGATGGGCCGGGGACGGGAGCGGGGCGATGGGAGATCCCCTGTCAAAAGCTGTGATAGAGCAGCTGATTGGCGGCAGGAACAGGCACACCTGCATGAGCCGTGGCCAATGGCAGGCGCCAGCTGGGGTCGGCGCTTCGACAACCGCTTCGATTGAACGTCGTCCCTCGACAGCCCCGCTCGCCCTCTCAACCTCAGCCCAACCACACGCCATTGTGCCTGCTCTCGCGCTTCTTCGCTCTGTGGCTCTCTCGCCTCGAGCTGCTCCTGAACGCTGACTCGAGGACTCGAAGAGGCCCCGAAGAGGCCCCAGACGGTAGACTCGGCGCGGACTCGGCTCTTGGGGCGGCGATTGCGCCTGAACCGAGCCTCTCTATCAATGGCCCAAGGTACTGCTGTTCACCGCGATAGCACATGTAGAGCATCGCTGGGACTGGACACGAGAGGATACCCGTCATGCCAGGGACTGCTTTACGTTGCCGGCTCGCTCGACCGCGCATGCTGCTGTGCGACTGCTACTCCGCGAAAACGCCGACTTTGTTACTGCGTGCCATGGTGGAGCATGAAGCCATGTTGTGCGCCGCCAGAGCCATGAGTCCGGAGTTGCAGTGCAGTGCAACACAGCACCAGCCAACAACATCCATTATTACATACGGCGCCCAGCCCAGCTACTGCAGTCAACGTGACATGTCTGGGAACGGTGACGCTAATAGCACGAGGGCATTACAATATGCGAGGTGGCACTGCCTGCTATGGTCTAATTCGAGGCGTGGATAGCCAGATGTGCGTCGTCGAAACATTTGCTCCCCCAAAGCTCTCCAGTCTTAGCCATCTGCTATGGACGAAAGTGATTCGCGAGGGGGACCCTTGGTCATGCATGACCATGCATCGTCCTTCTAGTCTTGGCTCCCGGACTGTATCCGCCCTGGCTTGGTCCAAGTTGGACTTGACGAGTTGGCGTCCGCAGACAGAGCTCTAATTTATGTCCTCCGTCCACTGGCAGGCCACCTCGCCATCGTCTAGGCGCCTTGCTCTTCCTCCTTCCTCCTCATGACATGGATGCAGCAGTGCCCTCGAAATATGGTATTGACAGTTAACTATTGCTCTTCCTGCCTTTGCCGTGCCTTTCTCTCCCCTTCACTTCCCCCCCGCTCTCCGCCCACCACCAAGCGATCAAGTGCGACAACTCAGCCTTGCTGTCGAGGCTCGACAGTCACATCAGTCACTGACTAGGTACGGAACCCATCACACTACCCTTGCCGCGAGGGTCACCTCCAAGTCCCCAGCTTGCTGCATCTACAAGCGCCCGACCCACCCCTACCTCTCCCGATCGGGCAATCGTCGTGTCTGGTCTTGCGCTGTGCTTGTCACTCCTCCTGCAAAACCGCCACGAAGCCCACACCTGGCCGGTCGCTGGCCTCTCCTTACTCTTCCAGCTCCTCCATGCTGCGGCCATACCTTCTTTTCCAGTGCACATTCACCGAGACAACCTGTGCATCGGACCGTGGGCAACGACAGTTGCTGTTGGACTGATACACCTCAAACGCACAACCAAGACAGCTTCAACAGTCGAGACAGCTCGACAATAATATCAACAACATCGAAAACTGCAGAATTGACACATTCGACACTGGCTGAAGGGTCAACGTCGAGGAATTTTCCCGCCGATTCGGGTTGTCGAAACACTTGGACGGCTGGGAGACGCTCGGAGGCGCGGGCAAAGCTGCGGTTCCATGTTCAAGTCGGCATCCGGAATCTGAGCAACACTCAGATCGCGTACCGACCGAGCGACGGGCAGCAGCGCACCGGCAGCCAAGTGCAACGAACCGGCAGCGACGGTTTCACAAGCCTGGACACCAGAATCTGCACTCACGGCTCGTTGCGAACGACGGTATCAAGGGGAGGCTCATCGCAGTGCACCTTGGTTCTGCCGCTTCCCGACTAAGCGACTGAGCGATACTTGTTGGGATAAGACCCCAGTCAACGATAGAGGGCAGGCCAGTACCACATTAAGCCCAGCATGTCTGCACCCGCCGCACCAAGGAAACGCGCCGTCTCGATGAGCTCTGGTAGGTCGAATGGCTCGCGACAGGCTCAGGCGCAGGAGTTCAGTACGATGCCGTCCACGCAGGAGCTCCGATGCTTCGATCCCTGTGCCGCTACGGGGTCCATGTTCCTATACGCTCAGGGAACCTCAATCGTATGCTGCCATCACGACACCCTATCAATCGAGAGGCGGTTCTCCAGGCATTCGGAAGAGGTTTTGTTGCTGGCTGTGGACAACCAGAGCGAACATGGCAGCGGGCGCTATGTCGTCAGTTATGATGCCGGGCAAACTGCCATTGTCTGGGACCTGATGACAGGGGACGAGATCACACGGTTTGCCTCGTACGGTTATCTAACAGCCGTAGCATGGATGCGCAACGGCAACATCGCATTCGGTGAGTGGTTTTGTCGGGGAATTCTATGGGCAACGTATCGCTAATCGTCATGGTAGGTAATTCGCAGGGCAGCATTGTGCTGTTTGAACCACAAACATCGGAGCATATCTCGACGAGGACGTTGGATCAGATCGCCGTCACCGCACTGGCACCGTCCGCCGATTGCAGGACGTTTGCCATTGGGTATGCTTTACGAAGTCCGGGACGGGATGCAAGACGAGGCTAACCAGTGGCCAGCTATCAAAACGGGTCTCTACTCATCGCCACACTGCAGCCTCGCTTCACGATTCTCCACAACCTCACAACGTCTCGTTCCCCCTCCCCCATCGTCACATTATCATGGCATGCATCGTCATCTCGCCAAAAATCGGACATGCTGTCCACGCAAACGTACAATGGTGATTTGCGTGTGTGGAGTGTGGCAAAGTCGTACAATGCCGATGATCCGGCCAAAGTCGTCCGCATCTTGAAAAGGTCTGAGAACATGTCAGAAGGCCCAAACTGGATGGGGTGGTCCAAGAACGGGCGTATTATCCAATACTCGGACTCGTGAGTTTTCTTCTTCTTCTCCAACTGTGCGCGTGTGTCGGGCATGCTTCGACTCGCTGACACAAACTACTTGCAGTCAAACACTATCCTGGGACGTGCGAACAAAACATGTCACCTCAGACGACATCCCGACATTGGAGCATGTCAAGGGTCTGGCTGTCTGGGGTCCCGGTGCCAGCCTGTTCACCCTGGGCCCCAATAACACCGTCCAGCAATTTGACCTCAACTCACCTTCCATCATGGTGGCCAACGTGCAACATCCCGCCAATCTGCTGCCACCCTCGCCTCCAAACTCCATCGAGGAGCCTACCGACAAATCAGCACATTCCACCACCACTATCCACACGTCTGAGTCTGAGAGCAGCAGCATCCCCCTGGAGATGGGCGTATCGGAGAGCGACGAGGACCAGATGCCACCAATGGCTCGCTTCCAGCGCCAGCTCGCCCATGACTCCGGTAGCGAGACACCATACGGGGCAGCGAGTCCCGTATCGAATCGTAGTGGACTGACTTCCAACTCCATGTCCTCGGCAGGATCCGGCACGCCGCGACGCTACCCAGGATCTCTGCGCTCACGCGGGATGAGTGAGAGGACGTATATCTCAGCAGGCACCTCGCTCAAGTCCTCGACCATTGGGCGCAACCAGCCAGAGGCGGACATTGATTCTTACTCCATGGGATACTCCATGGGGACCACCAGCACCAGCATTGCCACCGGGTCCTCGACGCGATCCAGGCAGCGCCCTTCACGACTTCGGAATGAGGTGCCGAGGAGCCCAGACGCCAGCAAGGTGCACGACCTGTTCAAATTCACCCGGGCGCGCTTGAGTGATCTGGCCTACAAACATCCTACCCAGTTGGACAAGTCGCGCCTCACAAACGATAACCTGAGCCGGCAGATGCTCAGTACGATTTTTGGCTGGCACGACACTGCGGATGCCCTGATTCGCGATGAGATGGCGAGACACCCCACGGGCTCACCAAGCCGCATTCTCCTGGCCAAGTGGCTCGGGGATATGGACACGGACATACTCGCTGCCAGCACCGAGAACATGACCTCGTCAGACTGGATGCTGCTCGCTCTCAGCGGTTTTGGAGGTCACTCATCGCAGCACAAGCTTGGCCGTACCTACGTGCAGAAGCTTCTCGAGAGCGGTGACGTGCATGTGGCCGTGACGATTATGCTGGGCATGGGCGACCACAACGACGCCATTGAAGTCTACGTCTCCCACAGACGATACATGGAGGCGCTGATCCTCGCGTGCCTGATCTTCCCGAGCGTTTGGGAGCGACAGGCGGCCATCATCCGTAAATGGGGCGAGTGGGCAGTTCAACATCGCCAGCAGCAGCTAGCCATCCGTTGCTTCGCCTGCACCGACCAAGAGCCGACTGAGATGTGGACGTCGCCATCTGCGACCCAGCTAAACTTTCAAAGCATGAACCCCAGCATCCCCGAGGTGCTGAGCCCGCCCCTGTCCCCTCCAGGGGTTCAGCGTGGGCCTCAGCGCAGCATTGCAAAGACGTCTGCCTTGAAGCTCATTACGACTTTTGGCGACCAGCCCAAGAAGTCCAAGTTCTACCTGCACGGCGACGATGTGCAGACCCCCATCGCTGCGGCCCAGACTCCTATTGCCGAGTCCGCCGTGTCGCCTGGCGGTACGCACGAGGCGGCGACGGCCGTCCTCCGACCCTCCAACAACAGTCGGTTCAACACACCAACGTCTGCTCGGCCGCGCAACCGCCTCCCTTCCATTGGCGAGATGCCGTCAAACCTCAACAGAGACGAGCTGCGAGCCAACGTGCCGCCACCTCCCCCGCCAGCCCCAGCCGACGTACACGGCCACATGCGTCGCGCTTCGTCTGGGCAGGACAACCTTGCCACAGGCAAGGCACTGCACCGCGCTGCCACTGCAAGCCCCATGATGATGCGGGAGCGCTCGAAAGGGATGATGCAGGACCATGGAGAGCGTCCCCCACCGCCCAATCAGGACTTCATGGCCAAGGTGCGTGACATTCGGGCTAACCGCCGCAATGGTTCGCGGGACCGCATTCCACTGGGCCTGAACCTGGAGCTCCATGCGCCGGCTGTCAACCAGTACGAGCAAGAGGTAACCTCGCCCGATCACTCTGCCGCCTCGTCCACACGCTACCACTGGCCTACGCGTCGTCGCGGAGCGGGCTCGGTTGCTAGCTCTGTGACATCCAACTCGAGCGCTGGGCGCAGTCTGCGCCACGGTGCTCGCCAGCGAGATGACTACATCCACAGCCTAGATGCCGCACAGCGCTACCCCAAGAAGAGAGGCGCTCACAGCAAGGAACGTAATGCCTCCCGGGGCCGTCATGGGAGTCACAGTCGTGAGAGGATGCCCGTGTCTCGTGATCAGTCGGAAGACCGTGGTCGCGGAGCCATCCAGACGTGGGCCAAGCCAAAGAGATCGCCCACATCCCCGATCCCCATGTCGCCCGAGGACCTGGCGATCTTGAGCACGCCTCGAGTGTCCGAGGCTGGTGACCCCATGACTGTGCGCAAGGCGAGCAACAGTATCAGCTTCAAGCCCAAGGCCACCAAGAGCCGTAACTCGAGCCGAGGCGGCAGCCGCAGCCGCCGGCAGAGCCCGGAAGGCAGACAGCGACCTCAGCTTGCCATTGACACACGGGGCCGGAGCAAGGGCCGCGATGGTTCCCTGTCCCGGCCACGTTCACCGTCTTCGCCCGTCCCCATGTCCGCCACGGCCGCCAGCCACTACCAAGGGTCCGAGGACGAGGAGGACTACAAGAAGGCCATCAAGGCGCAGGAGGAGTTCCGCGCGAGGCACAATGGAAGCCGCGGGCCCATGTCGCCTGCCGTGTCGCGTCGTGAGAACGCCGATGCACGCCAGCGCGATGCCTCGGAGGCTCGCGACATCCTTCCGCCTCTTCAGACGGTCCGAGCCAACTCGACGGAGCACGCCGGCGACCTGCGCCGCATGAAGGAGGAGAGACAGCGGAAGAAGGAGCAGGCGGCAAAGGAGCTGGAGGAACGCCGCAAGTCTCTCGCGCAGCGGTCGCGGACACCTTCGATTCCTCATCCCAGCCAGTACTCGCCTGCTTTCCCACGGGTGGGCGTGGAGATGTCGGAGCCGAACGAGGAACATCTACCACCTCGGTGTGCCACGGAGCCCCCCAAGAGTATGTACGCACGCGGGCCTCATATCGGCCTGCCAGCGACACCAAAGGCCATGCGCCTCGTTGTCGAGTCCGACCATAGCAGCGGCCATGAAAATGGCAACCGGCACCAGCAGGGGGCGCAACAGCAGCCAGCCGCTACTGAGTCTGAACCCGCGGTGCCTCCCATCCCGGCCACGTTCGCCCAGAGGCGCACACCCAAGGCCTCTCCTAGCAACTCTCCCGACAAGGAAAAGGGGAAGGAGAAGGAGAAGGAGGAGTCGCTTCTGACTCTGTTGCCCTCGACCGTGTACCAGCCCCCGACCAGGCCGTTCATTCCCCGGAGCATGTCTGCTCCTATCCCCGACGATCCTCCGTCGACGAAACATGGGCGCAAGGGCAGCGTAGGCGAGCTGCGCGGCATTGACGAGGTGATTGGCGTGCCAGGCCGCCGGAGATCGCAGGAGGAGGCTCTGGTACCGCCGCCGCCGCCTCCCGCGCCTTCAGGGCCCCCGCCTCCCATGCTGAGGGAGCTGCAACATCTCGCGTCGCCTCCGCCTCCACCTCCTGCGCCGTTGCCCCATGCCAAGAGGGCGCCAGGATCAGGGGCAGCTTTACCGGCGGGCACGATCGAGATCGTCATGGACGAGGACGAGACCTCCGCACCGGACGACGGCGTGGCTTCCGGTCCTGCACCGCCCGCTCCCAGCTTCAAGGGCCACAGCCGAGGTCGCAGCGAGACGGGCAGTCTTTCCGGTCGATTTTCCAAGGCAACCGAGCGCCTTCGCTCTGCTAGTCGCGGACGCAAGGATCGTGGCATGAAGTCTCCCCCCACGGAGGCACCGTACGAAAGTGTCCCGATGCCATTCCACGTCAAGACCCCGGGGCCGCCGCCCGTGCACTACGATCCTGATGTGATCCGGTCGCCTGTGGAGGGACCGAGGATGTCGCACATGTCGACGGGCCTTCACAAGAGCGAAATGTTTTGATTTGGTTATTCACAAACGATACCATGTTGCCTTTTTCTTTTCGCTCTGCTCTGTTTGTCTTTTTTCCCCCCTTCTTTTTACTTCTATAGTGCAATTTTGCCCAGAATCTGTGTGCACAGCGTGGATGGATGGGGGGCATGAAGGACAGGATTTGTTCCATGAAAGGGGGTTCTCGGCATCGGTACAATGCCTTCATAGGCATGCCTGGCGACGACTGCATTTTGCTATTTACTTTTTACTTTATGATTCATGATTGCAAAAAGGAGGGAGGGCGGGCGAGCGGCGATGTGCTCGCAGCATCCCAGGAGAACGTGACTCCTATGGCTTTTTTTCGACTACAATGCTGCCTCGCGGCACCTTGTTGAGATATTTGGGGGATCAGGACTAGTGTAGATAGTGGAATCGAACATTGAAATACAGTGTAACAAGTGTGTCCAAGGACTATTCTTCAAGAGGGTGGTGCTGCGAGTACGTACATCAAGAGGCACTCGCGAACACGCTCAGTAGCAGCCGTCAGCGTTCGACTCAGCCATTGCAACGCCACACGGTCTTTTAAGAATGCGACCAATACATCAAAAGAATGCGCATCGCCCAACAAAGACCCCGTGGCATTTCCAAGGAAGATTACCAGTCCCAACGTGCGAAAGGGCAAAAAAGGAGTCGGCATCACCAACCTAGTCCACTCACCCCAAGCCCCCCGCGTGCGTAATCCAACCCGCCACGCGACGGGGGAGAAGTCTCTGCAGAGTGAAACCTCCCTGAAGGGTCATCTCCAGCTGCTTAGGGCACGCGCCAGCATCGCAGGTTGCCCATGCGAGTGGGCGGCCACCGCAGCGTTCGGGCTGGGCGCCGTCGGGGGGGATCTAAATGGAAATGGGGTTGAGCGGAGAAGGCAATTGTGAGCCTCCTACCATTAGACCATGACAGCCAACAGTAAACCCTGCAACAACCGACTATATACCTAAAGCCAGCACCTCCAATTGAACCACTCACGACCTTCCTCACTGCAGCTACACACCCCCATGACCTCGCCCACGCTTGTCTCCATCACAGCTTCACCTTCAGCTTCTCTAGCATGGATGGCACGATCATGATCTGACATTCGACACTCGATTGCCGCGCTCCTAACCATGCTCACGACGATGCCTCGCCTCTACACGCGTCGACCGTCGCCCACCACGGCCGAGTTCACCGTCACCACCCTGCCCCCACCAACGATCCCCTTGCGCATTCTACGCGTCCTCCTGCTCGCGCTGCGCGTCGCCCTCGTCCTGCTCACGGCGCTCGCCCTCCACGCGCGATGGCTCAGCAGCCCCTACGCCCAGCATTCCTTGTCCACGACGTGCCCCACGGGTGACGGCTGGTTCAGCCTGGAGGCCGTCTGGTACGCGCTCGACACGCTCCACAAGTCAGGCCTGGGACAGCTCGTGGGAGGGCTGGTAGAAAACGTGCCGCTCGTCGTCCTCCTCCCCGTGGCCGCGGCGCTCTGCTACCTGCTGGCATTGCGGGTGCACACGACCGAGTCTCTCCTCGTGATGCGCGGTCTCGGCATGCAGACGAGCAGTTCGCCCGCGACGTACCTCGCCAGCGCCACCTCGCGCTTCATACCGACGGAGAAGATACGGGACGTTTTCGTCAATGAGGCCTTTAGGGGGTTCGAGGTGCGGTACTACCTGATTGTCGTCGTCGAGGGGGAGGAGAATGTCGTCGTCGTGTTCCCCCGGCTGTTGCCGCGCAGGGCCATTGTGGAAACGGTCTGGCGATGCGCACGGGCGTGCTTATACGAAGGTCGGTGCGGCGACACGACGGAGGAAAAGGGGTGAAAACGCGCGGCCTTTGTTGTACTACGTCTTGATTTACGCTGCTGTGCGGTATCGAGGGAGTCTACTCGCCCGTGTCTTGGTCCATCTTGTCCTGCTTGCTACCATACTTGGCCTCGTTGAGCTCCGCCATGGAACTGTACCCCTTTCGCTTCGCGTAGCGATCTGACTGCTCCTGCGGCGTCTCCATCTTGAGCATGTCCATGACGGGGATGTACGTGCCCATCAGCCGCGCGCCGTTGCCGCCCTCAAAGCGCTGCGTCGACCAGGGTTTGGGCTTCGTCTTGGACACGGCTACGTCCGGGATCTGGACGGTGGTTGTTTCTGGCTTCCGTGAGAGCATCTGCAGGAAGCCGTTGGCTAGAATCTCGTCCATCTTCCTGTCCCTCCATACCCGCCACGCTGAGTCGCCGAGCGTCACCGACAGAGCGTTCTTGCTGCTGTCGACCTCGTCGTCAGCGTGTAACCAATCGAGGTTCTTCTCACTCGCCTGCGGATCCCGCGCCGCGCCCTCGCCGACAAACTTGCAGTCCCACAGCACCAGCGGCACCTCGTCCGCCATGGTGTAGGTGGGTCGACGAGGGTTGTTCTCGACATCAAGAAGTCTGTCCACAATGTCTGGTGTCTCGAGACCTTGTCCGACATTGAAGAGAATGGCAATCATATGACGAATCTGGTGCCATAAGAACGCCGTGCCTCGAACCTTGAAGTAGTACACCTTTGGTAACTTTTGCAAGCCGGGGGCGACGTCTATGGGGATCTCGCGACCGGGCAAGGGGAAATGCGACGACATGTCGTCCGCCTCGTATATTGCCGCTTCCATGATGAACCTCCTGTAGTTTGTAATGTTCTTGGCCGGATCAACCTTGCAGAAGTTCCGAAAATCCCGATCGCCTTCGAACCGCTTCGCCGCGTCTTTCATTGCTTCGATGTCTAGCCACCCGGGGTGTTTCTGTTTGCGAGGCACTGTCATGGGCGGGTTGTATGCCGGCTGCGTGAAGAAATACCGATACTCTCGTTCCTGACAGGAGAACCGCGCCGAGAAACCTTCAGGTGGTGAAGGGCACCAGGCCATGACGCGGATGTCCGCCGGCAGGATACGGTTGAGAACCCTGGCATACGCAATCTCGTGCTTGATGGGATCAAAGGGCGGTCGCTCGACAGGCTCAGGCTCGGGTTCGGGCTCGGGCCGGCTCACATCCAAAGGCGACGACGCCGCCTCCTGCTCGGCCGCCTTCTTCTTCTTCTCCTTTCTCGGCTTCTTTCCAGGCACCGGCCGTGCGCTGCGGACGCGGAGGGCGATGACCTGGCCGAATGCGCTCACGCCGCGATCTGTCCGGCCGCACTTGGAGTACTCGCAGCCACTAAAGTCCACCACGTTTGGATCCTTGGGGAAGATGAGGCAAGCCTTTGTCAGGGCCTTGAAGAGTTCCTCCTCGATGGACGGCGTAGCGGTGCTCGCTGCGTACTCAAACGCCCCATAATTGCGTCCCAGGTAGGCCAGCTTCAAGGCAATGTACCGCGTGTTGTAGTTGGCAGCGTCAAGCTTCGGCGCATCCTTTCTCTTCTTCGTCGGCGGCGCCTCGGGCAGACTCGATCCTTGGCGCTTCGCATAGGCGTCGATCTCGCGCAGCCGCTTGATGAGGCTATCCTTTGTCCACTTGTCGTAATCGTCAGGCAGTTTTGTGGCCTCCATCGTGGTGATGATGGCAGGCACAGATCGCCGCGCGTAGTGACGAATAAGGACCTTGGGTGTCAACAGTTTGGCACAGCTCTGCAGGCTGCCGCTTGGAAGGTGCATATGTGACAGAGGCTTTTCTGGTGGGCCTTTCACCTCATACACCTGCTCGCCTTGGGAGACTCTCTCTCCTTCAGTGTGTGAGTGAGTGGCGGTTGAGAATTCGAGGTGTGGCGCGTGTGGCTGACAGCCACACGCCAAGCTCGCTGACGGGTGACTACCCTAAACCACCGTCGTCACACTCTAATGAAACCAGCAGCCTCGTCGTCTCTGGGGGACCTCATTGGCATATCTCCATGATTCATATAAGCAATGAATAATATTGTAGCAGTGAGTGGCACTGATAACCACACCTGCACCTGTTTGATGGTAATTGGCAGTGTGACACAACTCTATTACGGCGTTATCTTTGTCCCGGAAAGGCTGTATCGTGGGGTAACAATTGATACTACACGTACCACGGAATCTGTCCGCTGTTTGGTTCATTGTCAGATACTCTCATCACATATCTTACAAACAAGCAAGACACAATGGAACACGAAACCATCAGATTATTGCTAGTAGGAGACGAGAAATGCGGCAAGACAACCTTTCTTTCGTACGTATCGGCCTGCGATGTACGCTTCCTCGACGAAAACTGGCTGACCCAACATCACAGGCGCCTCAGCGCAGGAGAGCACACCAACCCGATCCCACTGCTACGCAACATTGACCAGCCCTTTGTCTTCGAAATCAAGCTCGGCGTCAAAGAGTATAGACTCGAGTTCTCCGACACGTCGTCACCGGACAGCTGGCGGCTGCTTGACCCCGATGTTGTGATCATTTGCTACGATATCAGCCAGCGTCTCAGCCTCATCAATATGAAGCGCTTTGTACATGCGCCATCACTCAGACGTGACATTAGCACCTGCTGACAGTACCAGTGGATTGACGAGGTCAAGCGGACATTTGAGCGCATAGACTCGCTGCCCATTGTGATTGTAGGGCTGAAGAGGGACCTGCGATCAGAAGACGACCCCAACGGCATCATCTACCCACACGAGGCATACGCAGCCGCGCAGGAGCTGCGAGCTGATCGATATGTCGAGTGCTCCGCGGTGACAGGGGAGTTGATCAAGCCGGCTTTTGAGGACATATGCAAGACGGCCATCAACACATCGACAGCAGCCGGCGGCCAGACTGAAGGTGGCTGTACAATACTGTGATTGACACGCCTCACGGGCACCCATCAAGCGGCCTGGCCCGCGTCGTCCATGGCAACGTCGCCTTCGCCATTCTCCTGCGGAGCCTCTTTGGCTGGTTCAAAGGCGCCCAGCACCTCGGTGATGATGGTGACAAGCTCCTCCTGCTGGGTCTCATCGAAACGATCGGCCATGTCCTCTACAATGACATTGAGTGCAACCACATTGGCAGGCCGGAGGTTGAGGATCATGACCACCTCTCCCTTGGACAGATCATAGGGCCGCAGGCGTTCCAGTAGCGTGGGGATGGACTGAACTGTATATGGAGAGGGCTTTTGGCTCATGGGACTGGGCGATGCCTCGAGCCAGCTGCTGAGCTAGCAGGGTATCATTAGTATGCTACTAGGATCGAAGACGCGCGCTCAAGGGAACACACCTCTTTGACGACAGTTTCGTAGTTGGGTGGGCCACGATGGCGACTTTTCTTGTACTGCTCTCTCTGTTGCAGGACATGCTGATGGACCTCAAAGTTAGAGAGTACTGCAGACTGGGCTTCGAGAACCTTCATTGTGGTTTAATGGCAGGCTGCTGCTGCTGCTGCTGCTGCTGCTGAGTTTGCGATAATGATCACACCCCGTTTCAATGAAGCAAGTTTTCCTCGAGTGTGACCATGGCAGCATTGAAGTGAGTCTGACGGACCAGACACTTTCGGCTCGGACCCATTAATGCAGGCTCCAGTACCCAATCATCGGCGGGCCTTTCCCAAATGGCATCACGCTGCAGGGACCGCACCTGCCACCACAGGGCTCTGATGGCGGCTTGTCAGTGGTTAACGTCGATAGTCGTCGCGCAAGCCACTGTAGCACAGCGTTCGCAGTTTCCCTGCAGCTGTGCGACAGGCGGTGGCATGCTGGAATTGACGGGTCTGAGTGGTCAGCCTGGGCGAATCAGATGGTCGCTATTGCCCTTCTTAGGCTGTTTCTTCCTCCAAAAACAGAGAATGGCTGGAACCCTTTTGGAGCCGAACCGACCGACTTTTTCTTACAGGCCCGGCAGCAGCCGTCAGTTCAATCAACAAGCACACCGTCTTGGAGTTTGTTTCAGTCCGTTGCGACAAAAACGTCTTCTGCTACCATCAATCTGGATACCTTCTTCTAGACCGCAATTAATTTCCTGCATCATGAACAAGGTGTGAGAAACGTCCTTCATCGTAACTGTACGCACATCCCTGCCCCGACCGGCTCGATCTCGACACGCCGGCATCGGGTCTATCTCCAACAAAAAAAAGTTCGACGCGCACGGCGCCTGACGTCGCTTCAAGGTCCGCATCGACCTCCCCCACCATCGTTCTCGGCTCTTGAGCCCTTTTCCGGCCACACAATCGCCATTGCGTCGTCGCATAGCTTGTCACTTTGAGAGGTATGTTCCAGTAGTCCAGGCTGGCTGAACTGCGACGCTGACAATTGGCGCAAGGCTCAGTCGAGGACGGAGCGACGACGACGACGACGGTCACGAAGAAGACGGCTACAAATCCTTCCTCCAGCCAGGGTGGGGTGAACGCAAAGAAAAAGAACCGGCCCTTCTTTGTGTGTCAAGGACAACTCGAGCACCGAGGCATCAACAAACAAACACCAACCACATCATGGTTCGCAACATCTGCCTGCTGGGTGGGAACTCCCACCCGCAGCTGACCGACAGTGTCTGCAACATCCTCGGCATCCCGCCGTGCAATCGCATCCTGAGCAAGTTCTCCGGAGGTGAGAGCCGCTGCGAGATCAAGGACTCGGTCCGCGGCAAGGATGTCTACATTATCCAATCGGGCTCCGGCAGCGTCAACGACAACCTCATGGAGCTATGCATCATGATTTCAGCGTGCAAGACCGGCTCTGCGAAACGTGTTACCGCCGTCGTCCCGCTCTTCCCATACTCCCGACAACCCGACTTCCCCTACAACAAGTCTGGTGCGCCCTTGTCCGGCTCGTCCAACGGCCACGCGCAGAAGAAGGACTACACCTTTGAGAGCGTGCCGGCCACTCCCCGGCCAGGCGGCCCTCGCAGCAGTGGCCTGTTGAATGGTGTCAACGGCCTTGCCGAGAAGCTGGCCAAGACAGCGACCGTGGACAGACAGCCCAATGGCAACGAGCAACATCCTCCCAAGCGCTCTGATACTGCCTCGAGTCTCAGCTCCAACACGAGCCGACACCAGCCCGACGGCTCGCTCTCGTCGCAACCCAGCTTCACGACGCACGACTATGAGAAGCCTGCCCACAGCGTTGGCTTCCAGGCGAAACCCGGCTACAAGCAGTGGGTGGCGCTGGCCGGCACGCTCGTCGCCGACCTCCTGACCTGCGCCGGTGCCGACCACATCATCACCATGGATCTCCACGACCCGCAGTACCAGGGCTTCTTCGACATTCCCGTGGACAACCTGTACGGCAAGCCCCTGATCCAGAACTATATCCAGCAGTACATTCCCGACTATCGAGACGCTGTGGTGGTCTCTCCCGACGCTGGAGGTGCCAAGCGAGCCTCGCTCATCCGCGATAGCTTGGACATTGATTTCGCTCTGATTCACAAGGTACGTTTGGCCTGTAGCCCACCACCATGATCGCCCTGCTCACATGAACGCCAGGAACGACGTCCCATCAAGTACACGGAGCAGCGCAACGCCAGCATGATGCTTGTCGGCGACGTGTCAGGCCGCGTGTGCATCCTCGTCGACGATCTCATCGACACCGGCAACACCATCACCCGTGCCGCCAAGCTTCTGAAGAATGAGGGCGCCACCAAGGTCTACGCCCTCGTCACACACGGCGTCTTCAGCGGCGACTCCATCCCCCGGATCAATGCCTCGTACATTGACAAGATCATCGTCACCAACTCCGTGCCGCAGGATGAGCACAAGAGGCTCTGTCCCAAACTCGAGGTGCTTGACATTTCGGCCGTCTTCGCCGAGGCCATCCGTCGTGTGCACCACGGCGAATCCATCAGCGTTCTTTTCCAGTACAACTGAGCGTATCTAGTTGTTCGTCATACATGCAAATGGGTTCGGTTCACATGGTCCACCAGTCGCCAGGGATTCAGGCCACCCAATACCGGAGTTTGAGGAGCTTTGTAATCGGGATTTCATGTCAATTTCTGTTTTGCTTCAATTAGGTGGTCGGGGTCGCGAGACTCTTGCAATCAAACAAGTCATCAAAGTCTGAGTACACACTCAGGACTGGTACGCTCGCTGTAGTTACACTAATACCCATGCACTCGCCATTGTCGCCAGCTCGGTTGAGATTTCCCAGCCATGAGTGTTTGCCACGCGCTTGTAGGCCCGTACAGCCTCGGAGATGCTGTAGCACGCCTTGTCACTCGCGGAGAGGCTGCGCAACCTCGCCGGCCGCTCCGTGTCGCACAAGTCAAGCCTGACCTGGAACAGAGCCTTCTCGATGCTCAATGCCGGGCTCCAGCCCGAGCTGGTGAGCAGCTCGGCACAGATAGCCCCTCCCGTAGTAACGTGGTCGCCACCGCCGCGGGCGAACTCCAAGAAGAGAGGGCGGACGACGCGGACGAAGGGAGGTGTAAGACGATAATCAGCACCTGCAAAGACCTCTAGCATGATGCTGTTGCACCTCTTGGCTTTCATATCTCGGGCAAGGGGCAGGGCCTCATCGAAGCTGTGCAGCTCGACAACCCGCCGGAAAAGAGTCGCGGCTTCGTCCAACTGTGTTAAAGTCGATAGACCAACCTAGCTCGGCAAGATCCGTCTCGTCCTGAGTCTTCATCATTTCCCTTCGCTCCTGAGCCAGCCTTCTGGTCGCGGTCATGGGAGCCCAGCTGGGTCCAGGCAATTTGGGCAGCTCATTCAAGGACTCCAGGCTCAAAGTCTGTATCCAGCCGCCGCCGCTTTGTCGCCTCGTGATTGGTATTGTCGAGAAATCCATCAAGATCTAGTCCTCCGAACTTGACAGAGAGACTGGCGTCTTGATCATCTGCGCTCAGGGAGGGGCGCTTGATGGAACCGGAAATTTCCCTTTTCGCGCAACTGGACTGTGCCATCTGTGTATTACCTTCGTGTCTAGGCACAGCAGACGTTGGAATCCGGAGAGCCAGTCCATTGGGGCCGAGCGGAGTCATTTCTGGATCTTGGCGAATGTATCCCTCTGAGGAGCGCTTGGGAGGCGTTGGAAACGGGAGCTGTCGAGCCTTGTCTGTAAGCGACACCTGGGCGAGAAGGAAACGATATTGAATCCATTCTATGTGGTCGACGACGAAATGGGGATGCTTGGCGATAAACGGGTCCAGCCTGTTGACCAATTCGCAGATAGACAGGGCAGCGTTGACTCTGAGTACAGAGGTTGGCCATGTTTCTGATGGGGCAGCCCTTAGCGAGTAGATCATACTGGTGTTGAATATCTTGCTCAAGTACACGCCATCGCCGAAGGACCGCCCGTTCACTGTCCGATCGAATTTGAGTCCTTCACTGACAATACTGTGCCAATTCCCAAGGCAGCTGCCGTGCCAAGTAACGTCGCCACAGCACCCGTGCGATGGGCATCCACCTTACTTCTGAAGCGTTGCTCCTTCTCGGGGCTGCCTTGGACAAACCGAAACTGAAGCCATCCTTTAGGGGCCCCTAACACCTTATTCGGCTGACTATTCGAACCCTCTGCAACGGGCCCGGCCGGCGGGACGAGATCGTCTTGACCAATGAGCGACCGATTTGAAGCCACGATCCACAGAAGCAGACGGTATGTGTTTTGGTCAATAATCTCTGTGGCATCGGAGAGCAATCGATCTGGATGCGCCAAAAGGAACTCCCTCATCCTGAGCACAGACGGTATTCCCAATGTCAGCAGTGTCAACGCCGTAGGGCGATCATCCGGCTCAAGGCTGTACAGGTCATCGCAGAATGCATACGCGTACATATTCAGACTCCACGGCTCATCTGCGTCTGGCATTCCAAAAGACTGGCTCCGTCTCGCCGGCGGCCTGGAACCTTGAGCTTGAGGGGGAGAGGGAAGTGGCGTAGCTGTTTACACTTCAAGCTTGTGTAGAAGAAACTAACCAACAGATCCACGACGTAGGGACTGTGGATAATTTCATGCTCGATACCTGGCCCCTGGTTGAGGGAGACATAGTGGTCGAGACAGAGCGGAATGTCGCAGACGTAAGGTCTCATACTTTGGAAACCATCGTCCATGGCTCGATAGCAGTTGACACAATACCTTCCGCATCGCAAGAGCAATTGCAGCGCATGTTGCATGGCCACCAAAGGTATGCTCAAGCGTCCTAGTGGCTCCAGCGCATGGTCCTGCTGAAGAACCAAGGGCTGGCTCGCCGTGTCGTTCCAGGGTGCCGCACAAGCCTGCGACGTAGTCTTTCCGCCGTAGGAGCGCAGGCCGTGCAAGGCAGCGAGCCATGAGACGTTGTTCTGTCGTCGGCGATGGAGAAGAGCAGGGAGATCATTTGTTAACGTGCGTGAGATGTACTGAAACATATAGAAAGGCTCGAAGGCACCTTTCCTCGTGTCATTCAGTCCCCTGCCCCTGGATGTTTGGAATACTTGCTCAGCAGATGCCGCTGTCGGCTTGGCCTCCTCGCACGGACCAAGCTCAAACTGGAACGTCTCAGCTTGAAGACGATTTTGAATGTAGATTTCCGGAATGGGATATCCGCCAGTCGTCTTTATAAGCAGAACTAGATGCTTGTCCTTGTCGAGATGCCATGTTTCACACGCCTCTCCTGGTATGCCCAGTCCCATGATGGGAACAGAAAGGGAGAAGATGAGGCAATGTCCGCGTGTGTGTTCTGCATCGTGGTCGTAGACACCAATAGAAAAACCGGCTTCCATTGCCGCTCTGAGGTCTTTTCGTTGACGCTTCAAGGCCTCAGGCCCTGTATGAAGACAGTCTAGTGCGTGTGTGACTGCCTCGGCAGAGCTCAAATTCAAAAAGTCGTGGTCGCCATCGTTGCTAATAGGCTGGAAATCGTTTTCGTCCTCTCCCATCGAGCTATCGGTGCCCTCGTAGTCGAGTTGATCGTCAAGGCTGCAGCCTTCGTTTTCCATGTCCAAACGCACGTCTTCGCAGCCGAGCGATTCTTAAGATGCCGACTCTGAGCCAGCTCTCCCCCCATGGCTCTACCAAATGCGCCGTGAGGTTGGCTGATACAAAATGGACAATTTGGGGTAGAGTTTTCTTGTTGGAGAAGGCAACGAGATCCTGCAGGAAGCTCACAATGTGAGGGTCAGGCTCGTCCGAGGCAACGAACAGGAAATAGTCGGCTTTTCCTGGGTATGCGTCGATATCTACAAGAGACATTGAGTCAACCATCGAGAGCACTGTGCTGAATACGGACACGTACCTTTTGCCATTATTACTACTTCCAGAGGGCGCAGGTCTGGGTAGCAGAAGGTGAATGCCAGCAGGCCGTCACTCTCGCCAGCCTGAACACAAGAGACATTGCTGAAGGATGCTTTCTTTGCTTGCTGAAGATCGGCGTTGAAATCTTTGCGACCCATACTGGCCGTCGCCGTCGATTGGCAAAGTGCTGTTGAGACGGGAGATGTGCAGAAGGAGCTTCCTTGTGAATAGATGATGATTTATCCGCTGGTGGAGAGAAAGGTTGGGACAGATTCTGCAAAGAATGATGTAGAAAGTCAACTGCATGTCAGAAATTGAGAAAGCCCAGAGAACACTAAGGTATTGCAAGCTTGCAGTATCTCGGGAGGATCGGGAGGATCCAAGGACTAATAGGCAAGTACTCCAGCAAGAAGGCGCAATGACCCTTGCACAAAGTTTGAGACTCAGCGATACAACAGGGTGTACCAAGTAACGCAATAATAGTTGGTACACATAGTCATATGTTCCGGGGAAGTGTGCGAGTGGAATCAAATCTAGCTGGAGACTGGACAATGATGGACTGAAGATGCGCGCGGGAAGGCAACCAAAGCAGGGCGACCTTGGTACCTTGGTACCTTATGCGGCAGGAGACAATTCGGCAGCTGAGAGACGGTTACGTCTCCAAGGAGACCCCGGTGGCCTGGCTGTCGATTGCTGAATCGAGTCGCTGCATCTTGTCGAACTGCACGACGTTGTTGCCTGTATCATGGCAATACGCACTTTCCCTCCATCTGCGTCACATCCAATCAGCGGCCACACGGATTGTGCCACCATGGATATAGCCTGGCACGGACTTAGATGCTTCGAAGCACAAAGAAGGAAACTGTTCCTTGGGCAAATCCAAGCAGGTGTGCCGCTAGTGGTTGGGCTGGACCGTATCATTCATCAAAATATTGAACTGCCATAAGTATTTGCTGAACATTGTTGAGGACAGTCAAGACACAGTATATGACCATTGGAGGTTTGATTTTCCCAAGTCTACGGAGCAGACATTGGCGACATTAGCATATGAGTACTCCGTAGTGCAATTATGTAATAATCAAAGTCAATTGCGGTGAGCAAGGGGTGGCAATTTGACTAGGCAGCTAAGTACGTGAAAGCACGAGCCAGGTGCTGGCTTTAATCTGTCAGCCCCCGCTTTGGCCAGCTCGCTACCGGTGCCACCCACGCTCATCAAGCCTCCAAGCCCCTGGCGTCGAAACGACATGGACCCTGCTGTAATAATAAGCCGACTGGAGCTGCGCAGCCAATGGCCAAGCGAAGCATCTCGACAAGGATGTGCCGTGCCAACCAGAGCCAACTCCTGTCAAGACTCAACAGCTCCGACTCCAATCTCCATCCCAAGTCACCGATCCTGCGACGGCAACAGACGTCTTTGACGCGCTCTCGCTCTTCTGCCCGCCTGCGAATTCATCGCTTGCCATTCCTTCCGGCCACCAACTGCGACATCGTCGTTGTCCTCGTCACTCCTTTTGCACCAAGCGACACCCGCGACCACGCCCACTCTTTACACGCCCTCAAGAACCCAATATACCCAGCAGCCGATATCATTACGATGGATGTATAACAACTTGTTACTCATGATATGACACAAAAGGCATACCTAGGCTTCTCGGGAACAGCACAGCAACGCATCCGCGAGCTGGGTTCCTGCTCCTGCGCGCGTCGCCAAGGGCTCAGCACAAAATGCCCAAGACGCGGCTGATGCGCGCACTCATTCGGATCACCACTCGCCGGCTGACACTGGCCTTCACATTAATTTCCCTAGCCGCCATTGCTTTCATCGTAACTCTGTCCTCGACGGTCCCCCAGTCCCCTCGCCTGGTCGAGTACGAGCACCAGACCCCGACGACGAGCGAGCTTCTCGCCAGGCCCTTCAGCAAGAGCCCTCTGAACCCGTTCAAGAAACCCACCAAGGCGCCCCCTCGGGAGGGCAATGACGAACATTCTGGATCCTCGTGGTGGCAAGATGGCAAATGGCTTGCGGTCGCCTTCTCGAGCGACCTCACGACAGACGATCGCGTCTTGCTTCCTCCCCTCAGAGAGCGCCCACCTATCTATTGCTACCGCGATACCTCGGTCGAGAAGCCAAAGGATGAGCACGAAGCCGAAGACGAGCTATTCCTGACATGGAAACGTGCGTGGTGGGCGCATGGGTTCCGTCCCACCGTCTTGGGCGCGACCGAGGCCACAATCAACCCGGCATTCGACGAGGTCCAGAGGTTGAAACTGGATGGCGTGCTACGGGCCGACGTCATGCGATGGCTTGCATGGGACACGGTTGGTGGCGGCCTCCTCGCCGAAAACACCATGTTCCCCATGGCTTCGAGTGGAGACCCTCTACTGGCCGAGCTGCGCAGAGGCAAGTACGCCGAACTGACCAGTTGGAAGGGCCTGGGCAGTGGCCTGTTAGCCGGCTCGGGCGAAGAGGTCAAGTCCGCGATACGGGCTGTTCTAGAACTGTCCGAGGCGAGGAGTGTGCTGGCGGCCCTGCCCGGCGACATTGTGAAGACGGACGCGACCCCAATGTCGTTGGCTTACTACGGGCCGCAAACCATCGCCAACAAGTACGCCATCATTGGGGAGACCACTCGTCTCAGCCGAGCTGATGGTCTCCGGGCTCTCAACAGACTCATCAACGCGCATTTGCACGTCGTGTGGCAGAACAGCTTCTCCCACGGCATTGACGTGCTCCAGCCGTACCCTAATCACACCTCCAAGATGGTCAGCGAGGCTATCGGGCTGGCTGAGTCGTTGCTGCATTGTCCAGAGACGCCATTGGCTGCCTCGTGCCCGCCAAACCTGCCACGCTGTGCGCCGTGCACGACCGACATGCGGTCGACACGCATCGCAACTCCGTCTTCCTACCATAACGCCTCCAAAGCCTTCACCATTGGATTCGTGCCCCATCCCTGGACACTCACGACCCTGAACATGCTGAAGGACACCTTCGATCTCAACGTTCTGCGCCGCGACTCCCTCCGCGACCCCTGGTTACTTGAGGTGACTGACCGCCTCCTCGACGATTCCCATGCCGTTGACGACGAGCTCCCCACCTCGGGCGATCGTCGCATCATGCGATTCAAAGAGGCCATTGCCAGTGAAGATGCCGAGTCGAGGACCCTCTTCCTTACGGCCGAGGCACCCTTGCCATCCGACCTCGACTGGCGATTTGGCTTCAGTATCCCGCAGCATGCTCACATTCCACAAGAACAGCCCCCAGATCGCGAGGACCCCTCAGAAGACCCGACGCTTGAGTGGATTCTTTTGGAGCGCGCGAAACAGGTCGTCTTTGAGACGGCAGAGACGGAGGACACTGGCATGCGCACAGCCCTCGAGACATGGAACATGGCCGACTATGAGGCGTGGAAGTTTACCCGCGCCCTGCAGGCGCGGAGAGTCATGGAGAGGTCCGAATGGGCCGGCGAATCAAAATGAGGAGCATCGCTGTTAATGTTTAATCTATGCAAGCAGAAGAGCATGTGGGACCACACACAAACACACATATCACACAATCATCGCATCTGTGCGCACGGCGTTGCGCTGCAGCAGGAGGGGCAATTTTTTGTTTGAAGATTCACTGTTTATATCTAGTTTCGAGAGCCGGACTGTTCATGATATACCCGAGACACTGGGCCAGTATATTACGGAGTGGCACATATGCAAGAGTACATACTTTTCACCATGAGCACTGGTAGCAGACCTTGTCTGCGCCATGTATGAAACAACGGGGCATCCCCCGCCTCCCTTTTCTTATGCGGTGTTGGGAACTGCCCCTTTGGCAGCCTCGTCTTCCAACGACACGAGCATGGTGTTGGTGTAACCGTCCAGGGCCGCCCGGGCCTTGCTGGCGGCGTCCTCGGCCTTGGCTAGAGCCGCTCTCAGTAGCTGGGCTGTCGTATCGCCTACCGAGTCTGGCACATCGGCATGGGCATTGGCTGCCTCGCCGGTGTTCTTCTCCTCCAGCATCTGACGAACATGGCCACTCAGCCAGTAGCCCTCGAGCTTTCGAGGGTCCATGCCCTGGGCGCCTGTGATTGTGCCGCGGCAGGAGGCTGATTGGCACAGGCAATCAAATGGTTGCGCCATGTCCCACTCTGTGGAGGGGTAGAAGAACTGGTGTCACGTCGTGTGAGTTTCCTATCATAGTCGTGTGCATTGTCCGCATGTCGCATGATGAACAGGAGGGTGGGTGGGAGGCAATGGACACGTACCGTGAGCTCATCACCAGGTTTCAACCCCTTTGGACCTGCAAGAATCTCGAGGTTTGCCGTGTCGAGAATCTTCCTAGGATCAGCGACTGTCGTTCATGCGTGGACTCATTCGGTAGGGCGGGCGGGCCTCACCAGAGATGGGTCACATGAATGGTTGAGGTACAGCAAGTCACTATTGAGACTGATATGCTTGTTCTTCCCGATCTGTACGGTAGCATAGGTTGCCTCTGGCGTGATTGTACATGGCGGAAAAGTCATCTTTGCAAATACGCCAAACGGTGGCACTGTAACTTTGGACAGACTCTTGGATGTGAACTCGGCGTCGTTGACGATGACTTGTTGGATATCCGGGTGCGATGGCTGCGCCCAATGAGGCTTGAGAGGTGCCATGATGAGGTGTAGGATGATCTGGTACGAAGATCAACGTCGCAAGCTGGCTATTTGTGATCTGGAAGTAATGTGCGTTTTGGTGGACGTATATCTAAGTACGATCAAGGCGCAATAGTTGGTGCTCGTGCCCGCTGCGTGTAGCCGAGGCTACGTAGTCTAGTTACGTTAGTAGTATATGGCGCAACCTACCCTATTACGTACCCGCTAGCACCAAGGACGGACGACTATGCGACAGCACGTGTCCCAAAGGGGCAAGTCCGTCCAGCACAGCTGAGTCATTGGGATGGTCCGAGCGTGCATCCGCGAGACGCATGCGTGGTGCGGAGCGGCAATGTGGGGTTCACCGATCAGGACCCTCCGAAGTCGCCTGGCGGGAGGCAATGACACGAACACCCCACCACCCACGCCTCCAGTCGTTTCTATTGTCTGTCGACTTTTTTGCCTTCAATAGATGGTATATAAGTAGATTGGCCCGTTTTCTCTTCCCGCTGCTTAGAAAAGGACATCAATCGCCCTCGAGTTATTTATTGCCCTATCTGCTCGTTCCCAATCCCATCAGACGAAAACCTTCAACTCTCTTCCACTTCGTCCCTAGCAGCATACCGCATCCGCAGCAGAGGAGAGCACCTACATCATGGAGGGCATCAAGCGTGCGTTTGAGCAGTGCAAAAATGAGGGCCGGGTGAGCCACCCGGGGCAAAGCGCGCGAACGTCCTCGTTGCTGACATCACTGTAGAGCGCCCTGGTGACCTATGTCACGGCAGGGTACCCCAAGCCAGAAGACACGCCCGAGATCCTCCTGGCCATGGAGCGTGGAGGCGCAGACGTGCTCGAGCTCGGTGCGCCCTTTACCGACCCCATCGCCGATGGTCCCACGATCCAGACAGCCAACACAGTCGCCCTCAAGAATGGCGTCACAATACAGACTACCCTCAACATGGTTAAGATCGCGCGGAGTAAGGGTCTGAAGGCACCGGTCATGCTCATGGGCTACTATAACCCCTTGTTGAGCTACGGCGAGGAGCGCCTGTTGAAGGACTGCCATGAGAGTGGTGTGAATGGCTTCATTGTCGTCGATCTGCCTCCCGAGGAGGCCGTCTCCTTCCGCAAGCTGTGCACACGTGGAGGGTAAGCTATGCGTGACTAACCCCGTGAAACAAATCTTACTAACTGGTCACTAGCTTATCTTACGTCCCTCTGATTGCTCCAGCCACCTCCGAAGCCCGTATGAAGATCCTTTGCCAGCTCGCCGACTCATTCATCTACGTTGTGTCGAGACAAGGCGTTACGGGTGCCACGGGCACCATGAACGCCAATCTCCCAGACCTGGTCGCCCGCGTCAAGAAGTACAGCGGCAACAAGCCGGCCGCTGTTGGCTTTGGCGTCAGCACTCGTGATCACTTCCTCAGCGTCGCGCAGGTCGCCGACGGTGTGGTCGTGGGCAGCCAGATCATCTCGACGGTGCAAAAGGCCCAGACCGGCGAAGCTTACAACGACGTGGAGAAGTTTTGTGCCTACCTTGGAGGACGCAGCGGTACCACCAATGGCCAGACGCGCGAAGTTGGCATCATTGAGACCCTGTCTGCCGCCAAAGAGCCCAGTGGCGAGAGCGTCACGGTGGAGGGGGTCATCACCAACGAAGACCGCTTGACAGCTGAACAGGACACCGATCTCGTGTCACAGCTCGCTGCCTTGCACGGCAAGATACCCGATCGCTTTGGCGAGTACGGTGGCCAGTACGTGCCCGAGAGTCTCATGGACTGCTTGTCCCAGCTCGAAGAGGGATTCAACTCCATCAAGGACGACCCCGCCTTCTGGGAGGAGTATCGCTCGTACTACGAGTTCATGGGACGCCCTGGCCGTATGCATCTGGCCGAGCGTCTCACCGAGCATGCGGGAGGTGCCAACATCTGGTTGAAGCGAGAAGACCTGAATCACACTGGTAGCCACAAGATCAACAATGCCCTCGGACAGCTCCTGCTTGCCCGGAGGTTGGGCAAGACCAAGATCATTGCAGAGACTGGCGCTGGGCAACACGGTGTCGCCACCGCTACCGTCTGTGCCAAGTTTGGCATGGAGTGCACAATCTACATGGGAGCCGAAGATGTCCGCCGTCAAGCGCTGAACGTCTTCCGTATCCGTCTCCTCGGCGCCAAGGTCGTCGCCGTCGAGGCGGGCAGCAAGACGCTCCGCGACGCCGTGAACGAGGCCATGCGCGCTTGGGTGACGGAACTCGACACCACCCACTACATCATCGGGTCTGCCATTGGACCTCATCCCTTCCCTACCATTGTCCGCACTTTCCAGTCGGTCATCGGCGAGGAGACCAAGAAGCAGATGCTCGAGAAGCGCGGCAAGCTCCCCGATGCCGTCGTCGCCTGTGTCGGTGGCGGCAGCAACGCCGTCGGCATGTTCTACCCCTTCTCCAACGACCCCAGCGTCAAGCTTCTCGGCGTGGAGGCGGGCGGTGACGGTATCGACACGGCACGACACAGCGCCACCCTCTCTGGCGGTACCAAGGGTGTGCTGCACGGCGTGAGGACATATGTGCTCCAGAACGAACACGGCCAGATCCAGGAAACCCACTCTGTCTCCGCGGGCCTTGATTACCCCGGCGTCGGTCCCGAGCTGAGCTCCTGGAAGGACAATGAGCGCGCCAAATACGTGGCGGCCACCGATGCCGAGGCGTTCATTGGCTTCCGCCTCATGAGTCAGCTCGAGGGCATCATTCCTGCGCTCGAGACGGCGCATGGTATCTACGGAGCCATCGAGCTCGCCAAGACAATGAAGAAGGGCGAGGATCTGGTCATTTGCGTCAGCGGCCGAGGCGACAAGGATGTGCAGAGTGTCGCGGAGGAGCTCCCGAAACTGGGTCCCAAGATTGGCTGGGATCTCAGGTTTTGAAGAGACGAAATACGAATTGTCGTTCAAAAAGCATGTCATCACGGTCGGGCGTTTGTGACTTGGGGGAAGGAATTTGTAGGTCGGAAGCGATACCATTTGACATTTTGAGTCTGGTTGGCATAGATCAGGGGCACACGAAAGTAAAAAACCAATATGCAAGATTTTTAGACATGTAATGCCGATGTCATTGCGGAATGTGAAGCCCAGGAATAATGTGTCACAGGTAAGCAAGCAAGCAAGCGTCACGAAAGTGGACAGCGTCCTTGTAGCAGAAAAGTATCCAATTGTTCTATATTTTTGGGCTATCATCAATCATCACTACATGCCGTCGCTAAATGATAATGAGCTGTAAAAGAGTCAGTGCCCGCACCCGCATCGAATAGTCAAAGAAACATACCTCAATGAGCTTTTCGGTCAAGTCAAAGCAGTCTCGATGGATGTCGTCCATAGCGCCCATGGAGCACGAGCGCCACAGACCGCCAAAGCCGTTTTGTTCCAGTATCTCGGCCATGGAGCCGCCCGAGTTCATCGCGCGTGCATATTTCTTGTTGGAGGTCAATGTTCGTAGCAGCGCATGGGCTGCCTCGAGAGGTGCCGAGTTCTGTCCGTGTAACAGCACGTCGTCCAGGATCGTTCGCATGGCACCGCACCTATCTCACTATCAGCCTTGAACTCGATACCAATTCCGAGATGGAGCAACTCACAGATGTATCATCACGGCAGGGCGGGCCTGGGCAAGTGCATTCAGCCACTGAAGACTTCGTGTCTGTACAGCGTCTTCGAGGTACTGAAAGTCAACCATCTCCATGACTGTGATGAGCAGCAGCTCATGGTCGGCAAAAGTCCGGACGTCACGTCGTCCTTGGTAGTTGACGGTCTCGGACGCAGGGTCCTCTGGGTCAATGCCGGCTCGCCAAAGACTGTCTCTCAGCTCGTCGTGGCCGGTGGCTCTGGCTCGGATCAGGGCCAGATACGGCGAACTGGACACAGTAGGCGCACCAGAATGAGGCTCCTGCTCTGGAGGAGTTGTGGTCATTTCCAAAAAGGCCGACAGCACGCGCATCGTCGTGGGTCTGGTGGTAGTGTCAGTCAGCCCTCGAGCCAAGCAAGCACACACGGCGAAATGGAAGCTGCTGTTGTTGAAGTGGATGCCATACGCTTCATCCAGAGCGATGGCGGCCTCATCGAGCTGCTCGCGGCCCTGAAGCAGCAGGAAGACCATGTTCTCCCCCCTGACGTCCCCTACAGTGCCAATGTTGGCAAGCACCGATTCAAGGAACTGGGCGGCGCAATTGAACATGGCTGAGGGGACGAGCCTGACAAGTGATATCGCCAGCCAGAACAACTGCAGTCCGTAGCGGGACGCAGATGGCAACTTGGCCATCATCTTGGAAAGGGATGTCGTGATGGACACCAACATCTCCGTGCTGCTCTCCTCCTCAAACCTGCCCACGCTGCTACGCAAGGCCACCAAGACCTGGTATAGCAAATCGTCGTCCACCTCCTCACGCGCCAAGTAGCCCATGACCGTGAATGCTCTTGGCTGAATAGCAGGGTTGTTCTGGAAGGCGGTACTAGCCACCAAACTCATCCATCGTGATCGCCAGGCGTTGGACATATCCAAAGACGGGGCAGCCGTGTAGCAAATATCGAAAAGAACAGCGGCTAGATGCTCGGTCGCGGCTAGAGTGGCGCCAGAATCCTGCGCCGTCGAGATGGACGCCCCTTCGCGTGCAAACGTGGGATGTATAGGGAAAATGTCGCCCTTGGGCTCGCCCAGCGCCTCAAGGTTCGCCCTCAGCTTGCTGGCCGGGATGTCGTCCAGCGCGAACGATGTGCACGCCGCGTGGACAGAGTTGATGAGCAGCTTGTACACCAGCATGCGGACGGACTGGCTGCCCGTGTTGAACAGCATAGTCACGACATGGAAGACTTCGGGAAGAAATAGCTGGGCCTGGATGCCGTTATCGAAAGATAGAGCCAGGCAGAAGTGCAGCAGAATACAGATCTCCGCCCACACAGCATTGTCTGGTAGGTACTTGGTTGGTCTCACCGAGGAGCGATTCAGAGCCTTGCGAAGCCTGGAGAGGATTTTTCCACGCAGCGTGACGCTCCCGACGCCAGCGACGATGGACGAGATGATTTCGAGTGCCTCGTCGTGATTGCTATAGCCCATCGAAGTCTTCATTATCTCATCGAGGAAGATTTCAAGTAGAACCTCGTCCTGTGCAATGGCCGGCCAAACGCACTGCTGCAGCGTGTACGATTGGGCGTGATCAATAATGGCCACGTCAATGAGCTTTCGAATGAGTAGCGCAACGCGCTCCCGGCCCTTTTCGGGATCCTGCTCGCTGGAGAGAACGTTGGTTCGCAAACCAGCCAGCCACGGGGCCATGTAAGCTAGACTCAATGGCTTCTGTTCTTCGGGGAAGCTCTCCCAGCCGACAAAGAACTCGGTCAAGAAGTCAGACGTCAGTTGCGGCTCCGTCTTGGCGAGCTCCTTGCTCATACTGACGATGAAATTACTGGCGTCGAGAGGCACGGACAGATCTTTGGCACAGACAAGCTTCGCAGCTGAGCTGAACTTGAAGGCCTTGCAAAGTGCTCCGAGGAGATTGTACGATGAAACCCTGAGCACATGATCTGCACTGGATAGATTTGTCAAGGCCAAGTTGAGGAGCGTGCCAGGGACATCCTGTGGTCGGATCAACCTCTCTGTTGGCTTGTGTGTTCTGCTGTCCTTGCCCTGGATGCTCTTGGCGCCTCGCACGCTCTGAAGAATGTCCGCCTTCATGGGACTCGTAAAGTACATGACAATCTTACCGCCGTCGGCTCGCAGACCAAAAGCAGAGTCATCTTCCGTCTGTATAGACGTGGCAGCTTCATCAATGTCTCCCAAGCGGAAGACGTCGTTCACCGTTGTGCTCATCCGGAATCCAGTGAAGACATCTTGTTTCCTGGACGTGGTGATCTGGACGAATTGGTCGCCCACCTTGATGATCACCTCTATCTTGCCCTTTGATTTGGACAGCCGCGTCACAGGTTTGAAAACGAAGCGGCTATCTTGAATGACGCTGATCGTCTCCTTTGGGAGGTGAAGCTGGTTCAGGTTGAAGTGCGTTTGCAAACTTTCCATATTTCCGACAAGGTGGTATTCGACATTCTTCGGATGGAAAACGCTCGCTTCGTTGCGGGTACAGACTCTCAGGAGTCGCCTGAAGCAGCGCTTGAAGGCGTTGTTCATGTTGTATACGTAAATTCGGGAAAGACTGCGCGCCAGCTCTGTTGGCGTGAGCAGTTCGAGCATGCGAAACAGCTCATCTTGTGGCTCGTTGCGACCATTGTAGCATGTTGCATCAATGAGAAGTCCAAACGGTTCATGCCAAAGCCTGCTCGCAATTTTGAGGTAACAGTACAGCAAGGTGTCGTGATCGATCCCCTCTGCCTCAATGTTCCTGAGGATGATGCAGATGATGGAGAGCCCGTCTCTGCTCTCACCACCATCATAGACAGCTCTGGCTGTCAAAAAGGACTCGGTGCTCCTGAAAGCATTGCGCAGCATGAAATTCTGGAATCGGGAGTATAGTGGTGGACTGTTGGAAGATACTAGAGGCCGATTCCACGACACGGCTAATGGAGGTGGTCCGAGGTTGGCAATGAGGTTGCGAATGGGTTCGAGCAGCGGCGAGCGGCCACGCGATAGTTCTCCTGGCGACCGGACGTACTCCCGTCTCTCCCTAGAGACGAGTGTCTGGCGAACATGGTCCCAGTGGTCATAGAGGAAGCGGTGCAGCGCTACGCATGAACCGAAATCGAACAGATCCACGTTTGCTGGCCCTTCAATCTTTTCCGGCGGCACAGACACCTCGTGCAAGAACCCCGTGATGTCAAAGACATTCTGCACAAGAAAGTCGTTCAACGGAAACATGTATGGTTCCTTTACGCCGAACAGGACATTGTTGGCCAAGTTCTGAATGACCTTGGCAATCAGCAAGAGACCTCGGCGCATCTCCTTGGTAGGCGCCTTGGTGGCCAACCCCTCGATATCCGGGGCGACGATTGCGGGACAGAAGAACCGCAGGAAAATGAAGGCGCCGATCGCAGTGTACTTGGCATCCGGAAAGCGTGGCTCGACCGCATTGAGGATGATGTGGCAGATCTTGCGGAAAGACGGGGGGATGCTCGCCGCAGACGCGCAAATGTTGTCAATGAATACCTTTGCCACGATGCGTAATTGCAGCGCATTCTTCTTCGACTCCTCCGCCGAGCCAACACGCGCCGGATCGAGCTCAAGGTCGAGGTCTTGGAAATTGAGCATGAGTCTATCAAGAACCTTTTGCAACGTGTCTTTGAGGTACTGCGCTCCTTTCCACTTGGCATACACCGAGAGCATTTTGGTGGGCACGCATGTGCGCCGGAGAAGCTCCGCCTCATTGTTGGTGTCTTCTACCTCCTGCTTGATCAGAGCCTCAAACAGTTCAAAGGTGAGCCCTCGTTGCTCGAATACGGTGAGCAGGCAGATGGCAACCTCGTCAACTTCCGTGCTCGGGCAGATGGAGCTCATGGAAACAGCGAGGGACAGATCTTTTGTGAGCAGTTCAAGCAGCTCTTCGTACTTCTCGCTCACAGCAGAGTCGGTCAAGTTGCTGAACTCGGTACCTTGGACAAGAATGTTGTACAGAACGCGCACGAAAGCTGTGCGGATCTCGGGGTTTTCGTGGTATCCAATGCTGAGCGAATGCTTCAGACCAACGTCAATGTTGGCGCTGAGGAGGTTTGAGAGGATGGTGATGGCCAGGTCGGAATTCGAGATGGTATCCTCTCTGACAGCGGGACCAACGGTGGCTTCGTTGCGGCCCGACTCTGGAGTCTCATGATTCAGTAAGGAGAGGAAGCGGTTGAAGTAGGTGTGGAACATCTGTGACTTGATCTCACTCATGCCGGCGTCAGTCTGGCTTTCGGATGGCTGAAGGGGCAAGCGATAGGTGAGATCCGACAATGACCTGAGGCAAGCCTTATCAAGGTCTCTTTGAAGACGCGCCATGTCATCTTGGCGAGCTGAGTGTCCGTTGTGCTCAGCGTGTGATGATCGTGGCCGGGCAATCCACCCAAATATGCATTCCAACAACTGGTTCCGTATTCGCACATCGTCGCGAAGATTGAGATGCTCCTTTCTTTTCGTGACCGCTTCGCACAGATGGCAGACACGGATCTTGACTCTGAGGGTGTCCGAACTTTCGGGGACCCCGTCTAGGAATTTGGCAAAGTTCAGCGTCAACACGCCGAGATGAATAGAAGACGCCGCGCCAAGGTCAGATGGCGTTGTCAATCTCTCCACCAGGGCGCGCAGAAGCGACGCGCCCTGCTCCGCGAAGATGATCTCACTGTCTTGGGCCTTGTCAGATGTTGCCAGAGCGCCCGTGAAGAGGACCTCGAGTTCAGACTCCAGAGCGCGGAACAGGGGTTGATACAGCGACGGAGAAACCTCACTGGACAAAACATCCCGCATGGCCTCACGTACGCGCACATTGGCGCATGCGAGCAGCTGGATGCTCAGGCGCAGGTATCTCGTCAGCAACGTCTCTTCGTAATTCTCCGAGGAGAGTCGGTCGATCCACTTCAAGCCTCCGAGAGCGGGTTCTTCCAGGATGATAGCCTGGTCAGCGACACATATTCCGCCTAAAGAAGCAAGGAAGCCTGAGAAGTTGCGCCACTCTGCAAGTGCCTTGTCATCGACGGCATCCGTGCTCGTGGTAGAGACATCCTTGGCAAGGTGTATCCATCTATCGAATGCCGTCTCCCAAGCGTTCAGAATACCTGTTGTCGGGAACTGCATGCGCCGCAACAAACCACGGTTCCGTTTCTGAAAGGCAACCAAGCCCGTGAAGTGGAACTCCGGTGACGCGATCTCGCGGAAAATGTCGCCATTGCGCAGCACCGAGGCTGATGCCTTGGCGGACTCAGCAACTTGGTCAATCACGGAGCACTCCTCCAAGAATATGCCAATGCAGGAAGTCACCAACTGGCATACCTCGGGGTCGGCAGAGCATAATGACACGAGAAGTATGGTCTCCAGCTTCGACGAGGCTTGCACGACATCTGAGACGTCGTTGGGGACCTCGGAGAGTTCTGGGATGTTCTCGAGCAGTAACAGCCGTGCCTTCAAGCAATCGTGCAATGTAGAAAGGGCAGAGTCGCTCGTCTGCGCAGCAATGCGCTCACACAGCGAGATCAGTACCCTCGAGCTTCGTCCCCACAGGTCCTTCCGCAGCGTGATGCTGTCCAGGGCCCGTCCGTTGTAGACCTCGCGGAACGCCTCTCCATGGTCATTGAACAGCCGCTGCGCCACGCTGATGGCTCGTCGACGAATTGTTATCTCGGGCGACAAGACACAGAGCAAGAAAGGGCGGAAGAAGTTGGTGGGTGAGTTGATGCTGACGGAACCGGTAATGAGGCGCCGGGGCGCTGCGTCCAGGAAGTCCAGGACGCTACAAATCATGTCGGCTCCGTCTTTGCTCGCGACGGATCGTTTGCGCGAGTCGATACCATACTTGGTCTCGGATTCCAGCTGCGATTGCATGAAAGGCTGTAGCTGGTCAAATAGTTCACCGTACTTGGCATTATCAGGTTGCCGCGCAAAGTAGCAGCAGGCTTGAACAGCCGCCACTTTGAAACTGTCAGGCGCAGAACGCGCAACGCAGCTGTCCACCAAGGGCTCTGTAGAGCCGTCCAGATTCAAGTGAGCCAGGGCCACAAAGGCGGCTGTCATAATCTCCTGCCCGAATGGCGATGTGTCCAGCCACTGTGTTGGCGATGGTGAAGGGCCTCCAGAAATGGGTCGCTGGAAGACGGCTTCGCGCACTTCATCCTGCACGTCAAGCGCGTACGATACCAGCGCCGCGTCACTCTCAGCGTGAAAGTGGCGAGCCGCGCGTAGCAGAGCCACGAGGCAAAAGGCGGCTGATTCATGACCGTTGCGCAGGGACTTCTTCAGTCCATCCAAAAAGGACACCTTTTTGACGATTCCGCCGCTCTTAGCCTCCTTGAGGTTACTTGCCACCTCAAAGATATCGGGAAGCAAGAACAATAGACAGGTTTGCAGAGGCACGTGGAGCATCCGGCGCTTTGCATCATCCGATACCCGTTGCGCCATGTCGAACAGTGTATCGGCGGATACATCGAGTCGCCTTCGTCGGACGTGAAGCTGCACGAATTCAGCCGGGAAGCGATCAATCCACCTGGTGATCAGCAGGGGGACCACGACTGCCACAGCGTCCTGGTATGGCCTGCGGAAGTGCAGATAGCTCGAGCATATCTCCTGGATCACAAGACGCAACTTGGGCCCGTCCACCCAGAAGAAGGACAGCAACCGGACGACAACTAGCGCGGATACTTCCGCGTCAACGGCGGACTTGGGGGCATCTAGGCCACCTGCAGCCATGCTGCTTCGTATCGCGTAGATGGCATTTCTGAAGTAGTCGAAGGATGCATTCCAGCTGGACGCCGTGACGTACTCCATCACCACTTTGACGTACGTGTCGAGCTCGGCCAGGTGCGCGTCAAGGAGCTCGGAGGCGGCTGTCGGGTTCTTGGGCTGGTGCAGTCGTGGGATCGTCACGTTGCGCTGCGAGACCTGGTCCAGAAGCGTGGACGGGGGGAGCTGGTACTCGTCTGGTATAGGCTCGAGTAGCCTCTTGAGGGCGTCGAGGATGCGATTGACGAGGACTTTGTCGAGGGGTGGTGGGCGCGGTACATCGTCGTCGTCGTCGTCGTCGTCGTCTTCTGTCTCATCGTCGTCGTTGTCGTCGTCTTCGTCGTCCACATCGCCATCGTCGCCCCGGGCGTCGCTCTTGACACCGTGCTTCAGGCTCTTCCACTTGGCCGAGCAGCAATCGGCGGCGAGGGCCAAGACGTGGAGCTCGGAGAGGAGCACATGGTTGGGGTGAGACGAGACGGTCTCAAAGGGGCGCGCGAGCCCCTCGAGCAGGCTGAGGAGCGATTCGAGAACGGTTTCTATGGAGACCTTGCTAAACTCGACGAGAGTGGCGCGCGTGACGGAGAGGATGTTGTCGTCGGGCAGCGTCGAGCCATTCGTGCCTGTGCGATGGGGCAGCTGTTGATCTGGGGGTCAGTATCTCTCGGCTCTGCTTCCTTTGCCTTGGACGTGCGTACCCTCGTGGCCAGCCTGTCGACGAGAGAGCCGACTAGGCTAGCGTCCGCGTCCATTGCTACAGCATCGAGCAAGGCCGTTGTTGGCCTGGCTTGCGTGCGACTCACTTGCGCTGACTTCGAGTCCGAGCAGAGGGGACCCGGGCGGGAAAGGCAAAGCTCGAGGCACGGACGGGCAACTGTGGTCGCCAGGGTCTATGCGGAGCTATCTCAAGGTGGGGGGTGTTCCCGTTCATTGGCGTTTGGAGCTCTTGGGTAAGGTAGGTACTTAACTTGGGGTCTGGCGGCACATCTGCTGGTACCTGACCAGGCTAGCTGGATTGGCGCTGGTTGCCTCCAACCAGAGTATCTCCTTCCATCAGGCCTCAAGCAAGTCGTACTCCGTACAGGGCGATGAATCGTGTCTAGTCACGATGGCCAGAGGCTGGGACTTGCAATCCCGCTGTAATCAGACCCCAAAACATCTCCTCACAATGGGCCACAAGCACTGTCAAGTGTCACACACTGGACGTGTACAACCTGTTCGTGTTTTACAATTTACAAACTGCCGCGAGTGGGCGTGGCAATCTCGCACCCCGGACCTGACTCCTACCCCTGATGCCCGCTGCAGGAGAAATGACTCAGCATCGACAACCTCAGGAGTTGAGGGAACTTCAGGCCAACTTATCTTGGCACTCTCAGCGAAAATGCATTGCACATGTTCTATTTCATGTCTGGTATTCGAGTGTTTTCGTCCTCCCTTCAATGTTCTCTCCACAGATAGACTCGTACCCCAACGCCTTTACTCAAACCAGCCAACAGCTTCCAAATGCGAAATCACACCTCCCCCATGTTTAAATCGCCCGAGATATCCATACACATTGCCTAATATCTTCGCGAATCCCGGTGCTGGCCGTTGCCTCTATAGCTGGGAGCTGGTGGCGGAGGCTGTCCCTGATACTGCCCATAGTATCCTGGCGGCCCAGGCGGCCCAGGTGGCGGCGCCCAGCCATTGTTGTAACCGCCTCTTCCTCCTTGCTGCTGATACGTCGGCGGTGGTGGAGGAGGGCCACCCATACCGAAGCCAGGACCTCCGGGAGGCGGTGGTTGCCATCCTGGGGGCGGCGCTCCTGGGAATGACTGCTGTGGCGGGTATCCTCCACGGCCGTAACCACCACCGCCATTACCACCGCGGCCTCCGCCTCGGCCTCCTCGATAGCCGCCTCCTCGTTGCCCGTTTCCGTTGGGACCGTAGTTAACAGGCTCATGCCGTCCACTGTTGTGATCAAACCGGCCCAGAGGAGCGCCGCCATGGTTGCGTCCACCGCGCCTGGACTTGCTCTTCATGATCTCAATATCACTCCTGTTCAGCGCTGGCGGCGGCAGTTTCGCACCACGCAGCAGCATCGACTTGTGGGTTTGCGATGTCGTGGGCATCTCGTAAATCACACTAGTAGCACGTTAGCAACCCTGGCCGTGTTGATCAGATATCTCAGTGGTGAACTTACGTGACAGAGCTGTCATAGTCGAGATCGGGCATGGCCTTGCGCTTCAAGGGATATTGTAGCAAGCCATGCGGCACGTACTCCTCCATTTTGGCGACTTTGCCGGACATGCCGCCGCTGTTCTTCGGATTCAGCTTGAAATGAGGCGCGCCCTGCTTCTTGGAGTAGAAATTCGTTAGGATATCATCGTAAATACCCTCATTCGCATCCGACAAGATGAGAATATCCTTGCCCACGCCGTTGCGCGCCTTGTCATCTTCGCTGAGAAGGTGGTACTTGGATTCCACCGCAGACAACAGCCGCTGCATGTCGATGAACGGCAGGAGAGCCACGCCCTGCCAGGCAAACTTCTTGCCATTCAGGTCGGTCTCAAACTCCTGGGGATAGAAATCGATAATCTCGCTGTTCTCCTCCAGCATCAGGGGATGGAAAACATCCGGAATGGCAGAGCGCGACCCAGCAGGCAGCACGCTCATCAGCTGCTCGAACGGCTTCGCGATGCGGCCCTTTTCGAACGAGATTTCCAGCTGGTTGAGGTCTCGGAAATCCGCAGCAAAGGGTGCGTAGTGGTAAGGGTAATACCACTCCCAGGAAGGGCAGCCCTGGAAGTAGTAGAGAAGTACCCACGCTAGACCTTCGGCATATGAATGGGCGACCGACTTGCGGAAGTCCAAATCGCCGGGGTCTTTCCCGAACTTTTGCTGATAGTATCGGTCTTGATAGCCATCTTCCCAGAGGCGGACATTGTCCACTGGCTCGTCATTTTCAGTAGCCGCAGGCGTAGCGCTTCCGGGGGTCTCGGTGGATTTGGGGGTATCCGTCCCGTCGACAGCATCGGCGGCCTTGCGTTTCCCAAGCGCGCTGGCGGTCTCAGTGTCGGCTGCAGGTTCCGCGGCAGAAGCCCCAGCCGGTGCCGCTGGTGCCGGCTTACCACCGCGAAGCTGACTCTTGAGCACGCTGGCTGCGCTCTTGTTCGCAGCATTTGCATCAGCAGGACCACGGTTCACGACCTTATCGTGCGTGACGCCCTGGTTGTAGATTGCAGGCAGCTTCTTCTCATGGTATGACTCTATGGGCCGGAGGAGATGCTTGGGGGTAGAGTCTTGGTCTTTCTTGGGGCGTCCACCGCCACCACCAGAATTGCCGCCTCCAGGGGCGCCGTTCTGAGCACTACTGTCATTCTGCAGCTTCCTCCGTTTGGCGTTGGCTTCGCGGCGCCTCTCTTGCTCCTTGCGTCTCTTGAAGATGGCGTCTTCTTGCTTGGCGAGACCATTCATGATGATCTGGGCCCTGTCCATGTCAATGTGACCATCTTTTGTGACGTAGCCTCCCATGGAAGGCAAGTTGTCGCGCCAAATGGCCATGAGTGTGTCAATGCCATCCTCCCGAATTTCCAAAGCTGGCAAATGCGGCAGGAAATCGTTTCCGACAAAGCAGCACATGAAGATCCAGTCGTCGACGGCGCGCTCGAGGTCGAATCGGAAGGGCAGGTCGGGCACGCTGAGCTCAATGGCCAGGTACTCCCGCAGAACGGACACATGGAGCCAGATGAAGGGCTTCAAGGCGACGCCATGATCCTTCTCGTCGTGTTGTCCCTCTTTCTCTTTCGCGTCACCTTTACAATTCCGCGCGTCGTGGCCCTTTTGTCCACAAATCTTGCACATTCTCGCCTTGCTGTCTTGGAAGAAGACGTCCTCGCGCAAAACTCTAAAATGCGGCTCGTGCGTCGCCAGTCCCAACATGATCAAATCGGCATCGAGACCGTAGATGACATGGCGCGTGTTGGGGTCGTGCTCCGGAGACGCGCGTTGCGATCGGACAAACGCCATAATCTTGTGCTCTCCCTCGCCGGGCACCGTTGCGTCGGAGATGATGACCTTCAACTTCGCCCATCCAGGGTCTGTGTTGAGCTTATACTGGCACCAGTATCGCAGGCTGATGGCCAGGATATCCATGAAAGGCGTACCCGGGGTGATGGTGTTCGAATCAAACACCTGCTTCACAACGTTGAATTCGCTGTCGGGCGGTAGCTCGCCGCCGTGTTGCTGCTTCAAGAGCTTGATGAGCTCCTGTTTTTCGTCTGCCTTCTCCTTCGCCTCTTGCGCTGAGCGGAAACGTCGGGAACGTTGCTGATTCATCTTCGCACGAGGAGCGACACCGTCTGGGAAGTGTTAGCAGGATTCTGGGGCGGGTTCTGATGGACAAGACATACCGACAGCGATCATCAGCAGCTTGCGCGGCCTGACCATGTTGACGACACGATCTGTGTACCGAAACACCTCCAGCATCATCTCTTCCTCGTCCTTCGGTGCCGGTCTATCCTCCGGGTGAGTACAAGGATGCACAATGCCATTCATATCCAGGTAAAGATTGTCAAATTCTTCGCCGTTGGGGTTTGGTCTGGTCGTGTCAACGGGAATCGTCGAGCCGTCGTCCATCTTCACGGGTTGGTCCTCCATCACCGGCGAGATGATCTTGGGGTACCGATTGGACAGCCATCGGAAAGCAGCGGGAATACCCATGATGGGCTAGGTTTCGCGCGTCGCGAAAGTCGAGTCGGCTACTGTCGAGATCTTGATGAATGTTCGAGGGGCAGCGCGCCCTGGTTTTGATGTAAAATCGAGCCCGAGCGATGCGGCATGGGTGAGCCTTGCAATGAATGGAGGACGACGGATCCCTGTTTGACGATGAAAGGAGGGAAGGCGATCACAAAGCGACGCTGAAAACGTCGACTTGATGATGTTGGCGCAAGAAAGGCTCTTGACTCTCGAGCCTTCAGCGACTGTCATCTTTTCAGTGCTGCAACAATGTGCGGCCGCGCTAAAAGTGGCTGATTCATGCAAGGCTGACGACTTGATACGTACATAGGCCCCGCTGTGGCTGAAAGTATGGCGCAGTCGCTCAGGGTCCAGTATCCACTCAATCTTTAGCAAGCTGTCCAGACAGCCGTAGCTCGAGGACAGATTGACTATAGCTAGAGAGCGCGACAGCACTGTTGGAGGTAAGTCTCATTGCGGCTTGACGATCGTATTGATCATCTGCTGAATGCCTACAGGATATCACTTCCCAATGGCCATCGACCCCTGATCCAACACGAACGGTGCGCTTGACGCACGGTACAGCAGTCAATTCAGTTCCACCCGATGGCCTGCAACAGCCGACAATATGTTCTCTACTATATCTACGGCGCCTGCTAAGCAGTCTGTCAGCGAGACGATCTCGACGTTGAGCAGTCGACTCAGCTCAGCAACCCTCCTCGAGGACCGAAGAGCAGCTATCCTTGGTCTACGCAGCTTTGCCAAAGACTATCCGGCGTCTGTGTCATCCGGTGCGCTAAGAAGTCTGATTGGAAGCTTGAATAAAGACGGCGAGGATGTAGACACGGTCAAGGTGGTCCTCGAAACTCTCCTGATGCTGTTCAACCCGAATGCGGACAGCCCAGAAGCTTCAGACGAGGTGGCATTGTGGATGGCTGACGAATTCACACAACGTGCGGAGAACATCACCTTGCTACTGGACTTTCTGGAAAACAACGACTTTTACGGTCGGCTATACTCGCTTCAATTGCTCGCCGCCATCTCCAATGCTAGGGCAGAACGCACAAAGGAGTGCATCTTCACGGCTCCCTCTGGTATTCCACGGCTCGTGGCGGCGCTGGACGACCAGCGAGAGGCTGTCCGGAACGAGGCCGTCACCCTGCTGATCTACTTGACCCACAACTCGATCGACATCCAGAAGCTCGTTGCTTTCGAAAACGCCTTTGACAGAATCTTCAACGTCGTCGCTGCGGATGGCTCACTCGCGGAAGGAGGGCGGTCTGTAGAAGACTGTTTCATTCTTCTCGTCAACCTCCTCCGGCGCAACAAGACCAATCAATCGCTCTTCCGGGAATCAGGTTGCATCGCCAAGCTAGCAGAGCTTCTCGCGCAACTGTTGGAAGCCCAAAGCCAGGAACCTGAGATCGCCGAGTGGGCCTTGGCGCAACGTAATCGCAATCTATATGCCTTCCTGGCGGTGGTTCGCCTATTTCTGACCGGATCCAAGGGCACCGCGCAGAATCAAGCTGCATTCTGGAAGCAAGGCTTGGCATTCAGTGTCCTGCAGCTCGCGTTCAGTCATGAGGCTCACGCGACGATCAAAGGCGAGGCCTTGGTGACTGTTGGCGACTTGATTAGGAGCAACGCCAGCATGCAAGAGACCTTTGCCCAGCTCATGGTGACGGCACCCCTCCAAGAAATCCATGACAACGACGACAAGACAAACGGGCATGCAAAAGTCTACGTGATTGACGGTCTGCTCGACCTTACGCTAAGTGTTCAGGATCTAGGGGCATTCGACGTCCGCTTTGCAGCTTGCGAGTGTCTAAAGGCTTACTTTTCGAATCACGCCGAAGTGAAGGCGCATTTCCTGTCCAGAGCCATTGAGGGTCATCAGTCAGGGAACGATGAGGTGACTAACGTCTTGACTGTGTTGTTAAACCCAGCAGCAGTCCTTTCACCCAGTGACCCATATCGCCTGTGGTTTGCGGCCGTGATCGCGTTCCACCTCCTCTACGACAATCCCATCGCCAAGTCGAAGGCGTCTGCTCTCACAGAGGGTGACGCAGAGAACGGCGAGGAGGTGGTGACAAGCATCCAGACGGTGGCGGCCCATCTTGTGGCGGGCCTGCGTCGCGATGACGACCCGCGAATCCTGGTGGGCTACTTGATGCTGTTGCTTGGTTGGTTGTACGAAGACATTGACGCCGTCAACGACTTTCTCAGCGAGGGCAGCAACATCCAGAGCCTCATCCAGGCAATCTTGCAACCGGTAGTTTCTGGAGGCGACCTCGTGCAAGGGCTCTGCACTATGCTTCTGGGCGTAGCGTATGAGTTTTCCACACGAGATTCACCCATACCACGCGCCACCCTTCAAACAATACTACTGTCGAGGCTTGATCGCGACACGTACCACGACCGCCTCAACGAGCTACGCAGTCATCCATTGGTCCGCGACTTCGAGGTCATTCCGCAAAAGGCCGACGAGTCTGGGACATTGCCCGAGGTCTTCCTTGACAGTATCTTTGTGAACTTTCTCAAGGACAATTGCAGCCGCATCACGCGCTGCATAGATCGGGAACCAGGGTTGGAGATCTCCGTGATCAACAATGGCGTGCAAAAAGGCATTTCACGTGAATTGGTCGACTCGCTGCGCGCTCAGCTAAGCGACAAGGACAAAGCGTTGGAGGATGCCCAGCTCGCCGTGACAGCGCTGGAGAACCAGCTTGGTCAGGAGAAGACGGAGCATCGGCGCGCCGCAGACCTGATCGCTGTCGACCTCAACAAAGCAAAGGAAGAGATGACGGCCATGGCAAAGGCCCACGAGGCCGAGTTGAGGAAGTTGCAGACGCAGCACACAGCCAAGGATGCTGCTGTCGAGAAGCAAATGGAGCAGCTGCGATCTCAGATTTCTGCCAAGGAGGCTGACCTGCAAAGACAGCTCGCGGCGCGCAACTCAGCCTTTGAGAAGCAGTCTGAACAGTTGAAGAACCAACACGCTGCCAAAGAGGCAGAGCTGCAGAAGAAGCTCGCTGCGCAACAAGCGGAGGTCGAGAAGAAGCTCAAAGCGCAGCAGACGGACATTGAGAAGAAACACAAGGCACAACAAGCCGAGAGCGAAAAGAAACTGACGACGCAAATATCCGAGAAGGACAAGGAGCTGTCTAAACTACGCGAACAACTCAAATCCAAAGACACAGAGCTCGATGAGAAGGTGGCGCAGGTCAAGAAGACCGCTGAAACGGAAGCGGAGCGTCTACAACGACGAACCGAAGCCGAGGTCGCCGATCTCAAGGCCACTATAAGCCGACTAGAAGTCGATCTGATGAAGGTAAGAACCCGCCGCTCTACTCGACGTTGATGCCCTGCTGACGGACCATCACAGGCCAACAAGACCAAGAGCCAAGAGCTGCAGGCCCTAAAGGACGAGCACACCAAGGCCCTGGCCAATCCCAACAAGCAGGTGAAAGAGGCAGAGGCAGAAGCCAAGAAACTCAACAAGAAGATCAAGGACCTTGAAACGAAGATGAAGGATCTGGAATGTGAACTTGAAGAAGCACACAAGGCTTCCGATACCGCGGGTACCAAGGCCAGAAAGGTGAGTGATACCATGCCATCCCGCATAGCGCACCCTAACTGTGACCAGGCCGAGTCCGAAAAGTCAGAAGCTATCAAGGCGAAGGATTCTACGCAATCTGAGCTCGATGATCTCCTCATGGTATTTGGTGATCTTGAAGAGAAGGTCGCCAAGTACAAGGCTCGCTTGCGGGAGCTGGGCGAGACGGTCTCCGATGGGGAGGATGATGAAGATGGAAGTGACGACAGCGACGTCGACTAGATACCTGAGTAAGCGATCTTACATATACATACGTGTTCTGATCATGAGGGAAGAAATGCCTGAAAGAATCCATCAAGGGACCACGCCTCCAAGGCTGTAGCGATTTTGTAGTGTGTGGATCCACACCCCGCAGACCCTGCGTCACAGCCTTATTTGGCTGGTGGGATGCGGGCAGCTTTGTAGATATTTTCATGTGAGATACAGTACTCGTTTAAAATTCACCATCACACCACCACGACGCTTGTTTGAATACCGCAATTGACATGCCTGGAAACCGCGATCGTGACTCGGCCAGCAGCGCCTCCGAGAGCTCTGAGGGGAGCGACTGGCAAGATGTCGAACCTGATGAGGAGCCCTCAACTGTTGTGTCGCTCTTTGACGAGCAGACTTTCCCGAACCCCAAGGAGATGCTGGCGTACTGCAAGAATAAGCACAACTTCGACTTGCTCGCCATTGTCAAGAGACTAGGGCTGGACTTTTATGGCGCGATCAAGCTCGTTAACTACGTTCGATCAAAGGTGCAGTCCAACCAGCCTCTGCCTGAGCAGATCTCAGCCAAGGACATTGAGGACGACCAGTACCTGAAACCTGTCCTTGAAAACGACGCTTTGCTGTTTACGCTCGATGAGGTTCTCGAGGCGGATCAGGAGACGACTGCGGATCCTGCCACGCGCGCCAGGGCTCTCGAGGAAGAGCTGGAGAACCTGCGCGACCAGTTCGCCAACTATCGCCTGACGGTGGAACAGACCCTGGACAAGCGCTGGGGCGACGATGCCGAGCCGACGCCGTTGACATCCGCGCCCAAGAAGGATGACTCGGAATACTACTTTGAGTCATATGCAGCACATGGTATGATCCTAGCAGAAATGCAATGAAGATGAATAAGCGTCTTGGAACTAACGCGGAGCGCAGAGATTCACGAGACCATGCTCAAGGATGCCGTCCGAACAGACGCCTACCGCGACTTCATCTACAACAACAAGCAACTCTTCAAGGACAAGGTCGTTCTGGACATTGGCTGCGGCACGGGCATCCTCAGCATGTTCTGCGCCAAAGCCGGCGCCAAGCAGGTCATTTCCGTGGACAAGTCCGACATTATGACCAAGGCTCGCGAGAACATCTTCAATAACGGTCTGTCGGACGTCATCACTTGCGTCAAGGGTGCCATTGAGGACGTTGTCCTCCCCGTAGACAAGGTCGACGTCATTGTCAGCGAGTGGATGGGCTACTTCCTCCTGTACGAGGCCATGCTTCCCAGCGTGCTCTACGCGCGGGACAGGTATCTGAAGCCAGACGGCATCCTAGCCCCCAGCTCGGCGACCATGTGGATGGCGCCCGTGGCCGATCCCGAGTTTGTCGGTGACCACATCCACTACTGGAGGGACGTTTACGGCTTCGACTTTAAGGCGATGCAGGAAGGCATCTATGACGAGGCGAGGATCGAGGTCGTGCCCAAGGAGTCCGTCTGTGGCAAGCCTTATCCTTTCAAGGTTCTGGACCTGATGACCGTCAAGAAGGAGGAGCTGTTCTTCACGGAAAAATGGGAGTCGACCCTCGATAAGGATATTGACATGCTCGATGGTTTCCTCATCTGGTTCGACAACCACTTCAACACGAACCATGACGAGCCTGCGCCTGCGCCCGAGGTCACTCCCGAGGAGTGGAACAAGCAGAAGCAGGGCAATGTCGCCTTCTCAACGGGACCCTTCACCACACCCACGCACTGGAAGCAGGGCTATCTGCTCATGCCGCCTGATGATTCGCGCAAGGATCTCAAGGCCGGCACCAAGCTCACGGGCGAGATCATCTACACTGCTGCCGAGGACAACGCAAGGGCATTGACAGTGGGGGCCAAGTGGGCGATTAACGACCAGGAAATGAAGAGCCGCTCATGGAAGATGAAGTAGATAATTCTATGATGCTGATGATGATGATGATAAATCTTGGGAATAGACTAGATGGCGGGGATAGGTATATGGCGTCTAAAAGTGCGGAACTTGAAGCCCTTGCAGCACAAGGTTGACAATGCTGAGGAATCCCTCACCCAAGATGAAGCCCTGTGATGAGGTTAGTGACATATTCTCTCGACAGGCACATGGAAGACAGGGGCGAGACCAACCGAAGCAAGGATGATCATGGGCGTGTTTGACCTCTTCATCCTGTGCACCCATATCCAACCCCCGACGCCGCCAATGGCTCGTGCCAGTGTGAAAGAGGGCACATTGTACATGCCAACAGCCACGGCGATACCTCCAGGGACCCAGGACCGCCACGCTTTGCCAACAGAAAAAGTCCTGATCAGGGTGAAAAACACGAAGAGAACTCCGGCCCCAATGGCCCACTCGGTGGCCATGTACGGGAGGCCTTTGCCCGTGACAAGCCGGGCAGTGAATATCCACACATAGGCAGTGGGGACTTGGAAGAGCTCGCCGGGAATCTCATACACCCTGCAAGGTCAGTCAAGTTCCGTAGAGTGAGGGTCCGGTTGGACATACGTGGTGTAGAGTCTGTAGATGAACGAGCTGAAGACGGCCCCTGCCGTGGCGCCAATGACCTGGCCCCAGAATTGCGCTTTCGGGGCTGCACCAAGTAGATGGCCCGTCTTGAGATCCTGCATCAAATCTCCAGCTTGAAGGGCGCCCTGAACTGGTCAGCGAGATCACGGTATAAACAGCTGAGAGTTGGGGGTGCTTGACTCACGGCTTCAGACACTGCGCCAGCCACAAGATTGATCAGCACGCTTGACTTGTGCCCCTGCGGAATGATCAGAGCAAAGAAGAGCTGCGCGAGCTTGCTGATACCCGAAACTGGATTAAGATCTGTCTCGCCGAGGGCCCTAACACCCATGATGCTCAACACCAAGGCCATCAAGACGGCGATGACAGTGGCATAGACAGGCACAAGGTCCCCAAAAACGATGTGAATCGTCAGCACGCACAGGCCGATGGACAAGAGCAGGCCGACAGACACTGTCTCTTTCCCAATGCGCTGCTCAGGCGGTGCGTCAGCATCCAGATCATCCGTGAGCGTCTGTCTGCGCTCAGCATCGTCAATCGAGTCTCGCTGGGAGGCATGCTCGTCGTCCCTGTCCTGTAGCGGAGTGTACTCGTACGCGTCGAGCCGCAGTAGCTTTCCGACCCTGCTGCTTCTGAAATTCCCGTAGACATCGCTGGAGAGGCGTGCTACGTGCTTCCCAAGGAGAGGTTGAAGTGCAATGTAAGCCAGGCTCACCACCGCGTCGACAAGCATGATGGACAAAGACACCCACACAATCCAGCCCTTGCTGCCTGTCTCCCAGTCTCCCACATCGCCTGGCGCCCAGCCTTTGGACTTGGCCAGGGGACTGAGGATCGCCCAGCCAACAATGGCTCCCAGCGTCATGTGCATGGTCGTCTCGGCACCCATGATGATGCCTTGTCCAATGTACGCAAAACTGGGGTTGAGCGTCCACAGCCACGTGTTCGCCGCCACCGTCCCGAAGATGGGGAGGTTCCGCAACACAGGGAGGAAGTAGGTAGACACGGTGTATAGACCCGAGAGACCGAAGCAGATGAGCAACAGGCGCATGTTGCCGGCCCAGTCGTGCTTTGGATCTTGCGAATCTTCGGCAGGGTCGTCGTCGTACTCTTCCTCAAGTCGGTCCGACGCCAGGAGAGGCTCGTCCCGTGGCACCAAGGCAGCAAACTTGCCCTCGGCCGCGGCGTCCAGCTCCTTTTGAGATTGGTGACCCTGGTCGTGCAGAACCGAGATGAGCACCGCGGTGCTGAAGCCACTCGGAAAACGCAGGCGCTCCTTGATGATGACCTGCTTCCGCAAGGGCACGGCAAAGACCACGCCAAAGTAGCAGAGGCCCAAGGACCAAACGACGAGTTGCCATACGCTCAAATTCAAGGGCCCCCTCTCTTCTGGCTTCAAGAGATCAGTCATCGCGGGAATCTGTGGCACACGTTAGTCCCCTTCTTGCTCACCATCTCCACGTCCGCCAAACTCACCACACCAACGAGACCACACCCAAGCGGCATGATGGCCATGCCGCACGCCACGCTCTGCAGCAGCACATTCTCAACCGGTGTGAATGGGAAGCTCAGGTGTTTCGAGAGCACCTTGAAGATGGCGAAGCCCATCAGACTGGCTGGCATGGACATGATGGACACCCACCCAGTCTGGAGGCCAAAGTAGACATTTGCCGCGCAGATGACGGTGCCGACCGCGAGGCCGGCCGCCACACTGCGAACAGTGAAACTACGTCCAGGTGGTATCGGAGGCACCATGCTTTGACGTGATGGCGAGACGCGCAGATGTCGAGCGAGACTTCCAAGGTCATGTTGACGGACGGGCGCATGAGTAATGCCCATATCGGCCTTCGGCGTTGAGCGGACATGACTAAGCACGACGTCAGGCTGTCCGAACAAGCTGCTCCGACTCTCCTGCTGCTCTCAGACCAGGCAATTAGAAATACTAGTCATTATGAAGTAGGCTATCAGAAGCCAAAGCTATCGAGCAATGATCCCGCATCCGGCTCCTCAAACATGGTCGGCGGAGGTTGCGGCTTCTTGGCCGGTCCATCCTGCGGCATTCCCTTCTGCAAGAACCCACCATTCCTGTCGTCCACTATCAACGAGCTTCTCCTCCGCAGCAGCTTGAGAGGGTTGACCTCGCCGCCAAAGCCAGACGGCGCCGCCTTTTGGAACTCCCAGTTCCTTACCAGGTCCAAGCCGAGCAGATCGCATCCCATGCGGTCGTAGAGCTTGGCACTGTGCAGCACAAACTCCCATTCAGCCCTGGGGCTCACCTTGGATGCGCCGCGCAGTGTCGAGAACGTCTGTTGGCGTAGCTGCGAGTACAGGACAACGAGCGCCGGGTCGTCCGTCAGGTACAGCCGAGACTTGATGTCGGGCGATCCCGGTGTCTCGATGAGTGTATAGACTGGGGACTGAAGGGGCTGGTCAGCAGAGAAGATCAACAACCACTAGATCTGTAACCTACCACAAGAGCGCGCACTGCCATGTCTTTGCGGCCCAGCATCCAGAAAGCCCATGAAGCCATCCAGCGATTGCCTTCGCGTGCAGCCAAGGGGAGCACTGCATCCTGCAGGATCTTGTTCAGCACCGGTCCGCTGTCGCTTTCATACACACGCGTGATCGCAATCGCCAATTGCAGATCTTTGAGCTGATTGAGGCAGACATCGACTGCTCCGGTTAGGTCATCGCCCAAGAGGAAGAATGCCGCAGCATAGGCTGCAGGGTCGTCAGCTCACGCCATCATCACGCGTCGAGACGCACGCACCAAAACGACGCTTGCTCAGCAGCGCATACGCATTCTTCAGCGCGGCGCGCTTCCACTTGGGGTCCTCAAAGTTGTTGGCCAGGAGCTTCTGCGTCATGGCTTGCTCTTTGTTCCAGCCTGCCATGCGCCACAGGCCTTGCAAGACCGACTTTTTACGCAAGGCAAGGTAGAAGAGACTGCAGTCCACCGGGTTCTTCTCGTCACTTTTCGTGTACTCGTTACGGGCCATGGCCTCGAACTGTGCTTTCTGCGGTTGTTAGCAGATTCAAAAGTAGAGACGGTGGTCTGGACATCCTACCACGGCGGTAATGTCCGATAGCCACATGAAGATGCCGCTCTCGCGGGCGTGCTCCCAGAGCATGCTGCCATGATTCTGGCGGGACACAAAGTCCACTAGAATGTCCTGACTGGTCGAGTGATAGGCCCAATTGATTTCTCGCCATGACAGATGGATCTCGGTGGCTCGTCTCTTGAGCAAAGCGTGCTGTCGGAAGAAGAGCATGAACCTCGCCCCGTTCTCGTCCATGGACCGACGCTGACGCTCGACAAAGGCGGCGCACTCGACAATATCTGCCAGCTGAATTTGTTCATGGCCTGATAGCTGCGGGAGGCTGATCTTTGTCAATTTCTCGTTGACAGCCGCCGCTGTTTGTTCTGTGAATGACGTTTCCTCCTCTTCATCTTCGCCTTCTCCTTTTTCATCGAAAAAGTAGCCGTTGGGTCGCCCAGATTTTGCACTGGACATATCGAGGTCTGTGTAGAATTCCTCCATGCTCAAGCCGAGGTAGTCATCTAGCTCTTCGCCCTCAATGTGATACTTCAATATTCGGTGCAGGGCGAACAGCACACGTCTGACCAGCGCGCTCTTGCCAGCGAGGATGCATTGCGAGAGGAACTGTGGGTGAAACACCGACAGTGGGCCGTTGAATCGCTGGACTACTTCGAACAGATCCGTCGATCCATCCTTGCGGTGTGGCAGCCGCATCCATTCTGCATGCTGTTCACTTGGGTAAAAGTTGCGGTCATGGATGAACATTTGGTTGCCAGCGCCAATCACCAGGTGGCCATCGCTCAGCCATGTTGAATCGCCGATGGGATGCGGTGTCAAGTCGCGAATGCCAATCTCTCGTATCGGGGCCCATGCCGGTCCCTTGTTCAGGTAGTCGAAGCGCATCTGCGACAGCAGAACGACTTTGTACTGAAAGCCAACGGCGAGAATGGACTGTGAGTCGGGCGTTGAAGTCCAGTCTAGGTCTTGCACCACGTTGTGCGTCTTGTAATCCTCCTCAAACTCGAGGCGTGCTCCGCCAATATCCCAGATTGTGACCTGTGAGTGGGTTGCATTGGCAAGCGCTGCCTTCTTGAGCGTGCTTCCGCTGACCAATGCCAGCCCAGATATGCCAGTCTCTGTAGTGCATGTCGACAGCCACTCGACGTGTTGCTTCTCCAGATCAACACGTGCAGTCCAGAAATCAACTCGGCCCGTGTCGGTGTACGAAATAGCAACGTCGCCTGCAAAGACATCAAGAAACCCATGGGCAACGGGGGTCGACCCTGCCGGGTCGACTGGAAGCACGTAGGACAGGCCTTCGATGTCTTCCAGCGCAAAGCGACAGAACTCCTTGATCCCACCTCCCGCCATCGACATTGGATCGTCAAAGTAGCGCGGCAGACTGATCTCCCACACGATACCACGCCCCTTTGACGTGATTGTACCAATGTGGGCTGTAGTGTAGTCGCGGGTCTCCGGACGCGGCAGCACAATCAGACACAAGGGCTGACCATCCACCTCATAGGAGCATTGGCCAAGCGAAAGAGCACGCTCCGACCGACAGTCCCACAGAGTGACCGTTGTCGCCTGCAAGAATACCACGAAACGGCCCTTTCGCAGCACCGAGATGCGATGGATGCGACCTTCCTCGAGTATCGAACAGCGCCGAGAGAGTGTCGGGCCCGTCTTGTTCGTCCGCGACTGGGTGTGTCCCCAGACAATACTCTCCCCTTGTTCCGTGCGCGTCACGACGGCCTTTCCGCTAAAGTTGCGGACCATCTTCCTAATCGATCCCGAGTGGCCCGACCATATCGTCTCGAGTGACAGTCGACGATCGTTGGTGGTGGGATCCAGCAGATCCGCAATGTTAGTGGTGAATACGCCTATCCTGCCATCGAACGAATGCAACAGAATGTGCAGTCGACCACTTGCCTTGTCGCAATACGTCTGTATCTCCACGTGAGGCAATTGTCGCAACGACAGGAAGCCACTGAGAAACTCGAGTTGTCGCGACCGGATTTGTACAATGTTGAAAATCCCTGGTTTCTCCGCCGTGCTGCTATTGACGTCCTCGAGCGCCCACGCTGACAAGAGTCCAAGGCTGTCGACTGCGATACATATCTCAGGGCTCTTTCTGGCCACGGCCACCAGATGTTCCAGCGCGACATCGTCCACGACTGTGTCGTTCGTCATTCGATCCTGTACCGCTCGCTCGACCGAAGGCGTAAAGTCTCGGGAGTCGACGACAAAGGCAAGCTGCACATCCTGCGCGGCAGGCTCGCCATCTTCAAGCGAGGCTCCCACATTGACCTGGCCCCATAGCTGCCAGTGCTTTCCGTCGTGGGACTCGGTCGGTGTCCAGACCCTCACGGCCGCATCAATGCAGAACGTGTATAGAACATTGTCCACCGATTGATCCACATGAAAAGGCTTGCGCCATCGGAGGGAGCTGACAATCTCGGGATGTCGCAGATAGGTCATGTCAAAGCTGGCCTCGTCCGAACTATAGGCGAGACGTCGCCAGACTTTGGGCAACTTATCGTGGTAGCCAACGGAAGCAATGTAGGCCGAGTCGTAGGATAGCGAGGCAAACTTTACCGGGCTGGGGAGCTCCCTTTTCCACAGACACGCCGGCTCGCCTCGGGTCGAGTACAGCGAGAGCCAATTCGTCCCCAGTAGCAGCTCCTCGGAACCTCCCCAAGACAAGGCGCATGGAGAATCAGACACGGGGTGCGGAATGGCAAATGCCGCCTCGAGTGCCCACTTGAGAGCGTTCTCTCGCAGCCCGAATGGCCTGTATATGCGTACCTGCTCGGAAGTGCAGCTCGCGATCTTGCCGGTGCTCTCGTCGAGGGCGATCGCCTCTAGCGGTTGCTCGTCGTCATCGTAGATGGTTTGCAGGATCGTGCGCGGGTCGCTGAGGATGGTTATCGCGTTGCCCGTTATATATACCTGCGACAATTAGCTAAAGCGCGCGACCACTGTTGCCGTCCATACATTAATGTGCCTGCTGTCCCAGCAGCCTGTCGCCAGACCCTGAAGCCGGGATTGGGGCTTGCCCGGCAGGACTGCACTCATACTACCGGCCTCGCAGAAGAGATCGCATTGCCAGTGTATAGCTAGGAGGGTGCGGAAAGGACGTCAACCGTTGATGAGGGCCTAGAGACGTTATGCGCGAGCGTGCTGGGAGGGTGTCACGATGGAGGAGGATTGACCCGCATGTCGGCTTGACGCGACGTGACGCACTTGAAGGCTGCTAGCGCGGTGTTTTCTCGGGGATCCTACCCCCCTTTACCTGGGGAGACTGATGGCCATAGACTAAGGTACTGAGTAGCAAGTCACGAGATACAGCACAACACAGCGAGGCGCTTGATGCTTCATTCAAAACTTGAACATTTCCAGCGAGATCTTCTGACGCCACTCCTTCCCGAAAGTCACACGAGGGTATCCTGCCAAGTCAGGTGCTTCCAGTAGGCACGTCTGACCGTGTATCCTATCCAAAACGCCTACGCAATGCACCATTTTCTTTCCCCGTATCCGTTCATGCGTAATCACCGGTCATCGCTATATATATCAGGTGAGCTTTCCCGCTCTTCCCTCTCTCTTGTTGGTGATCGCCGAGTTGGCGACGCTGAGCGCCTCCGCTTGTAAGACTCGAACAGGCTTCGTGGCGGAGTTGGGCGGCGTTCTTGTTGCTCTGTCCTTGGTCCTGGCGTACTAAACAAGGGCCTCTGGGTGGACGCGAATCGAAGCGGGTGTTGAGCGCTTGCAAGCTGAGCCCGAGAGCCCGCATCGGCGGGCCGCGATGGCGTAGCAAGGACTGGCCTCGCCATGCTCGATTGCAACCTAGACTGGGCTGGGCGGTGTGCGCTCGGTGCTGCTCTTGGACGGATGGCAACCTCATTCCCAAAGATCTCAGGGGGTGGCCCCCTAGGTGTTGTCGAGGAAGCTACGTTTGGCGTCGCTGGGAGTAATCTCGGGAATCGCCTTGGCCCCTGTTCGAGCTGCGCACCACTGCTTGCGCCTGTCGGGCTGAGTAAAGGCGATGTACCCTCGTCTGCTTCTCTGAGGGGCGGCATTGTCCTTGCAAACATTCCACTCGCGGCCAGCTGAGGCTGCCAAGTCCCCTTGCTCGGGGTGTCCATACCATACTGGGCTGTTCGAGCGGACTGCATACGTGATGTGGTGTGCATCAGACTTGACCTTCCATGAGACGCTCTTGCAGGCGTTTGACGTGCAGCAATGGTTTCGTCCTGGAGACACTGTCCTCTCCACCGCTGGAAAGCCTTGTTCCGCGAGCTGCGAGCATAGCGCCTGCTGAGAGCAACAGCTGTATGGGCCTGGCCACCTTGTTGAATGGCCGAATTCGACCATGTTTTCTGGTAATGCGATCGCTTCTTGGAGATCCACGTCTCCCGAGCCACTCCATCTTGTTCTTGATGGTAGACCGCTTGTTCGCTCCAGCTGTTGAGGAAATTCACCGCGTGGCGAAGCCGCATTTGGTAACTGGTTTGTTGGTGCTCAATCGTTCGGCCGGCCCAGGTGTCTAGCATCGCCACCCTTTGCGCCTGCTCGTTAGTCGCCCGGATCCTCGACGCCCGATCGACTTCGTGTTGGTCGCGAGTGGCCGCAGCGCGCCACCTGTCAACGGCTGCAAGGCAGGATCTCTTCTTCTTCTCTTTGCTAAAGCGACGGTAGACCTCTTCCAACCTCTTCCTGAGCGTCGCTTTATCCTGTGCTTGCTGACGAGCCACCGTCCTTTGCACTATGTCCAGGAGCCGTGTAGCGCATATATATAGACGGGCGTTGTTGTTATGCCTGATCAGCTGCGCGCGCTGAGATATGCATGTGCGTGCATTTGATAGTACTCTTGCGCGCGCGCGCAACTCATAATGAGCAGCAACCGCACGTTGTCGTTGCACGTTGTCGTTGGCGCCGCGCTCCCAGAGGTCAAAAGTGCGGGTGGCAGAGACATATTCGTTCCTCCACTTGAAGGCTTGCGCCCTAGCCCGCAGATTCCAGAGATCGAATGCGTGGCTGGCCTTATCCATGAGGTAAGCTTGGCGATAAGCCTGAGCTCGTCTGCCAACTTCGGCCTGATCCCACCAGATCCTCAAGAGGTCGTGTGCCCTCTTCTCGAATCCCAGTTGTACTGACGCTTGTTGTCTGGCCGCTCCAAGCTCTGCCCTGCCTTGCCATCTGATCAAAGCATTCAGATTGTGCATTAAATGTCGATGAGTGTGAAGAGCGGCTTCCAGGCTCACGTCGTTGTCAGCGCGACGCATCCATCGCCTGGCAGTGTTTAAGCGTTCACGCACCGCGACCTTTTGGCGAGTGTCTGCCGCTCTGATAACACATCGCCACCTGTCAAGGACAGCTGTTACTTTTTTGCTTCTGTGCGAATTGTATGACGCCGAAGCGGAAATGCGAAGCTGTTCTTCGTTCTCCGCCACAGCTCGCTTGAGCTTCTGCGAAGCGGTGGCGACTCGAAGATGGTCCACCCCGGGCAGCCTTGAAGTGGGCAACTGGCTCCAAGCATGGAAGCAGCGGAATCGGATCATATGGCGTCGGGCCACAGCCTCTCGCTCAAGCCGCCGCGCTGTCTTGTCGGCCCAGTGGTTGAACACTTTGCTGGCAAGGAAGATTTCACGAGCCCGGGCTGCAATAGCTTGCATTCTCTGCTCTTCTGCTTGCGCGGCGGCCGTGAGCTTCTGCGCCTGTCTTGGTGTCTCCAATGGCTTGTTCGCCTTTGGTGACGGCGGCTGATTTGACGATGCTACCGCTCTCTCCAGTGACCGCCTCCACGTTCCTCCCACGTCCTGTGGAGAAGTCGCTTCTGTCGCTGCGGGCAACACAAGCGGCTTCTTCGTCGTCGGCGCATCCGGTCTTGTCCCTGCTGCTCCTGGGCCTTGCGCACTGGCTGCTTGCCCTTTGTGTTGCTCCTTGGAATGCCTCCACATATCCAGTGCCGAGAGTAGGGAACGACGTTGTTGCGTCGGTATCCTTGATTCAGCAGGTGTGCGGAATGGTTGTGGACGCTCGTCGAGCCGATACTCGGCCGTCGTCTCCTCTACTGGCTGCAGCTGTTGGAAAAGCCGGTCTGGTTCGAAATGGACGCCCTGCACTATGCCGTTGCTTGGAGCGACTGGAGGGTGAGATGCAGGAGCCTGCTTCCCATGTTTTGCACGAGATACTGCCTCTGGTTCCCTCGAGTGTCTGGCAGCGACAGCATCCCGCCATCGATTCAACGCATTGGTCGCAGCGACTTGTCTAGCGGCCTGAAGCGCTGCTTCAGCCTCGGGATCAGCATCAAAACTTGAATCGTCCCACGAATCTTGGATCCCATTGTGGTGATGCTGATTCGCAGGTTGAGTCGATTCAGGCGAACCAGAAGATTCCTTCGTTTCGTCCGACTCATATTCGGCGACAGTCGGTTTTGGCTGCTCAAATCTTCGGATCCCCACGGGCGGGACAGTGACGGAAGCAGACGTATCGCCCTTTCTGGCATCCAGCGGTCGCGTCGATTGTCCGTCGTCCTGGGACTGAGAGGAGTTGTGGAGGGAGGCTGAAGTATCGTCGCCAAATTCGAGGGCTATCCCCATGCAGCCCAGGATAGCCTGGAACTTGTCCCCCAGCGTCGCGTGCTCCTCCTCGCCCCCAATGCGGAAAATGAAGGCGGAGAAGTGCTTGTCCTCGTCGGGGTCGATTCCGTATTCGGGCAAGATGTCGTCGTATGCTTGAAAGAGCGCCGCGACTGGCAAAGGCTTTGGGTCGCGGCCATGATTGACGCGCTCTTCCGCAGCAGCAACAATCGAGTGTAGGATGGCGATTTCTGGAGAGGAGAGGTCAGAAACGATCGTGCGACTACCACTAAGTCTTGGTACCTTCGTTTGAGTAGTAAGGTTCCTTCACCGAGCGCGCCGACTCGGTGAAGCTTGCGCCTTCATCATCAGAAGGCGGAGCACTGTATTCTTGATTGGTAGAATAATCTGAAAATGCCACTGCCACAAGCGCATTAGCATGACTTTCTAGCTCAAAGGTCGTTCCACCCACTTGAGGCGTTCTGTGGACTCTGTTATCGATCCATAATCAACAGAGGCGTGTACGGGCGCGTTGCGCCATGCGCCGACTGCAATTGCTCTTGGAACTTGGAGCTCAAGTTGCGACGGAGCTACAGCCAAGATGAAGTTATTGCGTTGCGATGTCGTGTCCAAGATACCCAGCTAGGCGAGCCGAGTTGCAATATTGTCGTAAAGGAAGAGTCTGACTGCGCGTTCAGAATCGGATCATGTCGAGACACAATTATGAATGGACCATTCGAATAAAGAATGATTCCGCTCTAGGGCGCCTTGCGTCGCGTCCACAATGACAGCCGTCGCGAATTGAACGCACACGCCAGCGCGCGTAAAGTGAGTGGCTGGTGGGATGCCTCCTCTTAGATGCATATCACCCAGTTATGCACTATACCCTAGGCATTCACAATGGACTTCATCATCGACGTGGACTCATTCAAGCCATCAGTCGGCATCATTTTGACACGAAGATGAATCCTGCCAAGACGCGCCCGATTCAGAAATTCGCGGCCGCGACTTCAAAGTGCTCTGTCGAGGTATGTTTGATCTCCAGGATTTCCAATGGGCAGATCTAATATCTCTGCAGGCCGCTGCATATGGCAAATGTATAGTGGCGGACTATAATGCAGTGCACAAAGACAAGTGTGCCAAAGAGTTTATGAGGTTGAAGGACTGCTATCTGGTGAGTTTGCAAGAAGAATGCACCAAGCACGCACGTACTAACACGGTCTATCTGCAGCTTGCGTCGAAAAAGTAACTGCAAATATCTCTACATGGTATTCCCAACTGCCTAAGACTCTTATCTATCCCTCATAATATCATTTTAAGCGACCAAATGCAAATTTCACCACATCCTCACAGCTTCAGCAACCGAAGCGAGAACGTTGCCTGCTGCAGCTCTTGATCCTCCTCTGCGATGAGCCCTTCCGTGTCCGAGCCAGCCTGCTTGTCAATGGGCCGGCGCAGCGACTTCGCAAAAAACGCCCCTTGTGATGAGAACACTTCCTCCAGACCGATGCTCTCAGGGTCAGTGAGCACCTTGTACTCCATCTTGATGTCATCGGTAGGCTGTAGACCAGCCTTCTTGCGCAGACGCTGCACTCGGTTGATGACTTCACGGGCCAGACCCTCTTGGGCTAGCTCAGGGTGTATTTCCGTGTCCAGGATAGTCAGAACGTCGCTGTCCGTGTTGGTTTCGAGGTTCTTGGACGTCTCGTCCTCCTTCACGCCACGGCGCACAACCAGGTCGCCCTCCCCAAGAGGGATTCCATCAACCACGATGGACTTCTCCGTCTCGTAGGCCTTGCACTGGTCACTCGTCAGAGTGGGCAGTGCCTTCTTGACCCGGGCCAGATCCTTCTTCAGCTTCTTTCCCAACACGGGCCAGTCGGCTACGACGCTATACTGGACATTGTACTTGTTCTCATCCGACGTGAGCACCAAGTCGCGGATGTTAAGCTCCTCGCAGATGTATTTCTCCAGAGATTTGACGTCCTCCAGGTATTGGGGCTCACGGTGGATGACCACCAAGGTCTTGAGCGGGTGCTTCAGGCCAATAGCACGACGCTCACGCGATACACGGGCGAGCTCGATGACCTTCTGCATCCTGCCGAACCTTCGTTCAACGACGGGGTCGAAGAGCTCCTTGCGGACCTCGGGGAAGTCGAGAAAGTGCACACTACGAGCATCCTTGGCACGCTGCTTCTCGGGGATATGAGGCAGCAGCCTCTTGTAGATGTTGTCGGTCAGGAATGGTGTAAAGGGCGCCAAGCCACGGCAAAGCGTATAGAGCACCTCAAAGAGCGCGTTGAGAGCGTGAAGGGTGTCGTCCAAGCCACCCTCACCCTTGAGGCGGCGGCGGTTGAAACGAATGTACCAGTTTGTCGTGTTGTCGATGAGCTCCAGCAGACGGGGTACGACTGTGTACAAGCGGTAGACTGTGCCTTAGATCAGCTGCGTTCATCCACACCCGCAAAGGCCATCACTTACATTTCATCTCCTCGTTCACAAACTCGAGCAAGCTCTGACAACTGGCTAGAATCCAGCGGTCCATGACGTTGGTGTTGCTCGACTCCATGCTCGGATCCCACATGTAGTCGACGCCCTCGGCCTTCTTGAGAAGCGCTACCTGGCCCTCGAAGAATTTGTAGCTGTTCCAGAGAGGGAGGAGCACCTTTTGCACAACCTCCTTCACACCAGACTCCTTGAAGCGCAGGGGCTCAGCGCGCACCACGGGTGAGTTGATGAGATACAAGCGGAGTGCATCAGATCCGTATTTGGCCATGATGACGTTAGGGTCGGGGTAGTTCTTGAGACGCTTGGACATCTTCTTGCCGTCTTCGGCCAAGACAATGCCATTGACGACACAGTTCTTGAACGGAGCCTGGCCGAACAGGTGAGTTCCCATGACGACCAACGTGTAAAACCAACCACGAGTCTGATCCAGACCCTCAGCGATGAAGTCGCCAGGGAAGGATGCCTCGAACTTATCCACGTTCTCGAAGGGGTAGTGCTGACTAGCGAATGGCATGCTGCCAGACTCGAACCAACAGTCAAAGACCTCTTCGACACGCTTCAGGTCACCCTTGCCCTGCTTACTAGGGATAGTGATGTGGTCGATCTTGTCTCGGTGAAGATCGTTGATCTCCTCGGCATGGCCGCTCAGTTCGCGCAGTTCTTGCACGCTTCCAACGCAGACGCGCTCTTCGCCGTCGTCGCTGACCCAGATAGGGAGGGGAGTGCCCCAGTATCGGTTTCTGCTGACGTTCCAATCACGGGCGCCCGCGATCCAGTTGGCAAAGCGGCGTTCCTTGACAGCGGAGGGCACCCAGTGTGTCCCCTCGATGTTCTTCAGCATGTCTGGGACGACCTCAGGGATGCGAATGAACCACGAAGGTACAGCACGGTAGATCAGAGGAGTATCTGACCGTGGGCACATTGGGTATGAATGCTTCAGCATAGAATCAACGACGACACGGCCCTCGTTCTTCAGGTGCTTGATGATGTGCTTGTCTGCCTCCTTTACGTGCATGCCCTCAAAGTGACGGACGCGCGCTGTGAATTTGCCAGTGTCCGTGATTGGGTCAGGGGCCGGGCGGTTCTCCGTGACGATGCCAGCCTCCACGGCCACGTTGTAATCGTCCTCACCAAAAGCGGGGGCCTGGTGAACGATACCGGTACCGCTGTCGGCCGTCACGTATGTGGCGTTGAGAACCTTGAAGGCGACATCCTTAAAGTCCTCGTAGTAGTAGTCAAAGGGAGGCAGATACTTCCAGCCCAGCATATCCTTGCCGAGGATCTTACCGGTGATGGTGTACTTGGCCTTCTTGAGATCTTTGTAGAGCGTCGTCAGGAGGTTCTCCAGGATGATATATGTCTTGCCGGATTTCTCGTCCTTGACCTTGATGTACTCGAAGTCGGGGTGGGCGGCGAGGCCGAGATGCGAGGGCATAGTCCAGGGAGTCGTCGTCCAGGCAAGAAGGGCTGTGTCCGGGTCCTCAACGAGGGGAAAAGACACGACAATCGCAGGGTCGTTCACGTCCTGGTAGTTCTGGTTGGCCTCAAAGTTGCTCAGGGCCGTGGTGAGTGCCGTGGAGTATGGCATCACGCGGTACCCTTGGTAGACCAACCCTTTGTCGAAGAGCCTCTTGAAAGCCCACCATTCTGACTCCATGAAGTTCGGGTCCATGGTCTTGTAGTCGTTGTCAAAGTCGATCCAGCGACCCAAACGATCAATCGTGTGGCGCCATTCGCCCGCAAATCGCATGACAATAGCGCGACACTCGGCGTTGTACCTGTCAAGACCGTACTGCATGACGGCCTGCCTGCCCGTGACGCCCAGCTTCTTGTCAATCTCGTGCTCAATGGGGATGCCGTGGGTATCCCATCCGAATCGACGCTCGACGTGGAAGCCCTTCATGGACCAGTATCGGGGGATAATGTCCTTGATCGTCGATGCCAGGAGATGGCCGTAGTGGGGAAGACCTGTCGCGAAGGGCGGTCCATCATAGAAGGTGTAGCGAGGACGGCCCTCGGAGAGCTCGAGCTGACGCGCAAAGGCGCCGATTTCGCGCCATTGCTCGAGTACGGCCTCCTCTGCCTTGGGAAAGTCGATGGACATGGTGGGCGTTGGCTGGAGGTCTTTGCGGGGTGCCTCGTTGACCCGAAGGAGATCTTTGGGTGACGAAACCTTCGGAGGAACAGGTGGTACTTCCAGAGAAAGGCGCAACCTTCCAACTGTCCAAATTCGCGTTGAAGAGAGGAACAACGGCAAGGAAAAGATGGAAGCTCAATCACCAAGTTGGATGGAGGGGTTCTTTTTTCTACAGGCCCGAGTGAGTCGTGACTCAAGGTGGGGTGGCATGCCCACCCAAGGACTGGACGAGGCTGTTAACTTCATGTTGAGGGCACGCTGAGCTGAAGATGAGCAGTGAAATATTCGATTGTCTTGTTCTAGAACAGTTCATCTTATTTTCTACATCATCGTCACCATACCATGGTAATCTGCTACCGACCTCGTTGTGTAGAATCACAGTCTTCGCTTGACTGATAATGCGTTTCGTGCTGCCCCTCGTCAGGGTCCGAGCGCGGCGTGCTGAGTAGCCGCAACCAGTCTACCCCAGTATCGAAGGTCCTCTTCGGGGCAGATCTGGTGGAGTGGTACCTCCCTTCGATGCGTGTCTCAGTCGCGACGACTTGCGTCAATGCGCAGTCCACCAGCAACCCCAGCAACTGCATGGGAGTCGCGACCAAAACACCAAATGTACAGACTTACGACGTTGTTTGATCCTTTCGCAAGACTCTCTCGGTTAGACGCCTCCGTCATTCCGCCGCATCTGGAGCTTCAGCACATGGTCGATTTCGCCGCCTAGTTGTCGAATCCTCCATTTCGCACCCGTCCGCCCCAAAAACAGCTCCAGAGTCTGGAGGCCTAGATCCCCTCAATCCCAAGCTGCACCTGAGCACGGCGTATCACCATGTCGTTTCTCTTCGGTCGCGCAAAGTCACGTCCGACCGCAGATCTGGGCAAGCAAGCACGGGAACACATATCCAGACTCGATGGCCCAAATGGACCGGCCAAGGCTGAGGAGCTGGCAAGGGTGCTCAGTCAAATGAAAATCTTGTTGCAAGGCACCCAAGGTACATACCAAAGCCGTCACGACCGCCAAGATGCCACTGCTGACAACACTCTACAGAATCTGAGAGCTCTCCCGAACAGATCTACCAGCTTGTCACTGGCCTCATCGACGAGGACCTCCTCCACCTCCTCGCTGTAAACCTCTACCGTCTACCCTTCGAAGCCCGCAAAGATACCCAGGTCATCTTTTCATACGTCTTTCGATTCCGACCGGCTGCTGCGGCACCTAAAAGCGACCCACTGGCGTTATCTTATGTTGTCTGCAACCGTCCGCAGGTTCTGGTGGAGTTGTGTCGGGCCTACGACCACAAGGAGAGCGCGACCCCAGCCGGCTCAGTGCTACGCGAGTTACTCAAGAATGAGGCGGCGGCGGCCATTATTCTTTACGATGATGAAAACTTGCCCGGTTCCAGTAGCAAGGGGCTGAATGCCATTGACCGCGATCGGCCACAGAGTGGCAGGGGCGTGTTCTGGAGGTTCTTTGAATGGGTCGACAAGAGTTCCTTTGAGGTGGCAGCTGATGCTTTCACTACATTCCGAGTATGCCTATTCAAAGTCCTGCTCTTTCACCATGCTGACAGAAGACAACAGGAGCTACTCACCCGGCACAAGGAATTGGTACCTCAATATCTCAAAGTCAACTTTAATCTGTTCTTCGAACGATACAACAACGTCCTCCTCCAGTCCAAATCCTACGTCACAAAACGCCAATCGATCAAGCTGCTGGGAGAGATCCTCTTAGACCGGGCCAACTACAATGTCATGATTGCGTATGTGGAGAGTGGTGAGCACCTCAAGATATGCATGAACCTCTTGCGCGATGAGCGCAAAATGGTCCAATACGAGGGCTTTCACGTCTTCAAGGTCTTCGTGGCCAATCCCCACAAGTCCATTGCCGTGCAAAAAATCCTCATTATGAACCGAGACCGACTGCTCAACTTCTTGGCGCATTTCCTGGAAGATCGAACAGATGATGAGCAGTTCATCGACGAAAGAGAGTTCCTGATCAAACAAATCAGGAACCTGCCCCCTGCACCGGTACCGCCGCCTCAACGATGAGGCTGTGAGTGGTTCAGGGAAAAGGCTTGTGAATGAAGGCAGTCTTTGACGAAAGCTATGACTACGATACAGACTACGATACATTGACTTTCACTTGGCACTAGGCGTTTGGGAGTTGGGCATTTCCTCATACATATACTACATTACAGCGCAAGACCTTGAATTTCAGTGCTTAGACCCTATTTCGCAGATAATAGCATATAATCTATGTGTTGCCCAACGCCAGACCGCACGCGCCCGAAACGAAAATCCACACTACTCATTCATTCACGCATCCTCATTCAGCATGCGTCATTACACCCGTGGTTGCTTAGACAGCAGTACGTTGACGCTCTCCCGAGCGTTCTGGGTGGTCCAGACACTGTTGTTTCCGCCTCGCCTCCATTCATCGCTGTGGATCCTGTCGCCTCCTCCTTTGCTGGTCTCGCCCATGACGATGTCCAGGTCGCGCTTCTGCGAGCTCATCCAGTTGATGATGAAGTTGGCGGGATCTTCGCTCAGCGAGGTGAAGAAAGTGTGTTTGGCCTTGGACACCGAAACGGCCTGTACCAGCCGCGCTAGCTGATCGTCCAGTCCGTTCACATCTTTCAGCATGGTGGCATACTGAGGGTTGGTGAGGAAGGGCTGCAACACAGCCCGCAGAGGGTCTTCGACGGTGATTGGAATGTCGTAGACAGTTGGTTTGGGATCTTTGTGGAATTCTTCATCCACGCGAATTGTGTACTCAAGCTGGATCGGTGGAAGGGGGAGGAGGTGTGGCACAATGTACTCAGCCAACAGGGGAACATGCCCGGTATCCCGACCGACGACCTACAACATTAGCGAAGCTCTCATGTCACAGAATGGTCAGGCTTACCTTTCTAAGCAAATCGTCGCAACGAAAGTTGCGCTTCTCGTCGTCATCTTGCAAGCGGGCCATCCTGATGTATTCCCAGAGACCCATGACAGCCTCGTGCTGCGTCGCCTCCGTCATGTCTAGTACCTCAGCTAGCTCTGGTTTCAACTTGTACCGCTCGGGAGTCTCATGTCGCTGTAGGCTGATTGTGATGTTGACATTCTCGTCTCCGCTTCGCTTGAACGAAATGTCGTCAAAATCGGCCGCCGCTGGCAGCGCGACGGGATGCTGGTTGCGGGGAGCCGGCGGGTCGGGCTTCTTCCATTCAATGCTCTGTTCGTTGCTGTTCCTGTAGCGCGACGGGTCGAATTCGATATTCATCGCTTTGAAGAAATGGGAAAATCGTGGCTTGGGCTTGGTGGGTGTCTTTTTCTGCGCCGCAGGGCCATCCTCGTCCATTTTGTTACCATCGGCGTCCTTCCCTTGCCCATCCGTCTCTCCATCATGTGCGTCTTCGTCGTCGTCCAGCAACCGCCCCTCAATCTTGACTCGGTAGGTTGCGTCCATGTTTGGGGAGAAGTCAAATGCATCCACGTTCAGCCCATTCCCCTGCCAGACCTGGCCCTCGACCGTATTGCTGATCCAAATACGCATGGTTTTGGTGGACTTGGTGGGACGGCTGACGGAGTCCATGACGTCCATCCTCTTGCGTGTCATTGTCGCATCCAGGCGTCGTTCCACGTTTCGCAAGTCTTTGTATCGCTGAACTGGCTCTGGATCGATAATGCAGTCCGCGACTCCGTCTGGCAGTGTTTTGTCGGTCGGTTTCTTGCTTCGACGCTTCGCCATGTCGTTGGCCTGAGAGGCCTGTTGCTGTTGCTGCTGCAATTGCGCTTGCGTAAGCGGCACCTGAGGATGAGGGCCTGCAGACATCATTGGACCTGTGAAGAATTGTCAGCGCCGTGCTCTGTCGCTCGTGTGATGGCAGAGCTGGAAGTAGTACCGATGCCACCGCGGCGCTGCTGCTGTTGCTGCTGCTGCTGCTGCTGTGGTTGCGCTTGCCGTGGCGGCAACTGCTGTTGTTGCGCAAACGCGCGATACTGCTGCTGCATGCTGACCACGTGTTCCGCGACGAATTGCTGTGTGTGATGTGATTTGCGACTGACTGGCGCTGGATGGTACCACAACTTGAACGTGATGCCTGACAAGGATGCCGCGTCCGTCGCGTCGCATGGCGAAAATGTGTTGAATCACGTGACGTGTATGCCTCCCTAATGATTGACCTACCATAGGCAGGACACGACAGGATGAATGTGCCATCGGCATCCAATTTAGCTCCCCAAACACTCGTATTCAATATTCTCTAGTAAAGCTTCTACAATAGAGTCGTTAATGCGAGGGCTTCCTCCCCTTCTCACCAGTTGTATAGGCCAGTGATGCCACTCCTCAATACGTCCAACACGGCTGCGCTCTAGACAGCAATTAAAGCAAGATGCCAACATACTGCAAATGTACGACAATGACCGAAAGGAAGGTGGTCAATCTATATCACCGCTCCATTCCAAAGGTAGACAAACGATGCTTCGGGCTGAAGGATGTGAGCAAGAAGAAGAGAAGAAGCAAGTCATGATGCGCCCAAGTACGCCGCGCGCCATGCCGGGCAATGTGCCGAGTTTTCAAAATGCCGAATCGAGGCCGTTACGAGATTGTCGCTTGCTGAACCGATTACGCTTGCGTTCCGGGACAGGGCTAGGATCATCCAGGCTGGCCTGACTCTTGCCCAGATGACTGCGCCCATAGCGGTCACTGGTAGCGCCATACTGTTCGAGATTGCTGCCGCCTAGCCCAGCAAGAGTACCCGATGGGCTCGACATGGCGGACGAGTAGCCAGCTTCGCTGTGATAAGAGTTGTTGACGCTCTGGGACTGCATGATGGCATAGTCCCTGGCTCGTTCAATGCATTCGATCCACTCCTCGGCCGACGCTCTCTTGTCGTCTGAGCTCGTGGCATTTTTGTTGTCTTCGAACGTGTAATGGTTGCCGCCCTGTGATGTCAGAATCCGTGAACGTAGAATAAGAGTATGGGCTTGCTCACAGTGTCAACACACCAAACCAGTTGGCCCTTCGCGTCGTGCTGTGTCCTCCACGCGCAATCGGAACCCATCAAAGATAACTCTTGCTTGGTGCGTTTATCCTCTCCCCCGGCGGGCGCCATGATTATGCGGCCGCTCGACGTTATGATAACGAGACGTTGCCGCTTCTTAGTTGTGCTTCCACCGAAGAACCGAGATAGTTTCTTGTGTCCTTCTTCGCCTTTCCCGTTTGCTCCCGAGGGCAGGGGGTTCGAAACTACCATCAAGTCCCCGAGCTTCAGTATCCTCTCGTGCGGTTTCGTGAGCACGGGGGACCACTCGATGTCGAGCTGTGTAGGTGGCGGAAGCTCAGTGATGAGACGGGCCATTGACCTATTCGCGCCATTGGAGGGAGTCGGGTGGCTCGTTGGAGGTTGGCGATTTTGGGGCGCCTGTTGTGGAGTGCTGGCATGATGACCCCCGTTAAGTTGGATCACTGTTGGCTCAGGAGTTGGTGGCACATAGGGGCGAAGACGAGGTGCCTTGGAACGCCAAAGGCCCACGCCAAATGGCTGTCCATCAAAGAACTCGTGATTGCGGATGTGCTCAACTGTCAACCGGCGCGAAGGATCCAAGACCAGCAATCGCTCGACTAGGTCACGGGCCGCGTGGGGAAAGCCGGCAGGGAACTCGTATTCCAGGTTGACAATCTTCTGAAAGGTCAAGTACTCGCTGCCTGCTTTGAAGGGCGGTCGCCCTGCCAGCAATTGGTAGATGATGCAACCAAAGGCCCAAAGATCGCTGGCTTTGCAGGCACTCTTGTTTGTAAGTAATTCCGGGCTCACATACTCAGCCGTGCCCACAAAGGAAGCCGCGCGGCTGTCCTCCTCAGCCTCCCGCCTACCAGGGTCTGGCACCCCCCTTGCTGAAGCATCTTGCTGTTTTTGAGCTTCGCGAGGGTCTGGCAGTAGCTTGGCAGTTCCGAAATCTGTTATTTTTACGTGCATTGCGTCGTCGAGAAGGACGTTTTCCGGTTTCAGGTCGCGGTGAATGACCCCGCGCGAGTGCATGTATTCGATTGCGTCCAGGATTTGAGCTCCGTAGAAGCGGGTGCATTCGATGTCAAATGTTCCCGTCCTTTTCAAAACACCAAGAAGCTCCCCTCCATTGCATAGGTCGAGAACGTAGTAAAGAGATGCTTCATCCTGGAAGGTATAGTAGAGCCGCACTATACCAGGATGCTCGGTGAGTCTGTTGAGTGTGTTCTTCTCAATGTTGACATATTTGACCTTCTTTTCCTTGAGGATGTGTCGTTTCTCCAAAACCTTGATAGCGTACTCTTTCAGAGTCTGACGGTCAGTAGCCAGATAGACTGAGCTGTATGACCCTTCGCCTAGCACACGGCCAAATGAGAAATCACGGACTCCTTTCTTGACTTGCCGGACCACGGTTCGCCCGTTGGCATCCACTTCACGACGAATGCCTACAGCTGCGCCTCTTTCCTGCCATTCCGCACTCGTGGTGGGCATAGGGCCGTCCCCTGCAAGAGGCGGTGCCGAGCCTCCAGGCATCTGTGTGTATCCTCGACCCATCCCTTTCGAACTTCCTCGTGGCGGCAGAGCTCTATTCTGCGAGGCGACCGATGACTGCCGGGGTATACCATGTGGTTCATATGCAGCGCTTTGGCTGTGTTGTCGTGAGGGGACGCTGTCTGCTGTTGCGTATCTAGACAGCTCGGGCTGCGGTTGCGGTTGCGTCGGCGTGGTTTCGGGGAGCGACTTTGCCAAGAGACCACCGTCGCTGGTCAAAATAGCTCCCTCTGTCGTCTTGGGCGTGTTCGCACTAGGATCTGATGCGTTCGAGGATGCCTGCGCAATGTCGTCGGGATTGGCTATGCGCAGCCCGCCCAGAGCTTGGGACAAGCTCAGGTCCCCGCTCATGGTGCTGACTGTTGTAAAGAACGAGCGGCGGCTCGACTACGCGAGCTGTTTATGAAGTCGGCAAGGTGGTTGAGGACGAGGCGGTAAACGGTCGGCCGATCACATGGAGGTAGGGAGGTTTGACAAGCTAAGGTTCAGCTCGATCATTATCTTGCCAACGACCGAGTATGAGGACAAGGCGCGTGCGTCATGAATGACGATGTCGATGGATGAACAAAGGAGAACACGGGTGCTTTGGCGAGTTATTCGATAGTCCTAGGGTGGACGCGTAGAGAATTGAGCTCGTTTGGTTGAGTTTGAGGTTGCAATGGGCAGCAAAGGGTCGAGTCAGTGCGCCAGGAGTTGGAGATTGGACCTCGCGCTGACCGGAGCCTGACTTCGCTAGGCCCCGATCTCCCCAGGATTGTAGTGGCGATGCTGGTAGAGGCTTCTGCACCTGTAAATGGAACTGACTTGCTAGAATTCAATACTTTGTCCTCGCGGCACGTAGGAAATGCGCGTAAACGTTCATTATCGCTCTACTAGACTACATTGATGCACGTACTTTGCTCACGTCTATACCGAGTATCTACTAACAAAGCTTGAAATGACATTATTAGCGCGTGTTAATCCTGCCCAGTTGCCCGAGGTCGTGGGGGCTGCCTACCCTGCATTGTATGGTGATGCTCAGTCCTGAGACGCCGCGACACTCCGAACAAGCATCAATCCTAGCTCTGGGACTTCTCCATCAGGCGTGTAGTTTGAAGGAAGTACTAGTACTGTTGGGGTGCACCATCTGGAAGGTGTTGTTGGTACTTAGGAAGGCGCTGCGGCAACCAGCACCTATTTATCGCAGAAAAGCAAACCATGTCATTTCGGATCTTTGTGAGCATCTTCTCCCACGACGCATTCAGAATAGGCATTTAACTTTTCGCCAGCCTCAGTTGGTACTCAATTATGCCAGTGGAAGTAAACTGCCGCGGGCGTGTAGAAGGCAAGGTAAAACTAGTAGCTTGCATACTAGTTCGGATCGAGGACTATAATTCCGCTGAACCCAAAGCTCCTGTTTTTCAAAGGGAGAAGTTACTGCCGCACTGCAGTGAGATATTCCACAGTACTGGGTAAGTGTCTGAGGTAGGTACTTGCCTTACCTTAGGAGTAGATACAACCGTCCTGGAAGGAGCCTCATGGCTGCACCACCTTCCCAGTCACGAATTCCCAGGTTTGCATTATCAGACCGTTAGTTCAGCGAGGCGGTAGCTCTGCCACACCATCCCGTTGGTCTGATCTACAACGTCAACATGCTTCGTCTGCCCCCAACGACCTTGAGCATCACATCCGGAGATGTTCAGGCAGTAGGCCTCAAGAGACGTTCCTGTAAAATTCACCAGGCTTTGGCAGGGGATGGCGGTCCTGCACTAATGACAGACCTGCCGGATGACATGTTTGGCAGTTCTCTCAGAGGGTCGACGCACGACCTGGAAGCTGAAATCGGCGGAGACAATGATGCAGCCGGTAGGCACGCACTCCTTCGTTGAGAATAGACGCTGATCTGATGCAGGCCCGACGGGCGCGGTGGTAGATACCGGTACAATGCACGTCATGATCGCAGGACGTCGTATAGCAGGGAAACCGCTGATCTCAATCCCGCCTCCATTGATACCGCCTCCAATCTCGACACGCTCTCGAACCCTAGGAATCGTATGCCCCCGAGTCAAGTGAAGCATTGCATGTTACTAAACAATACAGGCTGAGCAGCATGAACAGACACACCTGGAGAGTTCTGAGAATTCCGAAAATGACCAAAGCCTGCCCTCTGCGCTGTCCGCATCGTGGACTGTCGAACTTCCTCACAGGAGATTGCATGGTGACCGACCAGCCTCACAACTAGTATACAACGACTCCATTCCCGCGCGGTACCAGCCTCAGACACCGAGAGATTTATCAGCAACTCAACACTGGACGAGCCGAGACGGGGCGCGAACGATGCCGCCTCGACGTACAGACCCTGCGGACTTTGTGAGTCCTACGGTGGGCCGTGCGGCGTCGTCGGTCACAGGAATTCAGTCCGAGGATAGCATCTGGTTTCGATGGCCTTCCGGACGGTGGAGAGAACACTGACGAAGGAATCATGCTCCGCCAAGCTTGATAAGCTCGAGTTGTGAACTTTTCTTTTTCAAAGGAGCAATCACCAGTAATTATCAATACCTAATGACGCTTCACAGCATTTGGCCTTGCGGCTAATCAACGGCTGATCTAATCCGAGCCACAAGTCGCATCAAGTATCATCCGAGAAACGGCACGTGCCCGAGGCCGGATAAGGCAAGCAGCGTTGATCCCTGCGGGCTCCAAGGGTCCAACGTGATTGGCTTCTGTCGACCTGCGTTTGCATATTGACGAGGCGCTGCCCTGGCGCACTGTGTCGACTGCTAGCGCTGTTCCTCGCAGGAAACCAGAATCTGATAGCAACGGTGCATGGAGGCCTTGCTCTTGCTAACAGAATCCATGTACCCTGAGAGCCCACCCGGTCTGGCTACCCCGGGTTAACCGTGCGCCGTGGAATCGCAATCCGACAACCTTCCAGTCGCGATCAGCCAGCCAGAGAGGCTCCAGTTCGCCCTCTCTCGGTTCCTCCGTCTCGTCTTTCTCTTCTTCGAGTCTCTCCCCTTCCTGTAAACTTTCCTCTTTTTCTCCAGCCAATCTTACCCACACCACTCCCCATTAGCCACTCTTATCTTTCCTCTCTTGTAGCTGTCCGCGACGTTGTGCCTGTTCGCTCCTTGCTCAGCCTACCCTCTTACACGAGTCTCACAAGTACACTCGCCAGAACCGCCATAACCTCACCAGCACCACCACCACCTCAGCCCAATCTGGGGACCGACAACCATCACACCATCAATACCTCAGCGAACCTAGGCCTTTCGATTGACCCTGTGTCACCAAGCTATCAGCTCCGGCCATTGTTGGTTTGTGCGTACAGCGGCATACTAATCCTCATTTCATTACAGACACCGTCGACCCACATCAGTCATGTCCACCTTTGGTCGTCAGTCTTCAGACTCTGCGCCAGTGCTTTCCATGCCACCTCAACCTCTCCTTCAGAATCCCTTTGGAGGCGCGGTTTTCACTCCCAGTTACCCTGCACCAGAATCACACTACACCTCTGGTTTTCCCCCAGCGGCGCCCACGGCCAGGAAACGCTCACGCGACGAGGCTGCCGTCAATCTTGAACCCGATGCGCCTTCCGCTCCCTTAGAGGAAGAGTCCGAGGAAGGATGGACGCTTGGCCCGGGCATGACTCTCATCAAGCCGAACAAAGGCTATGTTGCAGACGCGGCGAGTCAATCTGGTACCTGGCTTGAAGAGCGCAAGGCTGCCGATGAGGAGGCACGCCTCAAATTCGAGCGTGATCAATTGGCCGCGCGCAGCAAGAAGCTGCAGCGTGTAGACACCAGTGATCCCACTCTACTGCCTCTCACACCAGCGGCCTCTGACATTACCTCGTCGCCCCCGAAAGCAGCACCCGTCGTGGATGACTTCACCGTACACCTCGGCATTGGGTGGCGCAAGATCAGCGACGACGAGCACATCCAGGCGGCTGCCCGCGGCTGGGCGCGTTTCATCGAAAAGCACTATCCTGTGAGCAATGCGCAAATTCGCCTCGAAAGCAAGGGCCTCGAGTCTTATCTCGTCGAGTGCAACGAAGGCTTCTTCCTCTTCGCAGAGGACCTTCGTCAGGGGCGCCTCGTCAGCACCAACATTGAGGGCGCTTTCCGCAACTTGCAGTCCTCGCCGCCCGTGTTTGACGGTGCGGATACCCTCAAGGCTGTGGAATCGCCCCCGCCCATGACGTCGCAAGCGGAGCTACAGTTGGAGGCGCAGATGCACCTGGATTAAGACTCTTCTTTGACTTCCTCGTCCTTTTATCGTGGGTTCAGGGTTCAATGGGCTTTGGGTGACGTGATACGCGCTAAATGCATGACTTGGGATGGGACGTGACTGGAAAGGGGTGGCACTGGGACATTGGCGTTTGGGTTTTTGACAGCAGACACTGAGGCAACAAAACTCTAGCGGGATGATTTGTCCCTGATATTTCGTAACGAAACAAAAGCGAACTGAATTTCAAAAAAAAGAAAAATCAATGTGTAATGTTGCGTTAGGTATGCGTGATTGGGACTGCAATCTTCTAATTAATCGTTGCCTGGACACTGGTGCGGTACGGTTCTTCGGACTGAAGGCTCCGATATGGACAAGTAGTGACAGGTGTAGGGTAGCTAGACTACCTGACCACGGACAGATCATCCATCCTCCATCATCGACGCCATTAACCAGCCATCATTCCGCACTCCTTCTTCAGCCGTCGCTGTCATGTCGAATCCGAACCAGCTCTTCCTTCTCGCCGACCACATAAAGCTCTCCCTTCTGGAGCGCCAGCGCGCCCAGACACTACACCTCGACGACGCGGGTGGCTCCAACCAAGATAGTCACATCTCCCGCTCGCTGGATCAGTTGCGCGACGGCGTCACCTCCCTTGAGGAGGAGAAGAACCGGCTACAATCAGGCGGCGAGGATGCGTAAGTCAAATCAGAAGCGCCGCGAAACATGGCGCCTGTCCGCGACCGTGACGGAGATGCTAAACATGCGGTCCATCTAGATCCGCCATTACCGACGCCCTCCCGTCTCTCCAGAAGCAGCTCAACGACCTGACATCGCAATTCCACGGCTTCGCGAGCCCTTCTGCAAAAGAGACTCTCACGCATCCCAACTCAGCCACTCTCACCGAGGATTTTTCGCACGCATCGTCCACTGAGCGCAAAGCCTCCAAGACTGTGCGCTTCAGCGACACCCCGTCGTCCCCATCGCGGGAGCTGTTCGGTCCGTATCACGACGATCCCGAGCCCGAGAACCACGGGTACGCGGACCATGCGCAGACGCTAGACAACCAGCAGCTCCACCAATATCATTCGCAGATTCTCGATGATCAGGATGAACAGCTCGACCGCTTGGGTGAGAGCATCGGACGGCAGAGGGACTTGAGCATGCAGATTGGCGATGAGCTTGATTCGCACGTCGCTATGCTCGACGAGGTCGAGAGCGCCACCGACAGGCATCAGAGCCGGTTGGACCGAGCCTCCCGGGCCGTGAACAAGGTCGCGAGGAGCGCAAGCGACAATAAGCAGATTACGGCCATTGTGGTGTTGATCATCATTCTGGTACTGCTAATTGCTATCTTGAAGTAGACAGCGTGCGAGACTTGGGGTACCCTTGCGAAGCGCTTTTGGCATTTGTTCGGCGTTGGTGGCTGTTCCGTCTGTTCAGTATTAATATTACCCAGCAAGTGTACGATCTGTACACAATGGCAGTAGCTTGATTGTTTTGCATTCCCATGTCTCATTCGCTAGGTATACAAAGCACGTCTTCTTACTGTCGGGAGTACAGCATCAGCGGATCACGCCTCCCTCTTTGTCAATCCCCTCGAGACTCTCCAGAATGTCACTGCCGGCCAGTGTACCAGGGCCACCTGTCGTTGACTTCTTTTCATCCGGCCATACCTCGTGGAACTTGACAGAATTGTCGCTTGCAGCGACAACCAGACAACCTTGGTGGACCAGGCGGTCCGTGGAGGATGGTTCGCCAACCCAAGGAACAGATGGATATGGAACTGCGTACAGGGCACGCAGTCCTTGGTTCCACGGGATGGCTGCGACCTGTCGACAGTCGGGCCAGCTGAAAACAGCAATTCGCCAAGGGTGCTCAGGCTGAGCGTAGCCGAACGTGGCCGCAATCTCGCGCCTTGTCGTTGACCAGATGAGAGATGTGACTTGGGCCGACACGGCAATCGTCGCCAATGCAGCGCCCGATGTCGTATGGAAGAAGTGGATGCACTTGTCCTTGGAACCACCGCCCGTGGCAACGAGGCTCGGTGTCCACGGGCAAAATGCAATGGCTTTGACAGCGGCGCCGTGAATCCAGCAATGCCGCTCGCTGCCAAGGGTTAAGGTTCGCAGAGAAAATGAATGTGCATTTCGAGTTCGATGGATCTGGGTGGCATCGGTGGCCGATGTCCTCATCTCGGACCCGCGGCCGTGGTGGACGCGCCTGCCATCATACTCTCGAAGGTCGAGCTCGCCCAGCTCAAGCTCACTGGCCACTCTTGGAGCAGCTGGATCCACTGTGTCAGTGCCTTGTATCGTCGTCTCATGCTGTTGCTCGACACCCAGGATATCGTTTGCATCAAATATGCAACAAAGATCGTCGTTCCCACCAGAAGCGAGCGACATACCGTCGGTGGACCACGCCAGACCACAGATCTGCTGGACATGTATTGCGATCTTGGCTACCATCGTCGTTGAACCTCGCCAAGTATTCCTCGTTACCTCCTAGGTGGGGGGCCACTCAACCATATAGTAGTATATGAGCCCGGTCTCGTCGCCTACTACAAGGTCTTCTGTCTGCACGGATACGCCAGGGTTGTACGGGCTTTTGGACGGACGCATCGAACATCGTGGACGCCAGCTCAAGCACGCTACACCGTAAGGTTGTGTTATGTCAAATCGGGGGTGTGACTCAAACGTGGACTGAAGGACGAGACCTCCATCTGCTCGTCCGATGGCAAGGATGCTCTGTTTGCCCTGTGCAGAAGAAAAGGCTACCGAGGTAATCCAGCTACTGTCGTTCGGGCTTTTATTTGTTGGTTTGGCCCCGGTAGCCTCGGACCATGTATACAAAGTATTGCCCAGGCCAACTGCGAGCGTATTGCAAGTTGTCGAGTAAGCCAACGCTGAGCAGTAAAAGTCATCGCGGAGACTCGGCGCATCTAGGACTCTGTCGAATGTTAGCATAGATGCTTGCGTCGAAGTCAACAATATCTGACCTAAAAGGAGGGGCTGGTAAGGTACGATAGCTTGTAGGCTTCCGTGATCGAGCGCCTGTTATAGCCATCAGCCACAAGACCTTGACTTTGTCCAGAAATATCACCTTCAGTCTCCTTGGCGCTCACCCACCCTACGCCATTCCACTTTGTCTCTGCTTCCATTTTCGTCAAGCGTCCATTGGCGTCTCGCGATGCTTGAGGTGAAGTGGAGCGGCCGCTGAAGTCGAGGATCTTGCGGACGCGGTCGATATTGAGAGCTCTTGCAATGCGACCTTGGTAAAGCTCCGAGTCGCCCTGCAGTGTTGACTTGCCGCGCGAGACAGGCGTGGTGTAGACCTGAGCGTGAGTGCCTGAGCGGATCATGTGGCCACGCCCATCGTCGACGGGGTGGCCCAAGGGGGCAAGACCACCCACCGACCAGACGGCGCCTCGACTGACTTGCCGCTCGGTAACAGGACTCGGGTGAATCGTGACTACGGGTGCTGCCATGAGCGTTAGCAAGTGTCGGGATGCATCTGAAGGCTGTGCGCTCACGGGGTGGAGTGGAATGAGGTCCCACTGATTGCTCTGGTCCCGCGCTGTGCGTATATTCTCTTGCGACTGGTAGCCGAGATGATACAAAAGGGTCAAGCGAGGCTGCAGCATGGCGAACGAGCCGCTCCGATGAGGAAAGCATGTTGACTGGTCGACCCATTCGGAATCGCTCCGCCGTGGACGACGCTGCATCTCGAAGCGGCACAAATCGATCCGGCCGCTGGCATGGGGGACTTCTTCTACTTCGTGGTGACTGGAGGTGTTCATTCTCGTCAGGATGCAGGGCAAAGAAACTCCGAAGTTTCGACCCAGGGGTACGCGGAGGCGGTCCAGGGTTTGGCGTTGCTCTTGACTTGGGACCATCACCCGCTGGCTCCTCGCGGTACGCATAGAGGCTGCGTGGACAATCTTCAATGGGATCGTCCTCCGATCCGCGTGTTGAGCCAGGACCATCAAAGATGGGCACGGTTCTCCATGTTCTCATGGGCGGTCGAATCGGTGACGCATCTTCGTGAGAGCTGTATCCGGAATCGCCCGGGCTTTCTGTGTGGTCGACGTCTTTGGAGACATGGCGCTCTCGAAGCCTAGCTCTATTGTTTGGTAAGTTCCCGCATGCTGACAGAACCCTGGACATGTTTGGATCATGAGGTAGATATGGGGTGGCCTTCGGTTGAGGTCCATACACAAGGGATAGTATCGTGCACCCAACGGTCAGGAGTAGACGAAAACAAAGAAAGAAGGTCGACGCAGAAGTATAGTTTTGTTGTGATAAGATTTGCCTGACTGCTGGTGCAAGAGAATGGCGCAACCCCCAGTGGCGACGGAGTGTTGATGATGCTGTCTGATTAGTACGGATGTTGGTAGTTCGAGGTCGAGGTTCAGGTTCAGGAGACAGAGTTCTAGGAGAGCAGTAGTTGGAAAAGTCAAGAAAGCGGCGGCTGTCGAGTTACTTCTCCCTGGGCTGTTAATTCAGTCGCCAGCGACTGCCATGGTCATTAATGAGTAAGGTCATAAAGGGGAGAGGGATAACCTTCATTTTCAGCAGGAGCGAGAGCTATCGCATTTTCCTGGAAGGCACGTAATACCAAGGCGGTTGGTTGCCTCGGGCGATACGTCTGAAGTATGGTAACTAGCAAAATGGAAGGAGGTGTTGATTACCTTACCAGCCCATCAAATCCACAGACACGCCATCTGCTGAAAGACAGGCACTCAAAACACTCCAGATTGTTTGAAATACAGAATCGATCTATTTTGATGACATATCTTGGTATATATAACGTCTAGAGAGACCGGTCAACATGCAATTAGCGTAATGTGGTATCATAAATCATGTCTTCGCGCAACAGCACCCTCTTCAAACCCTGCCGGTGCGTATATTGTCGTAAATGGAATTTGGGTACGAGAGGCAGTTCTGCTTCCTGGCCAGGCTGCCCATGCTATTTTTTGCTGTCAAGATGAGCGACTCGGCCCCCTTCTTGTCGGCGGACGCCTCCCAGAACATGCTGCCGCCAAGGCCTCTACGCTTCTCAAAGCGAACCTTTTGGCGAACGACTGCAGGTGTGTCGTAGGAGATCATGGTGCGCGATTTCGGGTCGTAGGTCCAGGTGGCACCAAGCAGCTTGTTGTAGTGCCTCTGGCTGCCCGGGAACGGGAGATCCTTGTAGTCCCAGATCCCGTTCTCCCAGCTACCTGGTCCAACGCCGCTGAAGGAGGAACCCGGCCCATGAGTGTTGGTGAAGGCCCGGCCATAGATGGGCATGCCAAGGATGATTTTATAAGAGGGTACCCCGGCGCCGACATATGCATCCACGGCCGCACGGGTGTTGAAGGGGGTGGCCTTGTCAGTGCCTTTGGTGGCCCAAATGTTAGCCTGGTGACCGGCCACACCGTCCCATGATCCAGAATAATCGTATGCCATGAGGTTGATGTTGTCGACTACCTGTCCGAGTTCCCTGAGTTTGAGTTTGTTAAACTGCTGAGGTCCGGCGGGAGCAGCGATTGACAACTCGAAATGGTGTCCTGGCGTGTACCTGGCCGCATACGAGTTCAGCTCCTGACGCACGCGCTTGAGCAAGAGGACCATGTTGTTGGCTTCGGTACTGGTTGTTGGATATTCCCAATCGACATCTATGCCGTCAAAGCCCCAATCCTTCATCAGAGTGACGGCGCACTTGGCAAAGTTGGCACGAGATGCCGCTGTAGCCGCGGCGGTGGGGAAATTAGAGGACCAGGTCCAACCGCCGATAGAGAGCATGACTTTGACATTGCGATTTGCTTTTTTTACTTTGAACAGCTGCTTGACAGCGCCATAGGCGTTGTGACCAGATTCTGTCCAGGCTGCGAGATGGTCAGTGGTCCCGTAAGTCCGTACAGGTGAAATCACTTACAGTCGCCCGGATAGTGCTTCTGGAGGTCAGCATATATGTCACCGGAGAACCTGCTTTAGGTCAGTCACTCAGGTCTCTTAACAATAGGTGCTCGGTCCCACTTACACCCTGCCGCTGCGGTCGAGGTTCATGAAGGAATAGAGGACATGTGTAATATCTTGGGCAGGAAGGTCGGCAGGCTGGTAGTTTCGACCGTAGATTCCCCAATTGGTAAAGTAGACTGCGTTGATATAGCCAGTCCCTCGCTTCGAGTGGTCCAGGGAAGCATCGAGCGAGATGTTGTGTACTGGATGAGCCAGGCCCACAGCAACCCTGACAGTGGCAAGAAGAGCCAGTGTCTGATGCAGGGAGAACAGCATCCTAAAAGCTTGGTGGACACAAGGAGGTATGATTTCTCGGTGGGTATGAAGATGCCGAATATAGTTTCCTCGAGGCCGGGGGAATCGCTTTATTTGAGTGCAGTCTTATACAAGACGATTCGCTACCACATGTCCATCGCGAAGAAGACATTGACATGTACCATTTGAATCCAAACAGCTATCGAAATACCAATAATGCTCGTGGTCATCGCGTGAAGAGTAGCAAGGTCGCGTGTTAACGCACTCCAGCCATCCAATACGCCTTGATCGGAGACTCTACATACCTATTCCCTGTTCCAGCCTCTCTGGATTATTCGCGACCACCTACACGCATTGGTAAATTCATCAGCTCAGAATGCAGTTTTTTCGAGACTTGTACGAAAGCCGCGGGTATCGTGGTATTGAGCAGCAGTGAGCCAAGCACCTGTCTCAGACCCAACCACTCCGTGACTTGGGTCGCCTGCGTCCAGCACGTGCTAGAACAAGTCAATTTGTGAATGAAGATTCCAACGGCAAGCCACATTCAATCAATGGGGACGCAAATGTCTCAGACCCTGACCAGCCTCGGATCCACGCGCTCACTAACAGACTCAACAGTGGTGGCTCGCCAGGCTAAATCAGGCACTGAAAGGGGGCTTCAGTCCGTCATGACTTGTGCGTACCTCAAGATACGTCGGGCAGTTCAGAAAGAGTGCTGCTACGTGAGAAAAAAGTACAAAGTGCGGCGATTGCGGCCATTTGGCCAATGTCGCACTTCGTCTTTGCAATGGACACCGACTCACCCGCGCCCCGCCGGTCTCCCTTCGGACCCAGGTGCTCTCGAACATCTGGGATGATGTAACGAATGCCTCAAATGGCTGCTTAAGCGCATCCTGCGGTGCCGAGCCGGGATTCCCTTTTAGATCAGCAGGTACGCCCACTAGGGGACCATGGTCCGTGGAAGTTATATCTTTCGTAGAATCATGGGAATCATGTCGTCGAAGGTTGCGCGCGGATGCTGGTGCGGGCAGTTACACTCGCCATACTCAAGAGCCGGACGACACAGCTTTTATATTCGTTGCAGTTTTATTGCGTGCACTTGATGAATGTCGCCCAGGTGTCAAGTCAGTATGGAGGATGGATCGCTCAGGTCGTACGGTCTGGTCTTGTCAAAAATCAAGACGACTGATCAGCTCTTTAGGGTAGGTATTACATTCGCCTCCATAGGACAAGAAACACCACCCACCAAAGGCGGCGGATGAATGGACCGCAATCATCGATGCAGCTGCGGACGTTCAAGCCAGAACATCCTTGTCGAACTCTTCTTTTACCCGTCTGGAGCTGCAGCGTCGCAGTCGCGATCCCAAGTCTTCCCCTCCAGACAACAAGATGACCAGCGTTGGTGCTCTCAATTCCAACGCCCAAACCACACCCTACTGACACCTTCCCAGCACGGTCACGGCATTGCCCGAGCCACGCGTCCCCGGACAGAAGAACAGCGCCAAGCCGATATCGACAAGATTGCCCGCTACCGAACTCTCGAGGACGACATTCGCAACAGAGTGTCCCGTCAGGACTACGACCACGACACCTTCGGCCTCACGTCCAAGCTCCTCCGCCAGAACCCCGAGTACTACACAGTGTGGAACATTCGCAGACAATGTTTGACCTCCGGCAGCTCGTCCAAACCTTGGGCTATGTCCTCGCTCTCGAAGGGGTCCTCGACTTTCTCAGTGACAGGCACCTCACATCGAGCTTCCGCCAGCTCGTCACCGCCCTTCTCGACCGAGACCCCGCCGTCCCACGACTCCCCGACGACTGGGACGAGTGGTACAACAGCTGAAGCAACAGAGGACCGACAGATGAGAGATCTTGAGATTATTAAGTCGGAGCTTGTCTTCACAGTGCCGCTGCTGATGGAGTTCCCCAAATGCTACTGGATCTGGAACTACCGACTCTGGACGCTGGGCCAGGCCATTGTGCGCCTGCCCACGCACGTGGCGCGCAAAGTCTGGGATGAAGAGCTGGGTCTGGTGGGCAAAATGCTACACAGAGACCGACGGAACTTTCACGCATGGGGTTACCGACGATATGTGGTCGATCAGCTCGAGAGCGCTGCACTGGCCGGTCAAAGCATGACAGAGTCGGAATTCGAGTACACCACCAAGATGATCCGTATGGATCTTTCCAATTTCTCTGCCTGGCACTACCGCAGCCAGCTCATCCCACAACTCCTCAGGGAGAGGGGCGCTGACGACCAAGCAAGGCAAAAGTTCCTGGACGATGGTAAGCCAGTCGTGACCGTGATGACGATCTTCACTTACACCGTACAGAGCTTGCCTTGATCCGGGATGGACTGAATGTTGGCCCCGAGGACCAGTCTCTCTGGTTCTATCACCAATTCCTCGCGTCCAACATCATCGACGACGCCTGCTCACAAACAATAGCGCCAGCCTTGTCCCTCGACCAGCGCCGCTCCTACATTGAGCGCGAGATAGATGAGATGAAAGACCTCCTCGAAGACTACACAGACGTGAAATGGATCTACGAGGCACTGATACAGTACACGCAGTCGCTCGGCCGTCTTGGACAGCAGGCTAGGCCCACTGAGCTGAATGGTTGGCTGGCGCAACTGAAATCACTTGATCCGCAACGCACGGGTCGGTGGAACGACTTGGAGGCGCAATTGCACGCTGCGTGATCGTTTGCTTGGGTATCATTATATCTATCAAATGCTTTGCTACTACACACGATGCGTTCGGCAGCTCAGTTGCCGCACCGGTCCCTCATCTTGCTCGCTCTCTTGCCAGCGATATCATCAAAATAAGCCAGCAGGGTCTCCGCGGCGAGCATGTCCATCTCGCCCAACGTGGGGTTCGAGGACTTGAAGACCTGCCCATTGAACAGGACGCGGACATAGAAGCCGCTGTCGCTGGGCGTTGCGGTGGCGGTGGGCGCAGGAATCACGCTATCTGTTGCTGTGGCCGTGGCAGCCTGAAGATCCAAGCAGGAGCATGCCGAGTATATTTCCGCGACGTCGTCGCACTCCACGGGCCACGTCGGCAGGGATTCGGCCGTGTTGGAGCGCGTGAGGCTGGGGCACAGCGATCTGGCGGATTCCGACTGACGGATCATCTGGCGCAGGCAGTTGTTGTGGCTGCAGTCGGGCGCAACGACCGTCGACGTGGGCTTGGGCGGCTGAGCGCCGCCGGCCTTCTTCTTGTAGAGCTCGAAGACCACCTCGGCGCCCATGCCAGGCCAGACCATCTCGTCAATCTGGAGCAAGCTGAGGAGGCGGGAGACGGAGCCGTCGTGTGCAATGTTATGGAAGTAGATGGTCTCGCGTCTGCCATCCATAACCTCGCGTAGGTGGACAGCCAGCTCGGCGACCCATACACCGAAGTTGGCCGAGGCGGCCGAGAATGAGTCGGGATGGTCGCGGTACATCTGGCTATACTCCCAGTGGCCGAGTCGGTATACAGCATCAGCCATCTCCTGTGTGATACAGTCATCGCTCTCCACGCCGTCGACAAGCTTGCAGGGGAGGGGCTTGCCATGGCACTGGCGCGAGGAAAGGTTGTCGAAATAAGGGTCGAAGGAGGCGTGGAAGTTGCCGCCGGCATTGACGCCCGAGATATCGTCCAGGACGCTATAGAGCTCCTGGGCCTCCTCGAGATGGCTCCTCCACTCGGGGTTGCTGTTCGACTTGATGTTGTTGAACACGCCCGCGCCCGTAGGGCAGCTATACTGGGGCTCGAGACTGTCAATGTTGGTGGCCTGGACGTGGAGGGGGACATCGTCCGTGGTTCCCCACATGCCGTTGATGAGCATGCCCGCGACCTGGCTGGTGATGACATTGTTGGTCACGCGGTACTTGACCTTTTCGTCGAAGCTTTTGTCGCCCTTGGCCGGCAGGAATCCAAGCTCATCGCCATAGACGCCGTACAGATCCGCGCCGTGCTGCCAGGAGTCGTCCAAGCCACCGGGCGTGATCTGCGGGAACTGGCAGCTGCCAATCCATCCGCTGGGGACGTAGGGATTCACGTCCGAGATGAAGCCCGCGCGATAGCCCTTGGCGGCATCGTGGCCATCAAAGGGGCGGCCGTAGAAGTACAGGCCCTGGTCGTCGCAATTCCATTGATAGGGCTCGACGGGGAAGGCATTGGACGAGTAGGGCGTGCGCTTGTGGTGGCGATGAATCTGCTCAGGAAATGCTGATTAGGCCTTGCCTGTGGGTTTCCCCCTTTTTAATTCAAAGACTGCACTCACCAATTCGACATATTGTAGCTCAAACGCGTTCTTGTCCACCTGGACATACTCCTTGGCCCTGACATGGGGCATGTTGCAGTAGTTGTATGTCCCGTACTTGTCGTCCGGCGTATCGCTACGATTGAAGATGAATCCATACGTGCCCTGTCCGTGAACCGCCGTCGTCAAGTTGTTCACGTTCGACTCTGCGGGCGCGTGCCATTCCTGCTTCTCCGCCTGGGCTCGCGTCGCCGCCAAGAGCGCGACGCCCACCACGACGGTGGCGATCTTACTAGGGATGGGAGCCATGGGAGTCATGGGAGCCAGCGCGAGAACGGAGGTCAGGATGGCGAGGATGGTGGTCGACTTGTATTCGGCCTGGATGAGGACAGGATGCATTTTAACTACCTACGTCCATGTAGGTAGGGATGGCGATAGTCCGTATGAAGTTTCATGGGACCAGCTGCACGTGTTCAGACTCGGGCGAGTGACACGACTGGAACCAAAATCAAAGATGCCTTACTTCCTGTTTGTCTGGAGACCCTACAGTATGCCGGGAGTCGGGATGCGCCGTCGGGGAACGTGGGAGCGCGGAAGACGCGCACGTGCCCCGGCTGAGAGCACTGGATGGTGAACATGGTTGTTGCCTTGAGCTTCAGCCTATTTTGCCTCAACCAAGCGTGTTCCTGGCGTGTGGACCAAGACAAAGGTGGTCTAAGTTGGCTTGGCAGCCCGACTACTGATTATTTCCGTCTCGACCGACGCTGACGGGGTACAACACCCATCTATCTGTCTGCGCGGAAAGGAATATAACCTCGTGGAACGAGACCTCATAGCCAGCGCCTACTTAGGGCCACGGTACGCAACTCGGCCTCGACGATACGACAGCATGAAGTGTGTACGTACACGCGGGCTTATCAATACTCCGAACGTGCGGACCTTTGAAATATCCGTATGGACTGTTTAGCACTCCCTGTCACAGTGAACCGCACTGCCTGGTATGGTATGGTATGGTATGGTATGGTATGTACGTACAGGTATGCATGCATGCTTGTCTGGCGATCATGCTCTTCCATTCGACATGATGATGACGATGATCAAAGAATCCCAAGGTAACGCGTCGCGGCTGAGGCAAAATTTGGGTATTACAAGCATCACATCTCTCCTCCCAATCTCAACCCTTCCCTCTCCCTCGTCCTCGTCCTCGTCCTCGTCCACGCCCCCGTCCCCTTGTTCCACCTCGTCCTCGAGATGCTGGGGCAACACGAGGCGCTGCCTCGGCCGGGATGTCATCGTCGTCGCTCGAGTCGCTCTGTGCCTGTGCCTTTCCCAATTCGTCCTCAAAGTCAGACGCATCGCTGTATTCACCAAGTCGAACCACGGTTCGGCCAGATGGCGCGAACACCCGGGACGAGGGACCAGGCGGCGGAGGGCTTCGGTCGCTTTCGCTACCGCTTGCTCCTCCAGGAGGCGGGGGCGAAGCATCAGTCTCCTCTCTGTCTTCAGTCCCATCTCGTACCCTTGACCCTTCCGCACGGCTCGCAGTCTGTCCAGGACCTTGCGACTTACGCGTACCAATCTTGAACTTCCTGCCCTTGAGCTTCATATGTTCCTTCATCGACATGAACGCAGTCGGTGTCTCAGCTTTGACTGCAGGCTCGGCCACCTCCGATTTTCGAGGTCGGCCTCTAGGCCTGGTCCCCTTGGCGGCCGTAGGCGTAGCGTCTTCTCCCGCACTCTCGACCGCGAGCACACTCTCGTTGTCTTCTTCAACGTCCTTGTTCGGTGGCGCAATTGGTTCTGACTTGCGAGGGCGGCCTCGACGACGAGGACCCTGTGCCGAGCTTGGCATGACTGCGGCCGGCGGCGAGGCGAAGGGATCGTCGCTATCAGCAGGCGCCACGGCCGCTTCTGACTTGCGTGGACGTCCTCTGCGGCCCGTGCCATTCGAAACCTTGGGAGCCCGATATGAAGACTCTCCTGTCTCATCGTCTGTAGGCTCCTCGGTGCCTTCGTTAGATTCGTCCTCCTCGTTGACTCCTCGCCCAATCTTAGTGACGCCAGACCATCTCGACCTTTTACGGCGAGCTAGTTTGGTTCCAGAGGCCTTTGCGTCTTCATCCGCCACCAACGCGTTACTTGGCAAGGTCGATTTGACGGCTCGGCCGCTGCGCGTGTGCGACATGACTGTTGGCTCGGCCGCTATGGGAACAGCGGCAGCTGGCGCCGGCCTTGGGCCTGGGGGTCGACCTGGTCCTCGTCGCACAACCTTTAGACCATCAGCAGCCGGCGAGCCCTCGCCCGCAGGTCCGTTCCCAGCGGAAAATCCAGTCTCTCCAAGCGCGCGCTTGAAGGCCTCTGACGCCAGCTCGGCTGCGCTCTTGACCTGTGTGTTCCGGATAACAATGTCGTCCTCATCAAACGCATTGATTTCGGGCTCATCCAAGTCCGTATAGGAATGCCGAGGCCTCGCGTGGCGGAGTGCAGGCTCATTGGCGTCATATACAGGGGCCGGCTGGCCTTTGGTCGACTCTTCTGCACCGTCAAGACTCTCATGTGTCACAGGTGGCTGCCCTGACTCCAAGCCGTTGCTAGGCTCCTTAGGCGCCGCAGGCGCAGATCCTTGCAGGTTGAACAAGGCAGGGTCCATGTTGTTATCATTCGCGTCGCCGTCGTTAGCAGTTGGCGCGACACCGTCTCTCTCCGAGGTTCGGCGCCGTTTCCTCCACTTGCGCACAACGAACTCAGGATCCTCCTCATCCTGGCGGGCGCGCTTTTTCGCCGCACGTATCGATTTCTTCATAAACTCAGACTCGTCTGGCTGATCAAACCTGAGACCCTCGGCAGTCGGTACTTCGTAGTGATCGAACAAGATCTTCTCCGACGTCTCGTCCTTATCGAAATATCCCAATCCAATGCGTTGATGCATCAGTACAGGATCAGGATACGCAGACATATCCCCTTCCTCCCCGTTCTGGAAGATTGTATCGTCATCAGTTGTTTCCGTGAAGGGCAGGGGAGCTTCCAACTCCTCAGGAGCCTCGGGAGCGTTTTTAGTACTCGTGAGTCCGGGGCTATCCTGGCCTTCGAAGACGTGCCGTTGGTCGCCGTAGCCGTCTACAAATGCACCGTAAGAGGCTTGACTATTTATGACGTCTTGAGTCTCGTTACCGCCATCTTCCGTCGCGTCTTGCGCCTTGGCCGTGTCGGCTTGTTCGCGGAGCCTCTGCATCCGTTTGCTGTCTTTGCTCCGGCTGTCCTCCCCTGCGGCCTTGAGCCAGCCCAGATTGTGCACACGGAAGTCGACAAGAGCCTCGATGCTTCTATCGTCGGCAATCGCGCGTGTATCATGCCCCAAGGAAGTATTCTTTGGCGTGTACGGATTCCCAATCCCTCGACGACGGCACTGTGCACAACTGCATATGCCCAGGCACTTTGGGCACTGCCACAGTTCGTTCTCCATCACCTCCTGTGGCAGCATGTCGAATCCTCGGTATAGTACGCCGAAGCAATATGCTTCCTTGCAATCAGGGTTGGTGCATTCCTGAACGCGGTAACTGTAATCCTTGTGGCAGCAGACGTGGCATTTGCGAATGTCGCCCTTTTTCTTCTTGCGCTTGTTCTTTTTCTTGGCTGCATTCTTCTCTACCGCATCTTGTTCAGAATCACTCGGCGTCTTCTCACGCTCCGGTTTCGTAATGTCCTTCCACGGACGACGCTTGAGGGCTTCCTGGCAAACTTGGGCCGCCGACTTTTTACTCGCAAGCTGCTTCGCTACCTCGAGGGGCTGCGGGGAGGTATCAAAGTCAATGTACCCGTCGTTGCGAATGACCATGGCGCGCCAGGTCTCGTAGTTGTTGACGAGATCGGACCACTGCCATTGCTCGCACCATTGAAGCTTTGACATGCAGAGGCACGACCTACCCATGGCATAGCATTCCATGCACACATCATAAGCGTCCTCGTCACCTGTGATCAGCGTGCGAACGCAGTGTTTGCAGGTGAGGAACCGGTTGAAGATGTTTGACCGACAGTAGGAGCAGGTGACGCAAGAGTCGAACTCGAGGTACTCGACGTCTTTTTCGGGAGTGGCAAACATTTCATTCACCAGAATCTCCTTGAAGAGATCCAACAACTCCTTGAAGTCCTCAGCCAGTTGTCGTGCCCGGGGTGAGTTTCGGACAATGTCCTGGCCGATGCCCAAGAAGTTCATCTGTGTCAACTCGGCCTTTTCCTCTAGGCTTTGGAGCTGCTGGCAGTATTTAGACAAGGTGAAGTAGACGATAGCCTTGTTCTTGTACTGCTCGTCGCGGCACACCAGTCGAGCCTTGGGGAGAGCCTCGTGCAGCGCCAAGTCTAGAGTCTCAACCGTCGTGCGGTTCCAGGCCACTTTCATGGTGCGCGTCCCGCGGTTCCAAACTTGATGCGCAGCCAGGGGCGGGATGAGGATGAAGTCGCCGGGCTTCTGGTCGACAATGTAAACATCGAATGGCGCCTTTTTCCAAGCATTGATCTGGGCAAAGTGCTTTTCAATCTCGATATCGTGCCCCAGCATGGAGAGAAAATATTCTCGGACGACTTCCCGATCTTTGCTTTCAGTCATGAACCATAACGAGCTCCCGGGCTTCTCGCCATCTGTATCGCCAGAAGCCTCAACCATGATGTTCTGACCCAGCGATGCACACATCTCTCTGTGAGCAGGGGTATAGGTGCCTTCATGGCCAATGTAGCACATCAGGTTCTGAGCTCGCATCTCTTCCGGTAAGCTAGACATGAGATCTCCAGCTGGTGCTGCGGGCTGATCGGGTGTCATATCGTCGTCGTCGTCGTCCTCATTCGTGTTTCGTCGATTGCTGTGGCTATTGACATTCTCGTTGAGGTAGAACAGGCTAGGATGGACGACCTTTTCCAGCGCGTCGCGCCATTCCCGAGTGCAGTCGATGTCCTTGAGATATAGGCGTTGGCGGCGCTCATCGCGGAAGTTGTCTGGCGTCCACTGATTTGTGAGGAGCTTCATTGATCGGAGATAGTGCCCAGTGGTCATAGGCATGTCCGTGCTGGTACCAATGTCGCGAACATTTTCTTGCTTCTTATCGTAATTGTCTTGGAGCCAGCGGGCACTGAACAGACCCTTAGGGAATGCCGTGTCCCAGCCATCGACCACGAGGGGCTTGCCTCCCTCTATGACATGCATCTTGACCACCTTCTCGAACTCTTGTTGACCCAGATGGCGAATCTGGGTCCTTGACACTCGCTGCACCCATTTGAAATTGGGCGTTCGGTCGACTAGGCCGTACAGATCGAGATCGGGAGGGATAGGGTCAAATTTAGCCTGGGGATGCAGAGATGTAGGCATCTTGAACGGACAGGGCACACACAGGCGCACTCCGAGGCGTGACTCGCGGCAGGTGCGTCGTGGAAACGGGTCTCGCAGATCAGAGATCGGAAATATCAAGTGATTCAGCGACCCTGCCTCATCGGTCTATCCCATGCATCGCGCAAGGGGGGGTGGAAGACTATGGCTTGTGCCGGCGTGACGTACATGTTCCTGGAGGGGTTGGGAAAGTTGCGAACAAGACGCGACACTGGCTGGAGGCTGAAATGCGCAGGCGATTGGAGGTTGCGGATACAGCAGGCGCGGTGTGACGTACAGAAATGCTGACTAATTTCAATTGAAAAGCTTCATCCAACACCAAAGACACCAAAGGTGTTAATGTTGTCGCAACCTGTAAGGTGGTACTTTATGATTGGCTCGACTGGTCCACCGGAACAACACGAGACTGAGTAGAGCCTCTATGTAATAGCAAGGACCTCAATCCCAAAGCGTCGTGATCGTGAGCAAGGTTCCCTACCGGCTTGTCATCAACCCTCAACTGACTTTGCGCAGGTGTTGATAGATGAGGCTGGGTAGGCTACCGCCCGCCACGAAGTTGGCAACTTGTCATCGTGGCTATACGTCTCGAGACGGCCTTGGTCATGTACTACGCTCCAGGCTATCCGCACGGCCAATAACCAAAGTGCGGCAAAGCTGCGAACAGCTCACAGCCTTCCATGAGGCCAAATGTCACCTGTTGCCTGCAATACAACAAGAGATAACTCGGCCTACGGCTGAGCTCCCACCATACAGACCTGCGACAACAGGCATACTGTCAATCATCCCAAAGTCATGGGTGCCGTACGCTGAGTTGGTTCGGATAGACAAGCCAACGGGTACCTACTACCTCTTCTTTCCATGCCTTTTCTCAACACTCTTGGCAGCGCCAATGGCAGTGCCCATGGCGACGCCAACCACAACTTTGGGCTACTCAGCTCTGTTTTTCACTGGAGCACTCATCATGCGAGGTGCTGGCTGCTCGATCAACGATCTTTGGGACCGAAACCTAGATCCCCATGTTACACGGACAAGGCATCGTCCAATTGCGCGAGGCGCCATCACTCCATTCAAGGGCCTGGTGTTTACTGGGTTCCAACTATTGGCCGGGTTGGGTGTCTTGGTCTCGTTCCCGTTTCAGTGCCTTTTCTATGGAATCCCCAGCTTGCTGTTCGTGGCTAGCTATCCTCTGGCGAAGCGCGTCACATATTATCCTCAGTTTGTGCTGGGACTGACGTTCTCATGGGGCGCTATCATGGGCTACCCAGCCCTTGGTATTGATTTGCTCTCCAACATGCCGGCGCTCACCTCGGCAGCATGTCTGTATGCCTCTTGCGTGTCATGGACGGTATTGTATGACATGATCTATGCCCATATGGACATCAAGGATGACGCCAAGGTGGGCATCAAGAGCATTGCTCTGAAGCACGACGCGGATACCAAAAAGGTTCTCACCGGGCTTGCTACCGTACAAGTTGGATTCCTGGCGGCAGCTGGGTTCGCCTCGGGGGCAGGGCCCCTTTTCTACCTCGGGAGTTGCGGTGGTGCCATTGCCGCACTCGGCATCATGATCAAAAGGGTCAACTTGAAGAGCGTCAATAATTGCTGGTGGTGGTTTGTCAACGGATGCTGGATTACTGGTGGCACCATTGGCCTCGGCATGGGTGCCGATTACGTGCATCGTTATTCGACCCGGGACCAAGAGATCGAGGGGACTGATGCTGCCTAGTGTAGCGTGTTAAAGCCTTTGTACATCATCTGTGGCCATGATAGTCAATCAATGACACATATTGTTACTTTTTGAGAGACTTGTTGATCTATTCTCTGAGATCCATCTCCCCAGGTCGAAAACCCTAACCTGTGATGCCGATGCAAGCAAAGCCGTTGTGACTCCTCATGCCCAAATTTGACGTCGCCTCGTATTGCCCAATAACAAGAAACAGATTCTTATGTGCGGGGCTTCTCCTTCTTCTCCTTCCACAGCGCAAGCAGACCGACACCAGAAACCTTGACGACCTTGAAGCGCACACCGGGGATATCACCCTTGGCCTTGCCCTTGCGACCGAAACCAGCCAGGAGGACCTCGTCGTTCTCGTCCACGAAGTTCAAGCAACCGTCATTGGGGACTGTCCACAATGTTAGTATCGACATCGCCTCCACGCTCGTACTGGCTCCCACATACCGAAAGCGGTGACCTTCTTGCCGTTCTTGATGAGCTGCACACGCACACACTTGCGAATGGCAGAGTTGGGCTGCTTGGCCTCAACACCGACCTTCTCGAGGACGATGCCCTTGGCGTGGGAAGAGCCACCAAAGGGCGAGGACTTGTAGGCGGTACCGAGGGCACGACGCTTCCAGTGAAGATCAGCCCACTTCTGGTCCTTTCGGTTTGTTCGCAGCTTGCGCGCGGCGTTAAGACCACGGGGTTTGCCTCCAGCCATTTTTGCTTCGCACGGGTTAGTACTTCGTGAATTCGGTTGAGAGGCGGTCGAGCTCAATGGGTTCGAGAGCGAGTGTCGACGGTACGGAGGGGAGACTCACCGGTTTAGTCGGGTATCGCGGCGATGGATGGGTGGTAAGTCGTTGGCGGGTGACGGCGAAAAGTTGGGCTGATGCTTCCCGGAATTTCTTAGTAGGGTTTTTGCACCCTAGAGGGGAAAACGCTGGTTGTGGCTTTGGATGTGCAGGGCCACGTGACTGGACGGACTGATCATTGACGGTGGAGGCAAGGAGCGGGTCAAGGTAGGTCCGTCCCCCGGCCATTCTCCATGTGGATACCCGCGCCAAGACGCTCGATCGGGGCATTAGCAAAGTGGCGTGCGATCGCTGCCGACCCAAATCACAAGTGGTTCGCGGTACGCGATCATTGAACAGAGCTGACCTTGGTACTTGGGCAGGCTTATGTTGGCGCGCATTTTGCTCAAACAACGCCCATGACTTCAGTGCCGGCCTTGATGGCTCAGCACACACGATCACCGAGCAAGCCGCAGCGCGATCCGCCGCCGTCTTTGTTCCTTCACCCCTCGCCATCCGCCTCTCATGTGTCGCTACCTGGTATCCTGGCGCCGGGCGCCTCCGCTCCAGGGCCGAATCCCTTGACGCGCGAACGATCAAACCTTGATGTATACTCGGGGAGTCTGTCGCCATCGACAGCCAATAGATCCCGGAGGGGTTTTAGAAGCGACGAAAGTACAAGGAGCACTGATAGGACGGATGCCTTGTGGGCTGAGATGCAAGCTACCTTGGAAGAGGTAGAACTGTCAGCATCAGGAGGTACCCACGTGTTTGGACCAGAGCATGACCGCAAACTAGGAGATCTACGTGCGGCGCAGATTGCTCTTGCACAGGCATGGGCCCGAAGCGAAGCTGACGATGCGATCGAGACAATGTATCGAGACAGCGCTGGCTCAGCAGCCGGAGACGAACTGCGCAACATGAAAGGAACAGTCGGCGATGCGTCCAAGTCGGCTGGCGGAGAGGGCACTGAGGCAGTAAAAAGCACAGCGCCATCTACCTCTGGGGCCAAGTCCGATTCGAGCACAGCAGGGGCAGATCGCTTGGGCGCGAAACTAGAGGAAGAGACTGAAGCAGACATATTACTTGCGCGGAAGCGGCGCGAAGCCAACGATGAGTACTTTCAGAGGGTCAACAATGGAGTTGTCGATGTCGTGGCCAAGCTCGACGATGTGGCCAAAGCAATGCGCAGCATCGAACGAGAGAGCAAGGACGTGTGGGCGGAGAGCGATGCAATGACCGGAAGCGTCAAGTCGTAAGGCGAGGCAGTACTCAGCTTGTCACGATAATTCTTCTTTTTAGCGAGCATTGTAATTTGCATCCCTTCAGCAACAGGCGTTTGGGCGCTGCCGTGCGGGGGCGCCTCGAATAATGCTGTGTAATATATGTCCTTGAGCCGATAAGATGGCAATCTGTACACTCCGTAGTTCGCACTTCTCACATTCGCCCTTCCACATGACGTGTTATTAGAAGCTCTCATCCGCTATCCGTACACGCTGGTTGACTCCCGGAAACCCTTTACATACTGCCACGTCAATTAGGAACAGCACGGGGGCCTTGGAGGCAGCCGCCGTGGAACGGCAACGACCGCGAGCAAGCAGGCAAAAGCACCATACCTTACAGCCTGGAAGAGGAATGTATGAGGAATTCAAGGTCTGACGATGCGTTCACTGGCTGGGCGATCGTCGGTCGACCCGGAGTGCTACCGTTTTTGTCTCCTGCCTAATTAGAATGGCACTTGGATGGCGCTGCCCCGCCACTGGCGTCGCTGCCGGGGAGCCTGAGGTCATCCGCTCCCACGCCGTCGGCATCAACCTCTAACACAAGGTCTGAGTCTCCTGTCATTGATTTGAATCTCATGCAACTTCCCCCTGCTATCAAACATTTCCTGCATAAATATCGACCTGTCCCCATCTTCAGCGCCAACGTCACCAATCTCACGCATACCCTTTAATTTCATCTCAAACTAACCCGAGCGATCATACTTTCGACATGCGTGTCTCTGGACTTCTCGCTTTGGCGCTCGCTGTCATCCCTGGTGTTTTCGGCAAGTCGGTCATCATTTACTTCGACGACAACAACACTCCCGATTCCATTGTCGATCAGGCGAAGAAGGACATTGTCAGTGCTGGTGGCAAAATCACCCACGTATACTCCATCCTCAAGTACATCCATCTCATTCTGCTATCTGTAATCTTGGGCTTACAAGCGGTGATAGGGGCTTTGCTGCCGACGCGCCAGAGGAAGCGCTGCAATCTGTGCAGACCTGGGGCAACGAGCACAAGATGCGTGTTGAAGAAGACCAGGAGGTTTCTATCAACAGCTAAACTTCACTAAAGACTTACTGCTTACTGGAGGCGTTTTGTTCGCAAGGATATGGCGTTATGATGATCACATGCTACCTTACGGAAGAAGCAACTGGATAATGACCTTGCAAATTGCTGGCAATCACGCTCGTTAGAGGAGTTAGAGCGAGTTCTTTGGATATATTTGACAATAACTGTTCCGACTTCTGAATGGTCATAGGCAAGCGACAACGTTGTTCGTCTCGTCAGCAGCACATACTCCCAACCGACCTTATTGGGCGGTGTCAGGCAATACAACCGATAATACCTTGGACAGAATGGAACGTAGCATGTATCACAAAGCATAAACGACATGCACCACACTCTTGAGACCAAATATCAGTAACAACCTGTTCTTGGCTTTCGGAAGCATTCTCAGCCTTGTCCGTGAAGCGGGAACAACGAGTACCCCATGGCGGGCACCCGCCAAGTGTGCATGATCCACCCGGGACCTGGCCGCACGCAATGCGGACTAGGGGGACAGGAGGGGAACACCACCTGAACAGCATCTGAAGACCGAATCTCTCCATAACACAATTACAAACTTTGGAATCAAGATCACGGACGAACATGTGCTATTCTTCGGGATGAGAGAGCGCTTCTCCGAAACAGTCTACCCCTTGACATAAAAGCATCCTCATCTCGCTGCTCGACATGGTTCTACTTCACCATACCTACTTATCCCGTGGACCACGCGACGCGACTCTCGACCCTACTCAGCTGATCTACATTAGTTATTGACGGCAGCACTCGGCGAAATGGACAAGTCGTCGGCAAAGGCGAGGCCGTCATTTAGCGAAGGCGCGCGGGTCGCGCTCCTGAAGACGGTCAACCGCATGTTTACCCTCGACCCCCCTATCGACAGCCTCGAAGACCTTCACAACGGCCTTGTCCTAGGCAAGGTCCTCCACGAGCTTGACCCCGAATTCGACCCCTCGCATTTAGAGAAGGACCAAACAGTTCCTCTCTTGACGAACAAGCGCAATATACAGTCGGTCTACAAGGGACTCTTTCGTTTCATCCGTCGCAAGGTCCCGGAGCTGAGCTTCCAAGCCTCCAAGTTCGATTATCATGCCATCGCCGAAAGCCCTGACGCGCAAGGCATCAGCCAGGTGAGTCGCCTCCACAGCCTAGCCTTCCATACCGTGGAAGAGCGAAAGAAACAGCGCGAAGCAGAGCTAACATTTCACGTGGGACAGTTGCTCGCCGTCATCGTTTGCACTGCAGCTTTTGGCCCTAACCGACAGCAATATGTTCCAAGAATACAGCATCTCGACCAGAAGGCGCAGGGGGAGCTCATGCATATACTGCAAGTCGTACAGATGGAGATGGCAGATGCCAAGGGAGCAGCGGATGACACGGACGAAACTGTTGACGATATGTTGGAGGCGCGTGACATTGACCTCTTGGTGGAAGAGCAGAACGCCGCTCTTCGACAACAACTAGACACTACAAAAAAGCAGCTGTCCGACTACATTACGCGACTCGAAAAGCTCCACCAAAGCCACAGCGAACTTCAGTATGAGAAAGACATGAACGACCGCGAACTAGATCTTCTCCGCAAGGCCACCCGAGATGGTGCTAGCAATGCAGACACAGTCAAGGCCCTCGAGGCTCGGGTTCACGAGCAAATGGAGATCATAGCAGATTACGAAGAGTCTATGCGAGAGGATGCCAAAGTCAAAGCTCATCTTGAATCTGAAGTTCAACGACTCACCAATAGAGCTGCATTGGCCGAATCTCTCCAGGATCAGGTGGCAGAGTGGAAGCACAAGGCTGAAGAATTCGAAAAGAAGGCCAACACGGCTGATCGATACAAGCAGAAGCTTGAACAGCACCAAGGCGATGCCAAGGAACTCTCAAACCTCAAATATGAGCGCGCGGAATTGCAGGACGAGATTCAACGTCTGACCGGCGAGATACTTCGCAGCCAACGCGCGCACAAGGCCGACGCCGAGTTGAGCACACTAATCTCCCAATCTGAACAAGCTGTGTGGGACGAGCGCAACGCCAAGAACTTGCTGCGGCAAGACCTTGAACATGCACTCACGGAGGTTGCACAACTACAAGCCCTCCGCGATCAAGATGAGGTCATTATCAAGGATTTGAATGACCGACTCCAAGGTGGAGAAGGCTCCTCGATGCACCAGGGTGGCGATGCTGGCATGAGTCTCGAAGATGAGCTGAACGATGCCAACGACAGTGCTCCTTCAGCCGACTTCTCTCTGGCGAATGCACGCCTCAAGGCAGAGAATGAGGTTCTGAAGAGGACTGTCGCCTCGAAGGGGGATACCACCATCTTGCAGCGCGACTTGGACGTTATGACTGCACACCGGGACCGACTACAAGCCAAGACGAATGACGACTTTGAGAAGATTGCAATCCTCAATGCACAGGTCGAGGCCGTGTTGAACAACTTGACAGGCGAAGGGTTAGTCAAAACCATCAACGAGATGCTGGCTGATGGCCCAATGCATGTGCTAAATTGTACATATTACAGGGACAAGGCTTTTGCTGAGCTTCGCCAAGCCGACCTGGAGAAAGCGGACAAACTTGAGAAGGCTCACAAGCGCATTGAAGCACTCGAGCAGCAGGCCGCCGATCAGGCTCGCGAACTCGTCACGCTTCGAACCGACTTGGAAGCTGTGGACAAGGATGCGGCTCAAGCTCTGGAGGACGTTAAGCACGCCGACGAGATTGTATCAGCGTCTCTAAAATCGGAGCTTGACAGGTTGCGCGAGAAACTTGGTATCGTGACTGCTGACAACGACGCGCAGAAGGGCCAGCTCATTGAAGCGCTCCTGGCCAAGGACCGACTTTCCAAGGCTGCGGAAGGCAAGACTCTGGACGAGATTATGGCCACTGACCCCGACCTGGCTGCAGCTGCCAAGAAGGAGACGGAGAAGATCGAGAAGCTCCGGGCCCGCTTGGTCGAACGGAATGAGGTGAGTGGCGAACATTCCCTGTCATCCCTCCACGATGAAATGCGCCCCGAGGCGTGGCCAACCTATGTCATGGTTCACCACGAGCGCTCAGGACCCTCGCCCGACAAGCGTCGCAGTATGTGTGGCTTTGGAAATGTGCATGGCCTTGGCCGCACTCGCGGTCCACCCATGCCAGCGTTTGGCAGCGACTGCTCGCCTCCGCACCCGCGCCCGACTAGCCTCCCCTGGCCACGTGCCCCCAGGATGAGCCTTGAGCACCAAGTGGTGCCCGGCCACACCCAGTTCCCTATTCTTTGTGTCAACGGCGGTGTCGACAAGGTTGCTGTGGCTAGACCTGAAACCCCTCCCAAGAAGAAGACGAAGGATGGACTGTTCAAGCGAGCATTCAACCGCCCCTTTAGCTTCAGCAGGAAGAAGAGCCAGGCTTAGAGAGAGAGAGAGAAGGCAGTCTTGAAATGGTGTTATTAACAGAATGTGCAGCAACTCGAAAAGTCTGAGCTGGAGCGTGTCGACCTCCAACGTAAGCTCAAAGCTGCCTTGGGAGGAGATCTGGCGGCGGAGCAAAAGGTATGTTTTCTTTTATTCAGCATGTTTCTATCCATGTTTCCTTTCCCATCCAGTGATTTGAATGAATGTTAATCTGTTACATCTTCAGGCTGCTCTTGAGAAGTCGATCAAGAACCTCCAGAGAGAGAATGCGTTGATAGCAACGGCGTGGTTCGACCTCACGGGCCGCATCCAGAGCAACCACGTCGTTCTTCAGAGACGCCACGACGCGCCCAAAAGTTGGCTGAACAAGCAGCGGCAGATGGTTAACGGTCAGTTGCGCCGCCGCGACTCGCTCTATCTCTACTGAACTGACTTTGTCAGCTACCCCGAGGAGATAGGAGCTCACGAGATGATCTCGTCATGAGTGACGCTCTGGGTCTTCGTGTCCCCTTGTCGACGGCGGCGTGGGCCATACTGCCTCTTTGCCTGCCCGCTATGTTCGGCCAACGGGGCGAAACCCTTTCTATCGTTAAACACGTATATATTTAATCATATGCATAGCCAAGAGGCGGAATACCCGGGGCAGACGCATTTGAGAGAGGCAGCGTTGATTTAACCTAGCATCGCAACGGAGTCAAGAGGGCGGGTCGGTCGTTCCAAGTTTCATTTGTCCGCGATGCGCCATAGAATACCAACAATAGACGGGAAAGAGGATAGAATAAGAGGATGCTAGTTTCATGGTCTCGGCTAAGTTTGACAATGTGGTACATACATGCGTCAGTACATCTCGCCACAGCCACGTGATGACCGCAGCTGTGTGCTTTCTGCCCTTTTCGCTTAGTTCGAGCCAGTGATGCGGCTCAGGATCGTCGAACCGTGACCCTTGCTCTGCCCAGCCTCCACAATCTGCAGCATGTTCTTCCACACCTGTCCAGGCTCTTGGCTGGCATCCAAGCCCTTCCAGATGCCGGTCTTCTGGTAGTAATGCACAACGGGCGAGGTCTGCTGGTGATAGACAGCCAGACGCTTCTGCAGAGCCTCGGCGTTGTCGTCGGAACGCTGGATAAGGGGCTCGCCGGTGACGTCGTCCTTCATGGCCTCCTTGGGAGGGTTGAAGGTGCGGTGGTACGAGCGGCCAGAGGCCGGGTGGACGAGGCGGCCGGTGATACGCTCGACGAGGAGGGAGTCGTCGATCTGCAGCTCGACAGCGTGGTGCAGGTTCTTGTTGCGCTCGCGGAGCATGGCGTCGAGACCCTCGGCCTGAGGCACGGTTCGGGGGAAACCATCGAGGATGAAGCTGGACACCATCAGTACCTTCGCGATTACCGTGGCGCGTTGGCAAATACGTACCCGCCGAGGCACTCCTTGTTGTTGTTGAGCTCCTCCTTGATCATGCCGATCATGATGTCGTCGCTGACGAGACCGCCCTGGTCCATGATCTTCTTCGCCTCGCGCCCGAGGGGTGTCTTCTTCGCAACCTGGGAGCGCAGCATATCGCCGGTGGCCTAGCAAGCTGTCAGAACAGGGGCATTGCGACTGCGCGCCGCCGTAATACGTACGAGGTGGCAGCAGGAAAATCGCTCTTTGAGCTTGGGGGCTTGGGTTCCTTTGCCTGCAAAACTTATCAGCATGAATCCGCAGGGTCAATCGCAGGTTTGCGTACCGGCACCAGGAGGACCGATCAAGATCATGCGAATCTCCTCAGTCGAGGGCGAAGCGCCGGTACCGCGCTGTTCGAGACGCTTAATGCGCGACTCGAGGCCGGTGACCACATCCTTCAGATGCTTAAGCTCATCCTCGACGATGCCCATGATGCTGGTGGAACGAGGTCAATTGGCACAACAAGTAAGACCTGAGAAAGAATTCGACGCGTGGGGAGGGTATGGGGGGCGGTGGGCGTAGAGTGAAGGGAAAGCAGAAAAGCCCGGAGGCAGGTTTCGAGATCGGAGGATGGAGTTGACGGAAACCAGCCGTGGAGCTTGCCGGCCGTGGAAATGTTGGTGCCTTGTGATTGGGCGCGGATGTACTCGCGTCGCTTGATGGACGGGCGGAATGTAGTAGACAAGGGATGGTTTAATCGTCTGAGATTCACTTGTGAGGTCTTGCTGATTTAATTTTTGACGTATAGTACCCATTGCTTTTGCCGACACCTGTCTTGTTGCCGCCGAGCTAATTAGGAGGAGCCTGAACTGAAGCATCTACATATCCGTCCGTCCGTCCGCCGGTCCACGTTTCCGCTGCCACGCGCCGAGGTTGGAACTTGGAACCAGCATTTCCCAGGGAACCACGTCCGTGAGCGTCTCTGCGCGTGATATGCCCAATTGAAGCAGTGGCCACGTCATATGCTTACAGCTTGACTCTACTGGGGCCTACAGAAGCCTATCAAGCCCAAATCATGTCCTACCAGCTCGATGTGTCTACTCTCACAAGTTGAGAGGTGCACTGAGAGTTGTAATCTGATGATGTCAAGCGAACTGTGATCAAGCCACGCTGTGGCGCATCACGTGACTGTACGTGGGGCTCGAGCTCTGGTTGCTTGAGCTCTAGCGTCAACTGCATCACCAAAGGCAGCCTCCAACGTACGTAGGGCGATCAGATCAGCAAACGACTTTCTTGAGACAATCGCGAGCGACATCATCACATAGCTACAACACATTTCACTGAGCGCAAGGGGCACAGACCCCACCACGTCTTTGAGATGCCTACTACCACAGCAGAAACCCTTTCCCTCGTCACTCGAAACGTCTCTGTCGCACCCCTCGTGCTGCTGAGCGCCGTCGACCACTACAACAGAACCACGCAGAACCAGATCAAGTCACGAAGAGTCGTCGGTGTCCTACTGGGTCAAAATGATGGGAAGAACGTCAGGGTGTCAAACAGCTTTGCTGGTGGGTGCCTATCGTCCCGCTGCTATCCGTGCCACGCTGACCTCGACGACAGTGCCCTTCGAGGAGGATGAGAAGGACCCTTCAGTGTGGTTCTTGGACCACAACTACGTCGAGAACATGAACGACATGTTCAAGAAGATCAACGCTCGCGAGAAGTTAATAGGCTGGTACCACTCCGGCCCCAAGCTGCGCGCCTCCGATCTCCAAATCAACGAGCTGTTCAAACGGTACACGCCCAATCCACTCCTGGTCATTATTGACGTCCAGCCGAAGGAGTCAGGTGTACCTACGGATGCATACTTTGCGGTCGATGAGATCAAGGATGTAAGTTCTTGACGAGCTGTGCAATACGTGACAGCCACTGACATCGACAGGACGGCACAACCACCGCGAGGACGTTTGTCCACACCCCTTCGATCATAGAGGCCGAGGAAGCAGAGGAGATTGGTGTTGAGCATCTATTACGAGACATCCGAGACGTAGCCGTTGGCACATTGTCGACTCGAGTCACCAACCAACTGCAATCGCTGCAGGGTCTACACTTGCGCCTTCGCGACATTGGCGCCTACCTTCAAAAGGTCCTCGATGGCGACCTGCCCGTGAACCACGCCATCTTGGGGAATTTGCAAGACGTTTTCAACCTCCTTCCCAACCTCTTCACACCGGAAGCAACGGGCAAGGCCGGGTCTGGCGAGCTGTCGAATGCGCTCAGCGTCAAGACCAACGATCAGCTCATGGCCATCTACCTCAGCAGCTTGATTCGCGCCATCGCCGCATTCCATGACTTGATTGACAACAAGATCCAGAACAGGCAATCGGCGGAGGAGAAGGAAGCCAAGAAGGATGGTGCGGCGAACAAGGACGAAAAGAAGGAGGCTACGGAAGCGAATGGGGACAGCAAGGAGGCGTCTCCCAAGGACAAGGAAAAGGATAAGGAGAGCAAGGACAGGAAGAAATGATGACAAACTTAGAAAAGGGGCACAGTGCCTGCCTGACTGTACAGTGGGAGCATATCAGCCTAGATTATTATACGCCTGCTATGATACCCGCAAACTGTTCCTTTGACGTTTCCTTGTGTTCGACGTAGGCCCCGAGAATAGTCTCCCACCTCTCGGCGAGGACACAGGCGAGCAAGTGCTTGCAGCAGGGCACATCCTCCCCTCTCCCGGCGAGGCCATCGAAGCTGATGCCACCAAACGACCAGTCTAGCTCTGCCTGCTCTACACCACCGCTGTCGTCTATGCTGACTGGGAATGCGTCGAAGGCAAAGCTCGCGCAAGAGCAGTTCCAAATGTGCGTGTCGACCAAGTAGCTTTTTGCAGTGGAGGAGTGTGCGTCACGGGTGCGCCGGGTCGCAAGCGTTGTAGCGAGAGACTTGACGATGAATGCCTTCCTTTCCGCCCCGTCCCCCAGTGGTGTGCTGACCACAGACACCAGTTGGCGATCAAGAAGGTCGAGCGCTGGCAGTAGAAGACCCGGGAACAGGACGTGTAGCGTGAGGAGCAACTCTTGCCGATTGACGGGCAGACGTTTGGCCCCGTCGCCAGATTCGAGGCTGGAGGCAGCCGATGATGATGTGGCCGGAATCGAGTTCAGCAGGGTTGTGAGGAACTGGCGATGAGATGGCAACGTTGACATTGTGCGACGCAGAAGTGAAGTTGATGATGTACATTATTTGATTGCACTATGGCACCCAGCAGATTTACAATGGTCTAATCTAATAGTCTAACATTGGCGCGCGCACACCAACTCATCTACACCCACTCCTTGGGCTCCTTGAGCACATCCACCAACCTCTGCTCCCGGCTCTTCGGTTCTGGCTCGTGCATGTACTTCCACGTAGCCGTCAGCGGCAACGACATGAGAATACTTTCCACCCTCGAGCCAGGCGTGTTCAGCCCAAACGCCGTCCCGCGGTCGTGCACGAGGTTGAATTCGACGTATTTGCCACGGCGAATCTGCTGCCATTCCTTCTCCTTCTCGGTAAAGGGCATGTCCTTGCGCTTCTCGAGGATGGGAAGATAGGACGGCAGGAACGACTTGAGACAGTCTTGAATAAAGGCAAACGTATTCTCCTGGTCGTGAGACGCCTCATCGAGGTCGTCAAAGAAGATGCCACCGATACCGCGGCATTCCTCGCGGTGCTTGTTGTAAAAGTACTCATCGCACCACTGTTTGAACTCGGGGTAGAACTCCTTGTTGTGCTTGTCGCACGCTTCCTTGAGTGTCTTGTGGAAATGGATCGCGTCCTCGTCGAACAGGTACGAGGGCGTCAGATCGCTGCCACCGCCGAACCACCAAGCCTGCGACGTGCCGTCTGGGTTGGCCGTCTCAAAGTACCGGTAGTTCAGGTGCACCGTCGGCGCCATTGGGTTGTGCGGGTGCAGCACGAGGCTCAAGCCGGCGGCAAAGAAGTCCAATGAGTTGACGGTGGGATCCAGGCTCTTGTGGTTCGCACGCATCTTCTCAATCGCAGGCTTGGGGAGCGAGCCGTAAACGACGCTGACGCCCACGCCAGCCTTCTCAAAGACGTTGCCGTCCTGGAGAACGCAGGTGATGCCACCGCCGCCATTCTTGCGGTCCCACTCGTCCTTGCGAAACTTCTTGCCGTCTATCTTCTCGAGCGCTTGCACAATGACCTGTTGCTGCTCCTTGATGAAGCGTTCCATCCTTAGGCGCATGGGCGAATCGTCGCTGATGGCAGCTTCGCGCTTCTTCTGGGCATCTTTCTCGGCAAGAGTCGAGGCGTCGAGGCCGACGGGATTCGATTTAATCTACAGCAACAACAAGGTCAGTTTGGTCGCTTCAAGGGTGGGCAGCCAGCGTGCGCATACGTTGTGGTAGGCCAATGGAGCGGCAACGCCTAGGACAGCCGCTGCGCCGATCAAGGAGAGATGCCAGGAACTGCGAGAAGACTGATGCGTGCTGGCCTTTGTCGATAGCGACCTTGACGAGCCCCATTGGCGTGTGACAGAGTGCGTCGGCAGCTGACGAAGTTCCCCCGCAAGACGTTGTGCCTGTCGTCTTGCAGCCATGGTGACGGTTTTCGTGTTAGGAATGGTGGACGTATCGGCCTGCGAGGGCTGCTGGATTACAAGATTCTATGGAGAGCAATTGTTAAGGATGCCTCTTGTCGTTATATGGTTGAATTTTGGACGCCCTGGGAATAGTAATCGAGGGTCTAAAAAAACAAATCTTACGATTTGACGGTTGGAATCGGGGACGTTTCCATAGGCCGCCGAGGCGCGAACTGCCGTCCGGCCTCCAGTCCCGTACGTACCTGACAGCCGACGTCGGCCACGCGCTTCCACATCGCACCACGCATCAGGTGATGTCTAGAGGCGTGATCAAGACGGCTTTTTGGGTGCACAAACAAAACACACATTAAATGGGACCGTCACCTGAGAATTCTATACTTGCACGGCGTCTGCTTGGGCGATTCGTCTCAGACCGTTATGGAATACTTGCTGTATGGGTCGGTGGCAGCTGCCCCCGGGCAGGCTCAAAGATGATGTTATCGACACAGTTCATTGAAAAAAGGGCGATGCGGCTGCCTTTCCATTAACAAGCAACGCGAAATCTGATTGTGAATACAATAATTAGTGGGAAAGGGCTCTGTGACTCGTCCCCGGCACACCTGACGACAGGATCTTGTGATCACGAACAATAAGGCAGCCTGCTGATGAGGCAGACAGTGCGAATATGACCTCTAGATGTGGTGATAGCGATTGTTTTACGGTGTGTGTACAGTGCGCATGGCCTCATTTGATCGAAAGCGGTTTAGATTGGGAGCCCCGCGTCCAGTCGGACCATCAAGCCTGGAGCTCCAGTCCCGCAACTGGCGAAAGCAGCAGTGCATTGCTTCGGGCTGTGACTGTTCTTCCAAGGCAGGACAAGTATTTGGTCAGGTTGGTTAAGGTAGGTAGTCTATTTGTAATGACTTGAGCACCTTGCTTTGCCACAGCTGTCAGATAGAAACTGTCATCTTCTCGTAATTTCCAACCACGTCTTTCTTCTGGTCAGTCACTGCGAGGTCACGAGCCTAGCACAGCTCCAGTCCCGGCCAGTCCCCAGAATCACGGTGTCACTCGCGGCCTGTAGGCATTCAAGCCCCCCACTGCACCGCTAGCGCTTGGCACTTGACAGCCTGGAATCTCCCAGTCAGCCCAAACCTTCTACCTTTCCCATCTTCCCTTTGCACATTATCATGCCCGAGAGTCTCGTCAACGAGCAACACGTTACACCATCCGAATCGCAGCCAGCACCAAACGTCGCAACGCCAGACAAGATGCGCAGCAAGTTCAAGGACGAGCACCCCTTCGAGAAGCGCAAGGCTGAGGCCGAGCGCATCCGCCAGAAATACTCTGACCGCATTCCCGTAAGTGGCATTTGCGAAACTATCGCCATCGCCCTTTTTTCTTCCGAATCCTTGATCCCATCGATGGGTTTCCTCATAGCTTCTTCTTCCGGTGCCACGCAGTTCGGAGCGCCCGTCACGGCATCACCGCCTTTTCCGCTTCGCTGCACCTGGCGGCCTCGAAGAACCCCGCCACTCTAACTGACGGTATACTAACTGTGCGCAAGGTCATCTGCGAGAAGGTCGAGAAGAGCGACATCGCCACCATCGACAAGAAGAAGTACCTGGTTCCTTCGGATCTCACCGTTGGTCAGTTTGTGTACGTCATCCGCAAGCGCATCAAGCTCTCGCCCGAGAAGGCCATCTTCATCTTCGTCGATGAGGTCCTACCTCCCACAGCCGCTCTAATGAGCAGCATTTACGAGGAGCACAAGGACGACGATGGGTATGTGTTTCCTCAAGAGGTTCGAGAAGCATCTACTGACATGCGGCAGTTTCCTCTACATCACTTATTCAGGCGAGAACACCTTTGGGTCTGCTTAAGCGAACTACCTACCAGCGCAATGTGCGGAATGACTACGGCGTTCGGGCGGATAATGTTATTTTCTTGGTTTGGGAGAGGGTCTTGCGCTCTCGAGTCAGTATTCAGAAATACCAGCAAATTATGCACTTTGACAAAGGGAGATGCTTTGAGCAACTTGATGCCGGACCACGGGGTGATACTGCTGTTGAATGAACAAGTTGCGTGAAGGAATATGAAGACAACACTGTGCTAACTTCCCAATTATAAATTTCCACGTATATCGCCGGTTTACATGCGCGAACCCTGCGAATGACTGGATTCTCACGACTGTTGACGACGCGGCACAGGTTGAAGAGGTCTCCTAACATTCGGTTGCTCATGGCCGTCAGCCCGTCACCTTGATGCCTCACGCCCCGCTTCACGTGCTGTAGCAGCTGTCGACCGAACGCGGCGATGACCCGCCAGACAACCCAAAGCTGCCGCCCGTATTGGAGATCCAACGGTAGATCTCCGTGGATTATTTACTCTTGCGATCAGCTATCGCGCAGCGATTACTTACTTGAGTCTAGTGATCTCATGAATGACAGGCATGCGTGCCGTACTACGTAAGGACTGGAGGCAGGTACCTTATCGTGCCTACAGCGCCGCCCGGCCACTGACGTCAGAGTAGCGGGCAGGGCTTGGCAGCTCAGACTGCTGGTACTTGCACATCCCGTGCAACCTCCACTGCTGTCGCAAGTACTGGGCGAGGCAGCGACGTCGCCGAGATGCCAGTCGACTTCCTTTCCGGACACCACCACGTGGAGCGCCAATCCTCGGCAGATATTCCAGACACAGCCCAGCGGACACCTCACTCAGCGGAGCGGAAGAAGACCATAGATCCTGCTTTATCCCTTGTTCTCTTCGGGAAGTGGTGGCCAGCAAAGCAAAGAGCTATTGGTGGGACCTTGCTCAGGGCCAGGGTCCTGGAGCCGAGAGCATGACTCGATTGGCTGCCCATGTCGCTTTCAACAGAGGTGCGTCCTCAGCCCTCACCGTGGAGTATCGTCCCAGGATGGTGTCGGTTGCCACCGTCTCAAGCAACCAGCAGAAGGCAATGTCGTCAACTTGCAGGGGCAGCAGGGCCCAAAGGACGCTCGGTCTGGGCGAGAAAACACCATAAAACAACATGGTCCGTCGTTGCCCTCCGGGCGACGCTCCTGGACGGATGGGCACCCTTTTCACAACCTATTGCGCTCCCAGGTGTACCCCCTTGCGCAGCAAACAAGATATCTCAACTTGTGAGCCGATATTTTCCAGAAAGCAAAAGAGTCACACGCCCCATTCACTTGGTGGTCTGAGGTCTCTGGTGCTGTCTGTTGTCGACATTCGGTGCCGTTGCTTCGTTGCGCAAGGAAATCAGGAGCGACACTCACTCGCGACAAACACAGTGGCTTCTCCAGCCGACGAGTTCTACTCCATACCCAGGATCCTCTTGGCCTCGGTTTCAGACATTCTCTGGCCAGAGTTTATTTTAAAAGTCGACGTTGACGCCGGCCGCCAGCCGACCCTGAGCTCGGCGCGTTGACTGGCTGTCGATAGTCGCCCAGCGCTTAACCGCCGTACGGGAAGCGCGCGTGCCCACTCACGACCAGAGAATCGACTCTGATTGAGGAAAGACGAAATTCTGTGATTGGAGGACTTCTGTGTTTGCTACGTATTCACTACGGAAAAAGATCAAGTGAGTCCATTATTTCGCTGCTTTCTCGGTTTCACTGCCCCCGTCCGTTCCTCACGCCCTCAGCACTCCCTTATAGTCAGTCAGCCGCCTCAACTCTTGTGCTACAGACTGGGCCCTGTTCCTATTGTTCTCATTCACTGAATAAGACAATCCTCACGGCCGGTCATGAACACATAGATCATTGCTGCGTGTTGACGAGTGTTTCCTTTGTCACTTTTCCTTTGCTATCCTGCTGTCCTGCATCGTTTTTCTTACACCACTTCTCCTTGAACGACCTCTTGTCCCGCTGGCGTGACAACATCGTTTCGGCTCTTCATTGGACTCGTTTCTATATACGCATACGCACGCCTCACGATATATTGCATCTTTGACCAACGCGATGAATAGATTCACCAACATGTTTTCCACACGGAGCCCCCCGCATCAACACACCTACCCCGAAGTGCCCGGCTCACTGCGGTCCGACTCTGTCGAGCTATCTGGCTTCGAGAAGATCAAGGACGCCAGGGCCACATCGGCATCCAATTTCACTCCCTATCTCGGACTCCGTTCTCGACTCTCACAAATATGGATCAACCGATGGACCATCCTGCTGCTCCTCGTCCTAGTCCGAGTGCTGCTGCTCATTGCATCACTCAACGACAATGTGGGCTCGGCCAAGGAAAAAGCCCTCTCAGCATGTACCAAGGTTGAGGACGTCGGCAGCTCCATGGCATCCATGCCTCATTACCTCTCGCTCGGTGTGAACGAAATGGCGGCCATGGGTGTCGAGACGGCCGTCAAGGCCATGGTCACCGTGCTGGAGCTCATCCTCACTGGAGTGGAGAGCATGATCTTCTTCTTCATTAACTTCCTCGTGGGCACCTACGTCTGCCTCCTCACTGCCCTTGTCAAGGGCAGCCTGGACGCCGTTGCCTCCGTCACCGAGGATATTGGCAATGTGGTCAACAAGCTCATCGACAGCGCCACAGACGACATTGAGTCCATCTCCAGCGACATTGAGGACGGTATCAACAACATCCTTGACGGCGTCACCGACTTCTTCAGTCCAGGATCCAGTGACAAGCCGGAAGTGGACTTCTCCGGGCCCATCGAGAAGCTCAAGGACTTTGATCTCGACCCCAATGACTTTGCCAAGGATATCCGCAAGGTCAACGAGAACATCCCCAACTTTGACGAGGTCAAGAACATCACCCAGGAGACCATTGCCATACCGTTCGACTTTGTCCGCAAGGCCCTCAACGACAGCTATGGCGACTACAAGTTCAACCGCGATGTGTTCCCCCTCGCGCAGAAGGAGAAGATGACTTTCTGCTCGGACAACAGTACTTTGAACGACTTCTTCCAGAGTCTCTACGATCTCATTGAAAAGTCCCGCATCATCTTCATTGTCGTTCTCGTGCTGCTGGCCGTGGCTGTCATCGCACCCATGGCGTGGTACGAGATCAAGCGGTGGAGGCGCACGCAGCGTCATGCCCGTCTCGTGGAGAAGGACTCGTTTGATCCGATGGACGTGGTGTACATTGCTTCCCGGCCCACTACCTCGAGCTTCGGCGTCAAGCTGGGCTCCCGTTTCTCCGGGAAGAGGCAGGTCCTGGTGCGATGGTGCATCGCCTACGCAACCTCTCCGTCGGCCATCTTCGTCCTCTCGCTGGCCCTAGCCGGTCTCTTCTCCTGCCTCTGCCAATATATCCTGCTGCGCGCCGTGCAGAGCCAGGTGCCCGCCCTCAGCAGACAGGTGGGTGAGTTTGCTGGCGATGTAGTCGGCAGCCTGAACCAGGTCTCGGAGGAGTGGGCTCTCGACGCCAACAGCGTGATGCTGGGTCTCGAGAACGACATCAACGACGACGTCCTCGCCTATGTCACCAACGCCACCGACGCCGTCAACGACACCCTGACCACCTTCATGGACACCATCAATGATGGCATTGAGACGGTGTTTGACGATACCATTCTCGTCGACCCCATCAAGACCGTGGTCCGCTGCATCATCGGTATCAAGGTCGAAAGTGTGCAAAAGGGCCTGACCTGGGTCCACGAGAAGGCCCACGTCGCGCTCCCCATGTTTGCTAACGACACCTTCAGCCTCGGCGCGAAGGAGTCCGTCAACGGCGACTCGGACATGAACACTTTCCTCGCGGCGCCCGGAGATGGCACCGAGGACGAGGTCTCTGGTGCGGTGCAAAAGGTCGTCGACTGGCTGCGCAACGGCATCGTCGTCGAGGCCCTCATCTCCACGGGCATCCTCCTCCTCTACGTCATTGTTGTCCTCCTCGGTGTGATTCGCGCCCTTGCCGGGATGGCCATGCCAGACAAGACCCGTGCTGAAGGGGGAGGTAATGGCTTCCGCTTCACGGGGGATGACCGTCCTCCTCTGACGCCTCGCTCGCAACCCCAGGCTTGGACAGGCGAAGGCAACCAGTTCCAGCCGCACGGGTCCGAGACGCACATTGAGGGTGGCTACTACGGTAGTGGCGACGAGAAAGCGACCGGCGCTGTTGGTGCCCGGCCAAGACACAATGCAGGACATGTGCGGAACAGCTCCTACGGCGAGATTGACCACGCGAGCAACAAGTTTTGATCTCCTTTGATCTTTCACCCGAAAAGACAAAGCTACGGAAAAGAAAGAAAAAAAAGAAGAAGAAAAAGGGGTCATAACTTCAAGAACATATCAACTCGCCGGGCTGTGCTCGAAACGTGTCAACCGGGTGGGCGTTTAGAGGGTTTTGGATAACGGCATTTTTGTGACGAGGCATGACAGAATGGATCCCACCGCGACCACCACAAGTTTGGACTCTACTCACTGGTGGTCGGTCTGTAAGCGGGAAGGTTTTCTTTTTCATTTTTTATAATAAAAAATTTATTGTAGCCTAGGCAAGTCATAGATTGTTTCCCCTCAGATTGGACCTGAATACACACAAATGGCTGCAACCGAGCATGCGTTGACTACGTGCGTACTTATCTACTTGCATATAACATAGTCCAAGAATCATTCTTTTCGTACATATAGTGTACATGGAACACACATACTGATACAACATGTCCATTTTCATACCTTGAGGTGACCCTCTCTCCCAACCTCAGCCTCCTGTTCCAGCTCCTCCCTCGCCAGAAGCTCCGGCTCAGTCTCATCCGTAATTTCGTCGCCCACGACCTCGCCCAGCTCCTCGTTGCCCAGCGTAAACACGTCCCTGGCCTTGAGCTCGGCCAGCACGCCGCGTCCCTCGACACTCAGCTTGCCGGGCGTGGCGTGATCGAGCGCGAAGCGCAGCATCCTGGCGTCCTCCTCAGTCCACGGCCGGGGTTCCAACCCCTTGGCCAGCCTCTCCTCGTTGAACTTGTCCCGGACGGCCTTGGTCTGCATCACGGCCCAGCGCAGCTTCCACCCCGTGGGGCCGAGCTCCTTGATGCGCGCGGCCTTCTCCTTGAGCAGGTAGTTTTCGAGGCCGCCCTCCTTCTTGATGGTCTTGAGCACGCGCATGGTGAGCTTTGTGCGGACCTTGCAGCCGAGCGAGGCGACGTCGTAGATGCGAATGTGCACATTGGGCCGCCAGAAGCGTTGTGTCTTGACCTTGTGCGGTGCCGACACATTGTTGCCGAAGCGCACGCGGGTCGTGCCGTACAGGCCCTTGTTGGACTGTTTGTAGATGAGGCGGGGGCCGTAGGGATACGGAGGGCAGGCAATGGCCGGTAGATTTTGGGGTTGAATGGTCTTGGTCTGGAGGGTGGATGTTGTCGAGAACAAGCGACTCGAGGATGGTTTCGCCAGCGACGAGCGCAGGGGCGCTGTGAAGGACGACATGGTGGTCGCCGTTGGTGTTTTTCTCGTCGTTACAATCGCATTGAGCATTTGTACCAGTGTCGCCGAAGAAGTATCGTCGTCGTCGTCGTCGTCGTCGTTGTCCTCGCCGCTATCGTTGTTACCACCCGTGATAGTAGTCCCAGTCCATCCAAGAAATTTGGACCAAAGCTGCTGCCCCCGGGGATCCTCTGCTGATTGGCGTCACGTGCTACCGCGTCCCTTTCGCGGGACCCATCCAGCGGTCTAGTACGTACAAGTACCTCGATTGTTTGTTCCACATGCCAATGCCGACCACTCAGCATGTTCCCGCCCATAGACGGAGCCATTCTCCGGTCTAATCCCGACTTTGCCAACCTCTACACGAAGCTCACAAACGTCGTGCTGAACCCCGATGGCTCGACACGGGAGGACCCGGCTGTCAAGGAACGCCAGCGGGTCAAGGACGAGCTCGACAAGCACCGCCTGCAGGCCGCCAAGCAGCACCTCCTGACACAGGCACTGTCCTCGCTCACGCCGCCACCGCCGTCTCGCGCCCCGAACCCTCGCCAGCCGCAGCGACCGACCCTCCCCGAGCCACTCCTCGACCTTCTCCTCATCTTACCGCCGCTGCTCGCCCCCTTGGGCCCAGGCGTTGCCGAAGATGACGTGTCCCTCTTACTGTCCAGCCCGCCTCTGACAGAGCTCGATGGCTTGATGCCCGACTTGACCAGTCTCCTCTCGTCGCATCTGCGTAGCTCCGCATTGAATCTAGCGAGGATCACGCATCCGTCGACGAACCCCTCGTATCTACACCGGCATATTCCCGCGCTCGCGACCAGCTTCGCAACCTTGACCCAGCAAGAGCGCGATGCGCACCAATCACTGGTCAAAGCGCGTCTAGAAGCGCTGTCCAAGCTGCTCGAGCTGATGGACCTCTACGTATGCTGTCTAACAAAGCTGATCAGGACGCTGGAGTCAAAACACGGCGTCATAGCCCGGAATTTGGATCTGCGGGCGACGGAGGCGTCACTAGAGGCAAGGCACGTGCACCAAAACGTCGAGATGGCGCTACACACGACCGCCGGCCACGTGTACTCCCCCGACGCCATGGCGGCTCTGAACAAGTACGCACTGCATCTGAAGGACGCCAAGGCGCGCACGAGGGAGAGGATCAAGAGTCTCACGGCCGAGCTGGGGAGCTATGGTGTGGGCATCCCGGGCGACGAGGCAAAGGAGCGGACAATGAGAGAGATGGCGCGTGTATACAGAGACATGGCGCGACAGGTGGAGGATGCCAAGGGCGATCTCAAACGACTGCAGCAACGAGGGTGAAAATAATGACACAGGCAGGTAGGCAGGCAGGCAGGCAGGCAGGTAGACAATTTGCATAGTACTAGTACATTGATCGTCAAACGTCATGGTATCGTCCGTCCCTCTCTACATTTTGATGGTCCGACTCGACTCGACTCGACTCGACTACTGCATTTAACCCTTGACCTGGAAGATGGCCTCGGCGAGGTGGTCGACGTTCTTGCTGGTGATGCCGGAGACGGAGATGCGGCCGTCCTTTGTGAAGTAGACGGAGTAGTTCTTGGTAATCTTGTCGACCTCCTCTGGCTTGAGGCCGGTGTAGGCGAACATGCCGATCTGGGAGGTGATGTGTGACCAGTCGTGCTTGGAGCCCAGGGCCTCGAGCTTCTCGCGGAGGAGCTTGCGCATGGTGATGATGCGGTCGGCCATGCCCTTGACCTCGGCCTGCCACTGGGTGTAGAGCTTGGGGTCGTTGAGGATCTGCGAGGCGATGCGGGCGCCGTGGATGGGGGGGTTGGAGTACATGGGGCGGATGATGATCTTGAGCTGCGAGTCGATGCGCTTGGCCTCCTCGGCGTCCTCGCCGACGACGGAGAAGACGCCGGCGCGCTCGCCGTAGAGACCCATGTTCTTGGCAAAGGACTGGGAGAGGAGGATCTTGTGGCCGTCGCGGATGAACTGGCGGACGGCAAAGGCGTCGGCGTCCGAGTCGCCCGAGGCGAAGCCCTGGTAGGCCATGTCGAAGAAGGGCAGGTGGTTCATCTCGAGGCAGACGCGGGACAGCTCCTTCCACTGCGCGGGCGAGGGGTCGACGCCGGTCGGGTTGTGGGCGCAGGCGTGGAAGAGGAAGACGGAGCCGGGGGGCGCGGCCTTGAGGTCGGCGACCATGCCGTCAAAGTCGAGGCCGATGGTGTCCTTGTTGTAGTAGCGGTAGGGCTCGACGGTCAGGCCCGCGTCCTGGAAGATGGCCTTGTGGTTGGCCCATGAGGGGGTGGGGATGCGGATGACCTTGTCGCCCGAGTACCAGCGCTTGAGATACTCGCCGCCGATGCGCAGGGCGCCGGTGCCGGAGATGGTCTGGGTGACGGCGATCTTGTCAAGGACGGGCGAGTCGTTGCCGTAGGCGAGCTTGGCGGCGGCCGAGGGGAACTCGGGGACGCCGGTGATGCCGGCGTACTCCTTGTTCATCTTGTTCTCGATCACGCGCTTCTCCGCCTCGCGGACCGAGGGCAGGACGTAGGGCTTGCCAGCATCATCGCGGTAAGCACCGACACCTGTGCGGTGTAATTAGCTTCGATCCGACTCTACGGGTTGGCCATGGCCAGGCATGCGTACCGAGGTTGATCTTCTTCTCGTTGGAGTCAGCCTTGAAGGCCTCGGTGATGCCCAGGATGGCCTGCGAAGGACGGTTAGCACCATCGGGTGGGCCGCGATGGCCGATGGCCAATGCTGTCGCTGGCGATCAAGGGATGGCTCACGTCCTAGGTTCGACCTCGTTAGCGAAAGTTACTGGCGACGTGGACGCTCTCTCTCCGTTGGAGTCACCTACAGGAGGGCCCTTGGGGACGTTGCCCCAGATGGAAAAGGCGCGCGCGGAAGCGGCAGCGGCAGGGACAGCAGCTGTGCGGAGGGCCGAGTGGCGGGCGCCGGTCTTGATGGTGGTGGACAGCATCGTGGGCGGACTTTTCGTGGTGGTGCGTGCGATTGCAGAAGGACTGGAGGCAGAGGGAGAAGAGGCGGGAGAGAAGGGACTGGAAGGGAACTGCTCGGACTGACGTGGATGTAGATGTTTGTCTGCCGGCCCGGTCAGGTCCTGCAGGCCGCAGGATCCACTGGCCGCATCGAACCACCGACCGCGGTCAGGGCTGAACTGCGGACTCTACACGTAGTCGGGATAGGTGCGCTTATTTGTTGCGACATGGCAACAGCGCGGTGCTGTACTTGGGACCCAATTGCCTTTGAATTAGGGCAATGCTTCCTCCTTGGTAATTTAATGGTGTCTTTTTCCATGTCACGGCTGACCGCAATGACCAGAGCTGCCAGTTACTTGTACAAGTACGGATAGCTTAGCAAGCTCTCCGAGGCCAAGTTGAATTGCCGTGCATTTACCCGGACGGGCTGGTTGGTGGCTGACCACTGTGGCTGGGTGGGGCCCTGTGAGTGTGAGAGAGGTCGTTGGAAGCGCCGAAGGATCGCGCAGTCACGGGATGAAGGGCAGCGCGTTAGTCATGCCCTCGCACTGCACTTCTGGCGCTATTACAGAGTACTGTCTGACTGTACTGCAGCACGTGGTCATTCGCGACGCCTGTTTATCTTATCAATCGCATCAGTATCTTGATTCAATGTCGGGATGCTGTGCTTCAATAGTTTTCTCGGTGGTGATCGGATTGGCCGGTGTTGCAGCGTCCGGACGTTGCTCGGTCACCCGGTGTCGGCAGGACGCTGTTGCAAACATGTGACAGCAATGGCTTGCTGGCTCTCATCGCAGCATTGGCAACCACGCTTATGGAGCCCGACCTGGCTCTCTATATAGGAATCGACATGATGCCAATTGACAATGCTTTCATCAACGGCTTGCCCAATAGAAGAGCGGAGAGTATTTGAGCGCATGTCAGGCAGCGATGCGGATGCAACACCAGGCAGTACAGGGTAGGCCCACACCACCATGTAACGTAGGACTCGGAGGCTGCAGCCCACGCACAAGATTCATCAACAAACCGCCCATGCATTCAGTACAAGTGCCGGCAGAGCCCCATGGGGTATCAGTCGAGATCATTCTGGGATCGACATTGTACGTAGAATTGGTTGACTGCTTCACGAGTCACGACCGTCCGGCGTCAACTACCATACTTGGAGGCACCAGGTCAGCCACGGCGTCGGTTGGCGCGCCTCTCAGACTCCTTCTGGAAGGCTTCGGCGTACCTGAGCCCATCCCGAATCCCGTGCTCCCATCGGGATACTGCGCCCGCCCGCGAGCGCTTCCCCAGAGAGTCCCAGACTGCACGCTACGCCGCTACTTGGAGTCATGAGACTTGGACTACCTCCATCTTCATGCCTGAGCCCCTTCTATCCTTCCCCGCACGAGACTACATTTGGTTAGTATAGACTCGGACCTCAAAAACATGGAGTCCAAGTGTCGGCCTAGCAGGCCAATGAACATCAATGCAATGGACTGGGCAGACAGGGATGTCATCTCCAGTCTCCCGGGCGCCAGCCAGCTCGCCAGCTCTTCTCCTCATTCATGACTCTTGCCCTCAATTCTGGGGTAGCCATTTGGGGGAGGACCCGGGGGTAGCCATCAATTACAATAGCGTCTTTACAAAGCACCGCAGGCACTGGTCTGGTCGGAGTGCGCGACTCGGTCTAGAGACGACGACAAATTTGCTGTGGGGGGCCCACCTCGATTAGCATCCAAGCTTGCCGGTCGTTCCTTCCATCCATCCATCCATCCATCCAATTCTTAATTATAAAACCCGTCCGGCTGCCACGCGACTTCATACTCCTCACCTCCAGCCCTCACCTCCTCCCCTCCCCATCTCAGCTTGCTCGCTCGCTCGCTCGCCCATTCACTCATCCACGCACTCGTCATCACGCCTCGCACAGCATGGCCGAGAAGATCGACGACAGCGGCGTGAGGCCCGCCCCTGGAGCCGATGCCGACTACATGGATGCGCCGGCCGAGAGCAAGGCGCACCAGCAAGTCATCGACCATGCCCGCGCCGCCGCTGCAAAGGAGCAGTCCATGACCCTGATGGAGGGCATCCGTCTTTACCCAAAGGCCATCTTCTTCAGCTTCATCATCTCCTCCACCATCATCATGGAGGGCTACGACATCAGTCTCATCAACAACTTTTGTAGGCGGCCCCCGTCAACGTCCAAGGCTACGTAGTACTGTGACTAACCACTTGCGCCAGACGCTTTCAGCACCTTCAACCAGAAGTACGGTAAGCAGCTCGACGACGGCACCTGGGAGATCCCCGCCGCCTGGCAGGCCGGCCTCAGCAACGGCGCCTACTGCGGCGAGATTGTCGGCTTGTTCTTCTGTGGCTGGATCGCAGAGCGCTTTGGCTACCGATGGACCCTCATCGGCTCCCTGGCCTGGCTGACGGTCTTCATCACGCTCTTCTTCATGGCCGAGAATGTCGAGACGCTGCTGGCGGCCGAGATCCTGTGCGGCATCCCCTGGGGCGTCTTCCAGACCATCACCATATCCTACGCCAGTGAGATCTGCCCCGTCGCCCTGCGCGGGTACCTGACCACCTACGTCAACGCGTGCTGGGGTATCGGTCAACTCATCGGTGTTGGGTAAGCATCCCCCTTCTCTGTACTGGGGCAGACGGGCACAGCAGCTAACAGGAACCAGCGTCATCTACTCCATGCTGGACCGCACCGACCAGTGGGCCTACCGCATCCCCTACGGTCTCCAGTGGATGTGGCCCCTTCCCCTGGCCATTGGCATCTTCTGCGCGCCCGAGTCTCCCTGGTGGCTTGTCCGCAAGGGCCGTGTCGATGACGCCAAAAAGTCCCTCCTGCGCCTGACCTCGAGGAACCACCCCAACTTTGATGCCGACGAGACCATTGGCATGATGGTGCACACAACCGCCCTCGAGGAGAAGATCACCGCCGGCGCCTCGTACCTCGACTGCTTCAAGGGCGTCGATCTGCGCCGCACCGAGATTGTCTGCATGGTGTGGGCCGCGCAGAACCTCTCGGGCAACACCTTTAGCAACTACTCGAGCTACTTCCTCAAGCAGGCCGGTCTGTCGGAGCGCAACTCGTACGCCTTCGCCATGGGCCAGTACTCCATCAACATCGTCGGCGTCTTTGGTGCCTGGGGCCTCATGACCGTCGGGCTCGGTCGTCGCTCGCTCTTCCTCTACGGTCTCTGCCTGCTGTTCTCCATGCTCCTAATCCTCGGTTTCCTGGGCCTCGTCCCGGAGAGGAACCGCGACAAGGGTGCGCTGGCCACGGGTAGCATCATGGTCTCCTGGGCGTTGTTCTACCAGCTGACCGTCGGCACTATCACGTACTCGCTCGTGGCGGAGCTGTCGTCGCGTCGCCTGCAGATCAAGACCATTGTCTTGGGTCGCAATCTCTAGTGAGTCCCCTTTGCTTGTCCTGGTGCACCGCCACCTGCTAACAACAGCGCTAGCCTCATCATCGCCATTGTGACCGGTGTCCTGACGCCCTACATGCTCAACCCCGAGGAGTGGGACTGGGCCAACTATGCCGGCTTCTTCTGGGCCGGCCTCTGCTTCTGCTGCATCGTCTACGTGTACTTCCGCCTCCCCGAGCCCAAGGGCCGCACCTACGCCGAGCTGGACGTGCTCTTTGAGCAGGGTGTCTCGGCGCGCAAGTTCTCGACGACGAGCGTCGACGTCTACCACGAGCACGTCGAGGACAATGTGATGAACCAGTTCACAAAGGTCAAGGCCACAGACGCCAATGCGTAGTGTGGTGAATGCGAGGACGAGTGAGCAGGAATGACAATGATGGGACACGACCTGCTCTCCACATATAACGAACATGACGTATATAATGCCCGATACTCTACAGCGCAGCGAGCCTTCCGTAGGGCAGGCTTACAATATAATGATCTTATTTACTTGAACGCATTCTCTGATTTGTATTCTGCACAAGGCCTCCTCAAGCCTTGCCCCAGAGTTCGCGCCACCACTCTCGGAGCCCATACGCCTTCTCGCGCGACTCGAGGACCCTCGGTCGATCGTTGGTCTTAAAGTGCTGCAGGAAGCTGCTGGCTTTCTTGTCGGCGGCCCCCAAGACGCTGATCGTCTGCCTGGGCCGCGTCGCCCGGTCCTGGATCTCCCGCGCCACCTCGGGGGCCACGTCGGCGTACAGCGAGGCCATCTCGCGCGGTAACGAGAAGTACGGCTTCTTGGCCAGGTCGGGCGCCATGAGGTTGTACTCGCGCGTCATCTTGTTCAGGTTCTCGATGGACAGCTGTAGGTAGCCCGCCTCGGTCCTCTCCCACTCTGGGTCGCGAAAGGGGGCCGGGAGTATCTCGCCCGGGAGGTCTTGTTGTTGTTGTTGTTGTTGTTGTCGTGGTTCTCCTGTAGCAGCAGCAGCGGCATCGTCAACGACTGGTTGCCGTATCTTGACCATGACCGGATCATCCGTGGAGCTAGCCGCCACGGCAATCTGGTCGACCCTGCGCAGCCTGGGATTGTGTACCTGCTCAGCGCGTGCGTACAGCTCCGCCCTACTCATCTGCTCCAGCAGCGAGCCGCCCTTGGACGCAATCGTACGCGCGACATGGCGCTTCCACTCAACCCGGAGCCGGGCGCGGAATATGTCGGCCTGCCTAACCAGGTCCTGCTGCTTCTCGATCCAGGGGGGCACAATCTCCTGCCGCTGGATCATCTTGTTCATGATATACTCTGTCGTGTCGATAAACGGGTTGTTGGCCCTCGTGTCTCGCTCGATGCCCCGACCGCGTGGAATGTCCTTGAACTGACCTCTCGCAATGGCGTCCTCGATCCTTTCGTTGGCGAGCGCGGCGAGGCCCGTGATGGAGTTGGGCATAGCCCTCGCCCCGGGGGCGAACCGCTCGCGAAACTCGCTCCGCAGCGCCTCGCGCTCCTCGGCGTCGAGACCCTTGTCCTTTACGCTGCCGCCCTTGGGTGCTGTCGCTGTCGCTGCTGCTGCTGCTGCTGCTGCGCCGGCATAGTGCTGCGCACGTTCGCGCGCGGTGGCCACCCTTTGCGGCGCGCTCACGACCGGCTCGCGCCTGATGCGCATGTCCACGGGGGGTGGCTGGAACTTGGCCCGGAGGCCAGGCTGGAGGGGCTTCTTGGCGTCGCTCAGCATGCGCAGCACGGCGTCGTGCGTGGTCTCCTCGCCCGTCCACGCCTGGGCGCTGGCGATGGAGCGGGTGCCCTCGCCCGCGGCGGGAGTCATGTCAGCCTGGGCAAACGCACTGGCAAAGTCGTTCCTGAAATTGGCGTCTTGAACCTTGTCGAGCAGCTTCTGCTTGAGCTCGTCGTCGAATCCAGCGTCCTCCACGGCACGTCGACCGGCTCGACCACCTGTCTGGAGTGCTTCCTCGGTGGCTTCCTGGAGACGTCTGCTCATGGCACCGGCCACCGGCCTAGAAGAGTCATCAGAGACCGCATTGCACACCTTTTCTGACTGGGTGCTCTTCTTCTCAGCCGCTGAACTGGAGTACGCGACGCAGCGTGGTGCTCGTCGTCGTCCACGAGCGACGGGTTTGTGACAGACTCGGCATAGTCGTGAGTAGCCAGCGAGGCGAAGGGGCATGACGATAACAGTCTCCTGGAGGGGCAAGGATGCTACGAGTACGTGAGCGACATGGTGTGGTAGGCAAGCGATGCATTTGTCGATGATGAATCGATAACGTTGTCACGGCCAAGTGGCGACTGGGTCAATGTTAGTCATCATGTGACCCGTGGGCTTTTCATGAGGTCGACCTTGACGGTGTATCAGTTTCTTCCATTGTGCACATGAACTACAAACACATGAGGCCATTGTTGGATTTTATTGAATACTCTCGTAGGCATCATAGGTTCTCATTCTCCTCTTCTTCCATGACCTCCAACGTCCACGTCCACGTCCTCGTCCTCATGACAACGCAGCACCGCCGAGCACTATGCTACAGCCTGTCCATTAGGAGCTCCTGCGGCCGTAGGGCTCAAAGGGGAACAGGGCCGACGTGATGGCTGCGACGATGAACAGCGCGGCGCAGACATAGATGGGCACGCTCGTCGCGGTGTTGCCCTCGGACGCCACGACGGCCGAGATGATGCCCATGATGCGGTTAAAGGCCACCGAGATGCCATTGCCGGTCGCGCGGTGGGCGCTGGGCAGGACCTCGGGCGTGTAGGCGTAGAGGGTGCCGTAGTAGATGTTGAGGCAGAAGTTGATGAGGCACGTGAAGAGGACGTCCTGGTAGTCCTTGCGGACGGCGGTGTAGCCAAAGAAGAAGGCGCAGGTGATGAGCGCGCCGATGACCATGGTGTAGCGGCGGCCGAGGAGCCGAATGTTGCACAGAAGGCCGGCGAGCATGGGGCCGAAGATGCCGCTGACGTTGGTCAGCGCGTAGTTGCGCCACGTCTCGAACGGGGTGCGGTTGAACTCTGCGCCGCGCGCGGCGAGGTACTGACTGCTGACGGTTAGACGGGCAAGGACGGGGTTTCTCTCTGGGTCAGGAGATGTACGTACGGCAGGAAGACGTTGAAGAGCGGGTACGCGAGGCCGATCAGCGTCCAGGAGAACCAGATCATGCTGGTCGAGATGCCCATCTTCTTGGTGCCGAACAGACCGCGCAGGTGGACCATGAGCTCGCCAAAGAAGCCACCCTTTTTGTGGCTGTCGTTGATGGTGCCGCAGGCCTCGAGCTTCTCGAGCGTCAGGGAGCAGGGGCGGTTGTACTTGCGCGACAGGTACTCAAAGGTCTCGACGACCTCGGCGTCCCTGCCCATGCCGAGCAGGTACTTGGGGGTCTCGCGCAGGCGGACAATGGTGATGCGCAGGAGGGAGAGGACGAAGACGAGGGCGCCACCGGTGAAGAGGGTGTAGCGCCAGCCCCAGTTCTCGTCCTTGGAGCAGGCCAGGGCGTCGGCGGCGCAGTTCCACCGGCGGGGGACCATGAAGCCCCAGGCGATGAAGCCGGCGACGGCCTGGCCGACACCCCACCAGGCGGCGAGGAAGGTCAGGAGCCACTGCTTGCTGCCGGGGAGGAACTCGAGGAAGACGGTCGTGTCCATGACGAGGTTGCCGCCGCCGCCGAAGCCGAGCAGGGCGATGAAGACGCCGAGCGACTCCCAGGTGGGCATGGCGCCGGCCACGACGCAGCTGGTCGAACAGATGAAGAGGGAGATGTTGAAGGCGTACTTGCGGCCGATGATGTCGGCGCCGAAGCCCCAGAAGATGGCGCCCGCCAGCATGCCCACGTACACGGCGATGGTCATGCCGTTGGCGTAGCCCTTGCGCCCAAACTCTTGAAAGGCCTGGCCGGCGATGATGGATTGGAACAGCAGGATCAGCGAGTCAACAGCATAACTAGGCACCGGTCGCGCATCAGCATCGGGGCAGGGAAGGGAGGGACGGAGTGAGGGAGCCCAGTGGCTCATCATCTTCTTACCCAAAGCCATTCAGGAAGAAGAGCTTGGTGTGGTACGGGGTCCAACCAATCTCATCAATGGCCTTTATTCACCAGGACAAGTCATGTCAGCATGAGGGCGCGCAGCACAGCACGGACACACGACTCGCAGGCAAGGCATTCACGGGGGCAGGGAGTTGTCGCGTCCATTCGCAATGGCGTCTCCGTCTCTGGCTCAGGAGAGCCTGTTTGCCTGCCTTGCGCCGCGAGCAGGCGGAGGAAGCAACTCACGTTATTCACCAGATGCATCTTCATGTTGAGAGCCGGGTCGAGGGCCTCCAGACCCAGGATGTCGCTGCCGACAAGGGACGAGCCATCGGCGTTGTGCACGTCGTGCAGGCCGACGGCGCCCCCGTTGCTGCCGCGGGCGCCCATCTTCTGGTCTTCCTTGTCCGGGTCCAGGTGAGACCGCTGGGGCGAGATGGCGGCCATCTTGTCCTTTGTCACTTGCAGTTCGCACGAGCGGCACTGTCGTCTTTTGCACGGGTCACGTTGCTGTCGAGGAGAGCAAGAGGAGAGGTCGAGGGTTGAGAGATCTCGCGTATTTGCACGGCAAGGTCGAGGCGAAGCTCCGTGTAAGCGCCAGGCGAGAGAGATGACAGCAAGGAAGAGAGGGCTGGGGAGAGGAGGAAGAAGGGGGGGAACAAAGACATAAGCCGAAGGCATAGGACGCGAGCAGTGCCAGGGGACTTGAAAAGTTTTATCAGAGGACGACGCGCAGTGAGGCACCTTCAGATCTCACTCTCTCCGTCGTCAATGAGAATCCATCCCGGATCCTCCAGAGTCTCACCCTTGTTGTTGGTCGTGGACTCGTGGGCGTGGGCCGCTTCCACCTACGTCAGGGCAATGTACCACGGTACTCAAGGACTGCTGCGAGATAAGTCGCGCATACCGCGGACGCCCATGTACCGCGTTACCTCGAGGCACGTGGGCGGCCTCGTCCGCGAACCTGAACCTGGGAGACTGTTGGCGAACCTGAGGGCTTCAGTGTTAGTGGTGATTTTGTCGACGCACAGCATGCGCCGTGTCGCGTGCCTCCCTCTCTGTATGTATCTCTGCTCGGCCGCAGATTCATCTCGTCGCAAAGAGGCAACATGCTGTAGCTAGTTGAAGTGGCGACGGCGATCTGGGCGACGGCCGACGCCGGGCTATCGCGCAAGGCCCAAGACGGCACCCCCGTGCTGCGAAGCAAGCATCTTGATAGGCTAAACTCGATGGGTAATCGCTCGTGGGGAGGTGGGTGCCGGCTTGCCCCCCTCGCTGTGGAGGAGGGGAGGAGACTGGCGGACGAACTCCGCACGCCCACAGCACCAAAGGGGTCCGTCGATTGAAGGATGAAGCCTGCCTACTCTGCCCGGGCGTGGGGGTCGGTGAGGACTGCCGCTGCCCATCATGCACAATGTCGATGCAGCCTCACCGGGGCCAGCTGGAATGGAATGGAATGGATTGCTCCTCGCATCTCGGAGCGGTCCGTGTATGTTTCCGTACTTCGCATACGCTTCTCCAACATTTCTCGATCAACATCACGTCCTACACGGACTGCAGCCATGGCGTCCATAATCAAGCTTCGACTTTCTACCAGTGATTAGTGAGTAACGGCCACCAACCCGCGACTAACCCTTTCTTCGAAAATTCCGATCGAGTGGAATCGTCGGGGAGCCTAGGAAAATCAGCCATGCCTGCCTAGAGACCGTCCACTCAGCCACATGCACCCTGGAATCGCCAGCAGATGCAGCAGAACCTTCGGCGACCCCTGGACAAATCCACAGATCGAGCTGCAGGCTGTTGCTCCTCGGTGAGCAGCGCGGGCAAAGCTCAATCATCATGGCGTGGCGTTCCCGAGTCTCCGGAGGTTGCCGTGAGTGAAGCGCTTGACCGCTCTTCGCTCATGTCAAATCAAGATTTTTAGCAGTCGATGGTGCTTTGTAAAAGCCCCATGCCATTGTCACACTCCCAAGTAGTCGCTTCCAGTGTAATGGTACTCATCCATTCAAATACGACCGCCTTCTACCACCTCTCTCGCTGTTGCCACTTGCCCCGACTCGTCTACCCGTTTTCTCTCGACGACCCATCTGCCTTCTCCGCTGTCATCCTCGCGCGTGTACGATATACTGTCCGCCGAGTTGCCATGCTTGTGGCCGGGCTCCGAGCGGCGGCTGAGGCTCGGGCTCACGCTTGAACCCGCCGGACTGTAGCAGCTGGACGTGCCCGCCGAGTCGGGCGACTTGCCGGCATATGCCTGATGCTGTCCCTTCTCCGGCTGGGATGATGCCGAGAGCCGCGGCGCAGGTGCTATGTAGGAGCGCCCCTGACCGACAGGCGCCGACGACGACATGCACGCCGCCGTGGCCGTCGGGCTGTTGCTTGCATGCGCGTTCGCATCTGACTCGAGACTCATGCCCGAGATCAGCGACCCCTTCCGTGCGTGTGCGTGAGGATGGCCGTTCCACTGCGCCGTCCACGGCGACGAGGGCGCGTCACCCCTCTCGGACCTGGGCGAGCCCTCCCTACTAGAGGCCAGGCTCGCCTGCGACCCGCCCCACGCCTTGTTGCGCAATCGCAGGAGCGCCGACAGTGACATTTCGTCGCCACGGTCCGCCATCATGGTGAGCTGCGCGAGACCTGGCGACTGCACCGGCGTGCCCAGCGCGAAGCCTGGCATCATGCTCATGACCGAGTTGCGGTTCGAGTACTCGGACCGCTCGGTGATCGGCGTCAGGTTCGGCTCCTGCGACACCACCCGGCCGCTCTTGGACCGGCTGACACCGTCCTTGGGTCCAAAGAAGCCCCCGTTGGCGTACATGAAAGCCGCCTTGTCACTTGGCCCTTGCTTCGAATCCCGACCGGGCACCGGGGCCGAGTAGAATCCAAATTCCTGTCCGTACCACCCGTCCGAATCGCTGGCAAGCGCCTCTGCGTTCGCTTCGGCGACAAAGCCGTTGTCGAGCTCAAAGTCGTCCATGTCCTCGTACCCGAAGCTGTCGTCATCCACGTCGTGACTGGGCTGCCATAGCTTCTCCTCCTCCCCCTCCCCCACGCTCCCCTTGGGAGCCAGAACCTGGCTCTCAGATGGCGACTGTTCCCACTTGAATTTGCCCTTGGCAGCCGCCACATGAGCTGCGGCAGCGAGAGCTGCTTGGTATGCCGCCATGGGGCCCTGGTCCTGGGTCATCGTGCTGTGGTCCGTGTGCGTCGCCTCCGTGTCACCCCCCCATGATTCATCAATCTTTGCCGACGACGGCTGCGCTTGGCTCACAGATGTGTGTGCTGTAGATTGGTGGGCCGTGTCGGACTGCGCAGAGAGCCGCGACGTCATATCGGACTCTCGTTTGGCAGCCTCCTCTAGCGCAGCCTGGCGGTCCGACTTGGCCTGGGCAAAAGCGCCAGCAATGGGCCGCCCGTAGCTGTCGGTGTCGTTGTTGTCAAAGATGGACTCATCAAAGGGAGCTCCTTCCCAGGAAGGCGGTCGTGCAAGATCCTCCGCAAAGTCGTCCTCGTAGTATAGGTCCTCTTGCGGTCCAACTTTTGTCGCCGTTTCGTTTGATGTCACGGTGCCTTGGATACCTAGACCTGCCGGTGAAGCTTGCGGCGGCGACAAGAACTGGCCGTCGCCAGCCTCACCCGTGGGCTGCGGTGTGCCCACGAGGCCGGAATGCCCGGGGGACGGTATCAGAGGTGACGTGCCATTGGATCGCTGGAAAGAAAAGCCGGCGAAGTTCTCCTGGTCGTTGTCGGGGTCTACGTCGTCGCCTATCACGTCGTCCTCCCCAATGTAAAAGTTGTCCTCCTCTTCATAGTCTGCGTTGACGCCGGGTATCCTTTCCTCCAGTCCATCATCGTCCATCATAGCGTCGTAGTCAAAATCTTCGTCAAAATCGTCGAAACGTGAATCTCGTGGCATGGCGCTGTCCGAGACCTTCTTCTCTGCCTCCCTTTGTCTGTGCCGCTCCTCCAGCAACTTTTCCTGCTTCGCTGCGCCAATCATGTCAAAACTAAACCGCGAGGATGTGCTCTTCATGTGCTTGGGGATGCCTGATAGTCTGGACCCCATGGACATCTCGGAGGATATGGAAATGTTCCTGGACCGGGTGGTTGGTGCGGGTACAGGTCCGGGTGCGTTCTCAGTCCTGTCGCTGTACCGCGAGGATGAGGAGGACTCTGGACGTTGCGGGATAGACTGTTGCCTTTGCACCGCCACATCCTCCTCTGGGTGCGGTTGGACGGATTCGACCACTGATGGCCCCGAGGAACCGCGAACTAGCATCGGTTCGGGCGAAAGGCTTTTCGAATCCTTGGGTGGCACGCTCGGTCTCTCCTCGTCACCAGATTGACGGCGATTCTCACGGCTTTCCGAAGAATAGCCTCTCCGTTTGGGAGCACTGAAGTCGTGCACACGGGTTCCCCTGATGCGGGGGTCGTATGTTGGTTGCTCCGTCTGGCTGGGGTGCGGCAGCTGTTCTGCCACTTGCTGCGCGTGTTTCCTGCGGGCGAGCAAGGATGACATGGAACTCTTGAGGAACGGTAACCCTTTCCTGCTCTTGTGCGGTTCGGGTGGCGCCAGGTTGAGTGATGTCGATGATGTTGTCGCTGGTTCTGGCGGCGCTCTTGCGCCCGCGGGGCGTCGTCCCGAAAGACCTTGGCTCGATGTCGGCTTTTGAACATCAGTCGGCGCCACAAAGGTGGACGGCGAGGACGACTTGTGCGGCCCGTATGTGTGGTGTTGCAGTACCTGCGGTGGCGGTCTCGTCGGCCCCGTGTCCGTGTTAATGGGAGCTGGCACTGGTCGCTGGCGCAGCGAAGGCCGCGACTTTGTTTCTTGCCTCCCGTCGTTTGAGTTCGATGTCGAGACAGAGTTCAAATTCGAAGCTGGAGGCATCTCGGTGGTTTCGGGCTGGCTGCTGGCCGCCTCATGCTGGGCCTGCAACGTGCGCTTGTAGTTGCGCAAAGCCACGCCACCAATGAAACCCAAGTCCATCTTGCCCTCGTAGGGCGAGCGCGGAAGCGCTGGGGCATTCTGATTCTGTTGCGACTGGGAGGAATATTTGTGACCGTCAACGCGGAGTGATGACCCGGTGACCTCGCTGGCGGCGACATTGTGATGCTTGCGATCGGTGGGGTCGAGCTCGGGTGAAGCTACGCGGACTATCTCAGGGAGGGTCGGTGGCAGGGCAGGGCTAGCATTGTTCTGGTTGCTCGACGTCGCGGACACGGGTGGCATCATGCTACTTCCAGAGGAAGGCTGTGGCGACAGCTGGGCCGAGTCGAGCTGTTGATACTGGCTTTGGTGGGACTCGTGCCGTTGCAGCTGGTTGTTTTCGCCAGGAGTTTTCGGGGCGCTGGGGGTCACTGGGGAGCTAGGGGCAGAGGACCCCCACCGGTGGAATTTGAGGTGGGAGAGCATCTTGCTGCGGTGAGGGTTGGTGACTTGTTGTTGAATCGAAGCAGAACCTGGTTCTGTACGTGTGGATGTTTTTGGTCAGCCTTGAGGGCGATTGAGGCTGATGATGAAGTTCTCAGAGACGAATGTTGAGTTTGCCGCCGTCATTATCTCTGACCGTGGTGACGGCGCGTGATGCTGACCAAGGTTCAACGTTGGCTGACGTCAAGGTTATTACAATCGCCTGTTGCGTGAAATCGATGTCGCGAGCAATGGCACGCGTCAGGTTGGAGAGTGCATGATGCGCAAATCATCAACTGCAGCAAGGAAGCGGCTCGCAGACGTCGATTGAGGTGAAAAGCGACTGGAGCGGACGTGAACGGCGACGGCTGGCTTGGGAGGATTGATGGGGGTAAGGCAGGTACGGCCGGGAAGATGGGCTGGCGTCAGTGGCGTGGCACGGTGGCAGTCGCGCTCCCCCCAATCATCCATGCATGCATAATAATCACTGGTTATGTGATACTAGTCTCAGTTGTGCAAATCGTCTGCGAGCGCCGCAATCAATCGACATGGTCGTAGCAAGGTCTTGCTTGCAACGACGCAAAACTACAGGCACTTGGGGATTAACGAACTTGCCCATTGTAAGATACTGGATTTCTGCAACGATATGTGGCTTATACTAGGCACATGCTGCCGCACTACAAATGCCCGGTATCCGCTAAAGGTTCATCTACAGCAGCTGAGCGGCCCCATCATCGCGACAGCATGGTTTCACACCAGAACGGATGAGACCTGCGTTGACTCACTCATCCCCGAACATTTCAGATCCTGATAATGAGGATCCAGGCACGTACGATGTAATTAATATTCGTTGGTGGATATGGATACGTACTCCCTGCTTGTCTGCATAGCCTCACGTCAACTGCGGACGCGTGGCCTGCCACTACGGAGAATGATTAGGCGGGCGCACATAGTTCTATCTCGACTCACCCCTTACATGCTTTGCTCTCTGAGAATCTCAAGCAAGTTGCGAGAGCCACAATCACTGCCTTTTCTTCCTTGAGCAATCTGTTTCGAATGATGCATGTTGGCAAGGCTGCCCTTGCCGATCGGCACAAACAGTCCGGCTGCTCATCTTAGTAATTCTGACGTGGAGAACTCATTCGTCCGCCAACGATCAGGAGTGCATGAGTGAGCCAAAGCTGTCGTTTCGGATAGTCACTGAATTTTCTCCTATTATCATCCTAATAATTGCATGCTTTCCAGCTGCCATCTTCCCTTCAACGCAGCGACAATATCCGGCACAGCTCTGCAATTGAGGCGTTTTAGGGGCCCTTCAGCGCAAAAGGGGTAAGCGCCCACCGAAAGCGGTAATTGGGCACGCGACACACTCAGTACTACCAGCAACGAATTGATGAGCGCCACTGGTCTGACTCGAGACGCAATCGACCCGACAGCCGGAGACACCATCACCGAAGCACCATGGATGGTCTCCTCCCCAAGAGCAACGGGTCTCCTGATGGCATCTTACAATCACTCCACGATGACCAAGGGTCATGGACACAGCGCCTCAAGGCGCTGCCTCTGTTCGCCATCCATCGCGTCCGTCGCCTCACTGTAGGCTTTCTTCTCAAGTGCCTTGGCGTCTTTGGATTCTTGCTACTGCTCCTGCATCTCATGGAACCAAGTCTCGGAGACCAATACCGCAACGTACTTAGCTGGACCTCCACAGAGGCTGCCGAGGGACCTCACCTGCGACTCGTCGTCTTTGGATCGCAAGACCTTGTGGGCAGCTCAGGGAGCTCGGAAACTGAGCATGTGACTTGGCCCGAGAAGCTCTGCAAAGAGTTGGGCTGTGGCTCCCTCTTGTCCTTTGTTCCCAGAGGCGACTCCCAGCCAGGCATCCTGTCCAACAGCCTCTATGGCGATGCACTGCAATCACTGCAAAAGGTAGCCGAGGACGCGGATATCATCAAGAACCCGGCCGCCGACTTTTTCTTTGTCAGTGAGCAGTATCCCGTGCCTGCGCAGACGCCTGACATGGAGCATCAAATCACGCAGTTTCTCACGCTGCCTGCCCCTGCGGTGCCACCGCAGGAGACGCTGTGGGTGTTCACGTTCGGCACTTGGGATATCTGGAATTTCGCGGCGCTGCCGCTGGAGTCGGGCCAGGGTCTTGTCGACGCCTCCACTGCTCACCTGTTTGATCAAATCGAGGTCCTGCTCAAGGAGTCGCTCGTGCCAGGCTCGATCGCCTTTTCCGACTTTTGGTCCAATGCCACCAAGGCCAAGATCGACGAGCTTACTGCCAAGGGTGCCGCCGAGAATGTGGACGCGCGCAAGCTCGAGAGCTTCCGGGTCATCATCCCGCAGCTCTTTGACATTTCACTCACGCCAGGCTGGAATGTCCGCCAGGAGCCGTCCCTGCCACACTCGATAGCAGATCAGCTGCGGAACAGCGCAGTGCTGACTGCGCGGTGGAACGACAATATCCGACGTGAGATGGACTCGTGGATGGCCAAGGGCAGCATGAGGCCAGCGGGCATCGAGGACGGCCAGGTCGGAACGAGGCCCTTGGAACCTGCGCCAATGGAAGGGAGTCCTGAGGAGCAGGCTGGCAACGACTACTTTAATGAAGCTGAGGAAGATCCCACAATATACGCGCCCTTTCCTCGACGACTAGGCTTCTCAGCCGACATTGCTGGCGGGATCCTCGATGCCATGACGGAAGGAGAGATGCACAGGATGGGTGCGACGGACGCTGTCGGCCGTGGCTCGATGCCGGCTGAGGACGCGGCGCGCTTCCTCGATGTCTGGAACCCTTGTGTGTCGAAGGACGGAGAAAAGGCCAGCTGCGACAAACCCGCAGACCATCTTTTCTACGACTCCTTTACGCTCTCGCAACGGGCAATTGATTTGATGACCAAGAAGACGGCCCAGGGCGTGCTGGAGAAGCTGCTGCTTAAGGAGGAGCTATGACGCTGTGCGTGCGACGGCTGTGGCTGGTCACCCGTATATATGTACCACCCAATTGAGGCACGATGCACGATCTCAAGCATCGGAAATCTCGATGCCCCGGTTCTTCAAAGAAAGCTTGTTTGAAAGTGAAGCCTCGCAGAGGCAAGATGCGGTGTGGTCACTGTGGTGAATGACCCTGGTCAAGTTACGGCTCCATAGTATGTATGCACGCTGCTAGCAGTGCAACGCTACTGAGCAGGCCTGATCCGCGAGACAGCGGCCATGTGCCTGGTCCTCAAGGTGTCATACTTCGCACAAGTGCAACAAATACAGGGCGAACCCAATTGTCGCTTGTTTCTCGATAATTCAATCAGCGCGATTCACATTTTGTTAGCCAAAGCTGTGGGGTTTCGCGGGAGGAAGGACCGTTGCGCAGGCGGGGACGGATGGGGAAAGGCATGACCCGCCATGCAACTAACTACCTGAGCTACGTGTACACGTACAGAGTAGGCTAGCGATTAACGTTAGACTCGAAACGTGCAAGTGCAACACCCCCGTGGCTTGCGTTCAGGCCCATCACGTCACAAGCCATCATTGCATCAATCACTCGAGCTCGTGGAAAGAAACAACCGACCACCAGGTCCAGTCACAGGCGCCATGTACAAGATGGCCATCCTCGCCTCCACTGGCATCGCGCTGCGCCTGATGCTTGTCTCTTCTCTTGTCCGCCACCATTTCTGTCTTCACGACACCTCACTACATGAAGCTGCCAACGCCTGACCACCTTTGCGACTACCTGACCACAGTCACCAGTTCCTACACCTCAGGCTGATCCGACATCACCATCACAATAAAAAGGGTCCAGACGGCCCTCGATCGCTCAGCATGGCTACATTCGACCCTGCCGCCCTTGCCGCCGAGATGCAGACTCGAACGCGCGAGGAAGCTCGATTTGACGAGTTTGAAGCCCAGCTCCCCGACCCTAAACACTCATCCTTCCAGATACCTACGCCCAAGGGAGATGTGGGCATTATTGGCGGTCTCTTTCGCGCTATTGGCGATCTCAACCCTCTGGGGAAGAATGTCACCAAGGATGACGTGGTCTGGCTGCTGGACAACACTGCTTTCCGGACGTCGAGGCTGAAGAGCTGGCAAGCCGAGTACGTCGCTGCCGTCTTCGAGATGGACCCTCACTGCAAAGTCACCGACATTGTCTCTCGGATCGCCGAGCAACTGGGCCTCGCCGACGATGCCGCAGAGAGGGAGACCATTGCGGAGAGGATCCTGCCATTTCTCTGGGACATTCGCATGGTGCGCATCGTCAAGGTCCGCACGGAGGGCAAGGATCTTAAGATGACGCCCACCAACGTCAACGGCATCTCGACGCAGGTCATGAAGATCCCCAGCGCCGACAAGGGCACCATTGTGAAGAGTCGGGCCGTGGTGCCCCAGGGCGTCTCGGGTATTCTGGAGGCGAACACGGTGTACGCCGGCCCCAAGGGCTGGGCCATCATCTCGGATATCGACGACACCATCAAGATCACCACGACGAGCAGCCCGACCGGCATTGTCCAGAAGACATTTGTCGACGAGCCGACCCCTGTGCCTGGTATGCCCGAGCTGTATGCCCAGGTGAAGGCATCCATGCCCGAGGACACCCCTTGGTTCTACCTGTCGGCGTCGCCCTACAACCTGTACCCGTTCCTCAAGGAGTTCCGCGACAAGTACTACCCGCCGGGCACCATGATTCTGCGCGACTTCTCGTGGAAGACCGTCGCCGGACTGCTGTCCGCCCTGACGATGGGGACAGAGGAGTACAAGACCGACCGCATGCACAAGATCAACTCCTGGCTCCCCGAGCGGAAGATGATTGTCATTGGCGACTCGACGCAGTCGGACCCAGAGGCATATGGCGAGATGTAAGTGCATGCAGTCTTCTGATTCCCAAGGACCGCGCTGACGAAGCATTGTCACTAGCTACCGTACCGTGCCCGGCTGGATCGAGCTCATCCTCATTCGCAAGGTCGGGGACGTGTCTGCCATCGGCATCGCGGACAAGAACGACCCCGAGCGATTCGAGAAGGCGTTCCAAGGTATCCCCAGGGAGGCGTGGCACGTTTTCACGGAACCCTCCGAGTGCTCGAGATTGATCCAAGATGTCGTGGGCAAGCGCTCGTGAGCTACATCACGAGATGCTGCCATGTTGAATGCCTGATGAGCGGTCTGACCTATACCCTTGTACCTAGCGCTACACATAGAATGTTTTCTTCCCACCCTGGATCGCGCACATACGTACATCCTTGCTGTGTCAATTATTCAAAGAGTGCCCTGTCTGTCTGGACTTTGGCGATAGCCGATGTCGGCTTTGTGTTGTGGGTCTTTGGCTCTTCGCTGTTCCGATGACTAGTGGCTCTCCTAGAACCGAAATCCGACAAACTCCAACTCACTTACTCTCTCTCCTCGTCAACAACATGCGCTCCAGTCTATCGTGCGACGCGTGCAGGTGACCGAGTCTTTTCAATTACGTGAACGATGCCGGCCAGCTGACATCTGACAGGCGAGCCAAAGTCAAGTGCGCCCACGAGGGCGAGCCGCCCTGCTCACGATGCGCCAAGTCAAAGTTGCCAGGCTGCACTTTGCTACGGCCTCGTGTGGACTTGGAGAAGGCGAATCGCGTGAGGGCAAAGCGTAAAGAGGAGAAGCGTGCTGCGCTGGCGGCGGCATCGCAAGCGACCAGTGCGCCCGAGACGTCCCCTAGTATGCCCACGCCGAGGAGCAGTCATCGGACTTCACTACGGACACCACAGGAGGAGCACGATGAGGCTGATGAGCAGGATACCGAAGGCGCGAAACTCGACCTACTCAGTGTCGATCGCCACATTGGCACCTTGCCCAATAGCACGATCCTCAAGTCGCTAAACACCTTTTCCAACAAGTTCCCCGAGCTGGCGATATTGCACCTGCCCACCTTTATGCAGGAATTTGAATCGCCATCATGCTCCAGGGAGAGCATGGCGCTCCTCGCGGCGGTCCTGGCCGTGACGAGGTCGCAACTCGCCTCGCAGGGTGCTGCCTGGACAGAGGGCCTCTTGAGCCGGGAAGAGTATGCCACATATGCCAAGGAGCGCCTACAGGAGTTCATGTTGAAGGAACCCAAAGTCCAGGTCGTGCAGGCGCTGCTCATCATTACGCTCCACGAATGGGGCACGCGAGACTTCCACAAGGCGTGGGTGTACTGCGGCATCGCGATCCGCATCATGCAGGCGCTGCACAGCCAGCGTGTCTCGCCGTACCCTCTCGATCCCAGCAGCGAGCGTGGCCGACCCGCGCGCAACGCCGTGACGGCCGCCATCGAGACACGCGCGTACTGGGCGTGCTTTCTGATGGACTGCATGGTCAACTCGGGGACGTACAACCCACCCATGCTGCCCATGTCGGAGATGCACAAGCTCAAAATCCCCCGGCCGCTGTCCGCCGTCGAGTTCGCCTTTGGACCCGAGCTGCCACCGCACACCATGCCCCTCGCCGGCGGCGGCGCGCTGGACATTACGCAGTCCTTTGAGATCCTCGTCGGCGGGTTCGAGATCTGGGCCAAGGTGATGGAGTTCATCTTCAACGACGGGCGCAAGGCGCCGGGCATGTGCGCGCCGCACAACTGTCCCTGGGTGCCGGGGTCGCCCTGGATGTCCAGCTGGAGCCGGCTCCGGTCCTGGCGCGCCGACCAGCATCGCAACCTGCACTACCCCAGCACCAGCGTCGCGGTGCACATGACGCTCGGGTACGGGGAGACCTTTACGTACCTGAACCTGCTTTACTATGTGAGCAACTTGATGTTGCACCGCGAGTACACGCCATTCCTGCCCACGCCGGAAAGTGTCCCACAGGGGCCGGTGGACAAGCCTCTGCTCGAGGCCACGGCGCCCAACGGGTGGTGGGAGGACAATGCGGCCGAGATCTTTGGATCGGCCGAGAACATTGCACTACTCCTCCACGAGGCGTCCGAGTGCGGTGTTCCGCTCATGACCCCGTTTGCCGGGTTCTGTGCCTTTTCCGCCTGCTATGTGCTAGTCTATGTGTACCGGTTCCCGCGGATGAACCTGGGTCGAAGTCCACGCGCAGAAGAATGTATGCACATGTGCATGGACTATCTACACCAGTTCCGAAACGTATGGAAGATTGCCGACGGATGGGTGAGTTCACAGAGAGGAAAACAGAGTCATTGGTTGCAGTCGTGCTCACCCTGCGTAGATTAAGACACTGCAATATGCATCACTACTCTACGGCCGTGCCGCAACAGAAGGCCGGTACCGAGGACGTACGAGAGCAGACTTTGACAACCTGCACCAGTCTGTGCACGAGTTCCGCGTCGTGGACCGTTCCGAGCAGCATCTGCAGGAGATTGATGGCGCCGATCGTCCCGTTGAGCAGCCCGACGGTAGGCGCCATCTATACCAGCACCAGCACCAACCACACGCGACCCAAGACGAGCCGGACCGCTTCGCGGGCTCCTTTGGCTTCGATGACCAGACCATGGATACCAACATGCTGCTCAACCAGCTCATGGCCGAGGTCAGCACCAATGTCGACGAGCAGGGCGCCTGGTCCCAGTGGTGGCCGACCATGCAGGAGGTGGAACTGCCAGAGGGTGTGCCCCTGCTCATGTAATGCGTGTGTTTTGAAGACAATATAGTCAGACTCGTTGGAGCAGCTCCACCTCAGCCGTCGGGTCTCGGGTCTGAGTCCAAGCCCAAGTCAATAAAAGGCACCGGCACCTATCTATCAGACTTACTCGGACGCACTCACACAAGACCCCCAAACAACATGGCTTCCCACCCAACGGGAGACGAGGTGTCCCAGCCAACACCGCCCACAGAGGCATCGCCCTCCTCCTATACACCAGGCCGCCTCCTCCACCGCTCCTTTACCCACCACCCAGCATCCGTACTCTCGGCCAAGGCATCAACACTCTTCCTTTCTGACGGCCGGTCCGTCCTCGACGCCTGTGGCGGTGCCGCCGTCGCCACCATCGGGCACGGCCACCCGTCCGTCCTCGACGCCATCAGCAAACAGGCGCACGATGTGTCCTACGTACACACACAGGCCTTCACAACCCCCGCCGCCGAGGATCTCGCCAACCTTCTCCTCGAGGGCAGCCCCGGCGGTCTAGACATGGCCTTCTTCGTCGGCTCCGGCTCCGAGGCCGTCGAGGCGGCCATGAAGCTCGCCCGGCAGTGGCACTTTGAGCGCGGTGAGACGCGGCGCGTCCACTTTGTCGCCCGCCAGCAGGGCTACCACGGCAACACCATGGCGAGCATGTCCCTCTCCAGCAACGTTGCCCGCAAGATCCCCTACCAGGGCTTCTCGTACCCGCACGTCACGCACGTGTCCCCGCCTTTTGCGTACCGGTACCAAGGGGATGCGGAGAGCGAGGAGGATTTTACCAATCGTCTCGTGCAGGAGGTGGAGGATGAGTTCCTCCGGGTAGGAACGGACAATGTCATCGCCTTTGTGGGCGAGACCGTCATCGGCGCCACGGCAGGGTGCGTCACCCCTCCCAAGGGGTATTGGGCCGGGATCCAGGCCGTGTGTCAGAGGTATGGCATCCTCCTGATCCTGGACGAAGTCATGTGCGGCTCCGGACGCTGCGGCGCGCCCTTCGCCTTCCTGCAAGAGAACGTGCAGCCTGACATTGTCACCGTGGCCAAGGGCCTCGGCGGTGGCTACGCACCCATTGCTGGCGTGCTGATGAACCAGAAGATCACGGACGTGATCAGGAATGGCAGCGGGGCCTTTGTCCATGGACACACGTACCAAGCCCACCCTTTATCGTGCGCAACAGCACTCGAGGTACAAAAGGTGATCAGACGTGAGAAGCTCATCTCGCAATGCGCGCAGATGGGCAAGTTGTTGGAGGAACTGCTGCGGAGAGAAATAGGGGGTTTCAAATCAGTCGGCGACATCAGAGGCCGAGGGCTCTTTTGGGCTGTCGAGTTTGTGCAAGACAAGAAGACCAAGTCACCATTTGATCCCAAGATTGGGTTTGGTGTCAAGGTGCAGCAAGATGCGTTTGAGAGGGGCGTCGCTGTATACCCAGGCGCGGGCACAATTGATGGACACAGGGGAGACCACGTACTATTGGCGCCGCCGTTCAACATCACACAAGGAGAGTTGGAGACAGTGGTCGAGGTGCTTAGAGAGTCAATCGTGTCACAGGAAGCGTTGCATGGGTAAACAATACTTTCTGATATAGACTATAGGCGCGTTTCCTTAGACAGCGTTGTTGTTGCTACAAGTGCCCACTTGAACTGACAGTCATTCTTGCAACCTCTATCGATAGCCATGCACTCGCCTTGTCCTGCGAGAGTCCAGTGGGATAGGACTAGGGTGCACAATGTGTTGGGTCCGTGAGAGGTGCATGGTTCGGTGGTAGGAGGCCAACGCAAGCATCGAGAGATGTTTGTTCGTCGGCTCTGAACAGCGGACAGGCTCCGGGATGCAGCTCGCGTGTTCTGCGTTAATGCTTTGGTCTCTCAGAAGACAGGATGGCCTGGTCAAGGGACGACAACAATTTCTGCGTCCGTTGCTTGAATCTGACCTCACGTAGCGTCCATGCGTCGGACACCGGCCCCTTTGACTTTCTGCGCCTCTCAAGGACAGGCCCACCGGTGCTGTTCCTCGATCCTTGCCCGAGCTTCTGGACTTCTGCTTCGAGTTGGATATTCAGCGTATCCATTAGGTAGTCAGCATGGAAGCGGAACACGTGAGGGACCCAGGTTGCCTCCACTAGCGTGAAGTCATTGATATGGGGGGAAATAGCAGCTGTGAGCTTGGCGAGGACCGACTTTTCGACGTCCGTGACGCCGGTGATTTTTCGCAGAAAGTTCTTGGTGGCCTCATGAAGCTCGCGGGAGAGAGGACTTGGTGCGACGGAAACCGATTCTTGGACCGTCTTGATGTCCATCTCGAGCTGTCGGTTCTTGTCTCGGAGTGAGTAAATGTGACGCTCGCGACTGTCGATCTGGTCCCATAAGTTATCGTGCATGTAGACCACTTCCTCGCATAGAAAGCTGGACAGCCCGCCGAGCTTTCCCACAGTCGCCAAACCGAGCTTGTCCACGTATTCCTCGTGGTGTTGGGAAGCCAAGGCTACGTAATCGGCGAGGTCGGTAGCCGGAATGTCTTGCAATCGTTCAACAAAACCACTCCTGAATTTGACATCCTCGTTGGCTAGGTCCAGCAGCTGGGCGCAAGGCACTGGATCGAAGTCTGGGGTGACTGTGCCCACATGGAGCGCGAATGAAAAGGGGGTTGCCCCTAGATGGATGGGCGCGGGTATTGGGGCCCCTGCCATACGGCCAACGAGCGAGTCCATGTTCAACACGGGGAAGTTTAAAAGCTGATTGAGGTGGTTTCTCAGAGAGTGAGGATGGGGAGGATGCTGATTGATGATGCAAAGTGAGGGTATTGATATCTTGTATGATGTGGAAGAAAGCAACAGGACTGTCTTCCAAGCTTGGGGGGCCCCTGATACAAGGTCAAACCAGGCGAGCAATCAGGTGGAAAGTACACATGTGATGCCTTATCGGAAGAGGAAAGATCTTGCTCGCATCTTCTCCGTCAGAATGGCAAGAGGCAAGAGAGAACCGGCAGTATTTGCCTGGGAAGCAATGCCAGGCCCCCAGCTGAGGCAAGACCGGCTGAGGCAAGCACTGCAGTGGACTGGCATGTCACGCGGCAAACAGCACCTTCTCTGGACCATTACGAAGCAGTGATTACTTCTTGCATGGCATTCAGCGCCATCCAAGGCCATGGATTCTAGAACTCCTAATTCATCCCTCCCTCTCCCAACGCCTGCGCATACTGCCTGTAGAAAATCACTTCAACATCGCCTTGAGCACAGCAACCTGCTCCAGCACGCTCGACTCGCTCGTTCCGCCCTTGGCCGACCGCCTCTCTACGCTAGTCTCGTAGGCGAAGGCCTCAGCAATATCCTCCTCGAATCACTCGTCAATCTCCCTCATCTGCTCAAACGCGAACTCGTTCATCAGTATCTCCGTCTCCTCCGACTTGGCGACGCAGCGGCCCGAGATGTGGTGTGTCTCGCGGAAAGGAACGCCCCTTGCCTCGAGGCTGTCGGGGTTCTTCTTTTGCGGCATGAGGGAGCTGCCTGTAGAGTCGGCGTCGGCCAGAGAGACAAAGCCGAACTCATGCGCTTGATCACACGGAGCCTCTCGAGGTCCGCCGCAAAAGCCAAGCCGTAAGACAGCGACCAGTGGCTGCAGCGGATAGGTTGCGCGCGCTGCAGGTGGGTGTAACCAGGCATCACGTGCTCAATCTCACTCTCGACGGGGGCAGCAATGACTGCCAGAAAGCTCCCAAGGTGACTTTCGACCTTGCGCAGCTCATCCCTCAGCCACCTGCGCATATCACACACGACCTGCTCGTTGCGGCTGCGACCCGTGTGCAGCTTGCCGGCTACTTTCTTGCCGATAATCTCGCCCAGTCAACGCTCGTTGACGGTGTGGATGTCCTCGTCGATGGTGGGGGTGATTTCGAACGTGTCTGTCTGCCGTTCCTTCTGTACCTCGCAAAGGCATTGCTTGATCTGGGCGAACTCGTCCTGGGTGATGATGCCGGATATTTCGTTGGCGCAAGCGAAAGCGATGCTGCCCAGAATGTCCTGCTTATAGAGCACGCGGTCGAACTAAATGGACTCGTTGTACTTGACCATCGATGGGTTTAGGCCGCCGGTGAAGCGGCCTTCCCAGAGCATGCTGCCCTCCGGCTTGGATGCCATGGTGATTGTTGGAGTAGAGCAATGTTTCGAGGGGGTGTGCGTGCGACGCGAGCGAGGGCTAGGCGCAGCTTTGGATGAAGTACTACGGCGCGGCGGGTAATCGATATGTTTGTTTCATGCAATACGTCACACCATAATAGGAAGAGAGAAGATGCTATCGCAGGGGTCCGATCAACGGAAAATTTCTGTGAGGCGCGGCTCTGCGCTCTCAACAAATGGCTGGCTGCAAGTATCGACATGCTGTGCGCCCCGCGCGCACAACGACGCACCAAGTCGACACTTGGGCATTGGTCCATGATGGAGCAGTCTTGGGATCAAACTGACTTGGGAAGGCTAGTCCGAGGGACATCACGTCCAACAAGCAATTTATGGAGGCTGGAGCATTGGTGTCAATAGCTGATCACGAGTGGGAGAGTGCCGACACGGGCTGGCTCGAGGGCCCTCAGCGCACACAGGAAACAAAGTCTGGTGTTGATTTCATGTTTTGCATGCACACAGCACATGTGCCCACGGCCTCGGATTGAAATATTGAAAATTGCTGCAAGCGCGGCAAGAATCTCGGACACTGGCTGGAGGCACATAATCTTGTGAATCTCGCTATGGTCAGTGGCCCCATTTCACGTGGGGAGCAAAATAGACTTAACCGCGGAGAGGACTACGTATTAGAGCCGACCTCGGAGGTGGGTTCGCAGCAGAAGCAACCAACCACCCCACCAAATGGGTGAGGCTATAAGAGAGCTAAATCAAACTTATGGTTCAACGTGGTGGTTGCAAAGGCGACGTACTTCTGGGAGACCAATTGCAAAAAGGCTGCTGAGCTGAAGGCCGAAATATTCCTGGAGATGCCTCGGTTTCTGTGTTCTTTGGGCTGCTGCACGATGCATGCACCCACCCATCGTCCATCAGGCCACGCAGCATCACCCATGCAGCCGTGGCATGACACTGGCCAAACAACACGCCAGAATGTGATAGCGACTGCTCGTTACACAATTCATTCGACAGGTCCCCGCGACTTTGCCCAACTAGACACGCCTGAGGCTGGATGCACTCCGCTCTCCGCGGTACGGGTGGGTGGGGTTGAAGCGACTTCGGCTTTAAGCCCTGCATTAGCAGATACTGCTGCACGTTTCTGCTTTCACTGCTAGTGCTACTCCGTACGCCAGGGAATTATCCGCGCTCCGTGGGCGGCCAAGACCAGACAAAGTCTGGTCCAGGGAGGTCAGATATCAAGGTACAACCTGCTCCTCGCGAAACTCCCCAACCTTCTCTCCTTTCCTCTTCATCCATCGCTCAAAATACCTATCTCACGCCCAGTCTCGTCCCCCGTCTCAGGAAAAAAGGAAGAAAAAAGAGTGGCCAGCGCCTAAAAATCCCTACCTTAGTTACCTGAACGTCCAACATTTCCCGCAATCGCCCGCCTTGGGAAAAAAAGTCCGTGCGCGCCCTACCTGCCTGCCCGACTCGTACCGGCGCGCGTTTCCAACCACTGCGTGCGAACAGTGATTGAGTGAAGCCAGAACCCTGACGACATCGTCATTCGCCTGCGCATCTACAGCCCCAATCCGCCTCGACACGCCTCGAAAACACACGCGCGCCCGACATCATGTTCACCACGCGTGCTCTCCGCCAGGCTGCTGCGCACGCCGAGCGCACCCCCATGATCAAGTTCCTTGGCCCTCGCTCGATCCCATGTGTGTTCCTTTTCGCCCGCCGCCTACGTCGTGCCCCGTTGCTAACAGCCTCTCCAGCGTCCGTCGACCACACGCCCAAGCCGCACCCCGAGTCGCCCTCTGGCAAGCTGCCCGCCGACTTTGGAAAGAGCGGCAACTCGCACAGCTCCTTCTCCACCTACCGCGACCACGCCCAGCAGCACGGTCCCCTCCAGAAGAGCATCCGCTCCAGCCAGGGCATTGGCTCCGTGCCCGCCGCCGCCTTGGGCGATATTACCCCCCCGCAGGGTGTCTTCTTCGATACCTCTGAGCTGCCGGCACGCTTCCAGCGGGCGCCCATTGACTGGGCGGAGATCGAGGCCGTCGAGTCGGGGGGTGCGCCCGCCTGGAACTGAGATTCCTCTCCTTTGGTCTTGGACATAACTACGGGGACGAGATGGGCATGAAAAAAGCACTTTGAGCGGCAGGAAGACGAGAGATGAGTTGTCACGGTACCGTGTGAAGGCCCGGCGGCGCTCTCCGAAGAACTGCTGTCCTGCCTTCATTAGACATACAGACAGACTGCACAGGGATAGTGCGTCGTCGTCTGATTACACCTAACCCAGGCACGTCTTGAGGCCTGCTCATTCTCTCGTCAACTGCATTTGAGCGTTCTATGGATGGACCCGCGGGAACCAAGAGGTTCACATCGCCACGCTGATTTATGTGTGTATCGAGCACGTAAAACAAAATAAAAAGACGAAACACTCAACGAATTGGCCCAACTCGGTGATCACACGTCGCGCTGTAAAAACTCCAACGAGATTCGGCACACAATGGCATTTCATCCCGTTCCAATGAGAGGCATCAGGGTTGATAGTTAACAAAAAGACTCGGGAATTTAACCACAGCACATCTGGCCGAGCGGTCTAAGGCGCTGTGTTCAGGATTCGTTCATTCGTGCCTTTCGCAGTCTCGTAAGAGGCCTGGGTTCGAATCCCAGGGTGTGTAAATGCTTAAATTTTTTATATTTTCTCTTTCTTTTTTTATGGGTCTGTTCTTCATGTTCCTTTCCCGAAACGCATCGTTCGTTGATTGAGAACTCACTCGTCCTGCCCTGGTATGTGAAATAATGATTTTGTCAATCATGTAAATGGATGTGTGTTGCAAGTTGACAGTCTGTACTCGGCTGAGAGGCTTAGAGACCAGTGAAATCCTTGTGATGCACAGCGATGTGATGGTTGAAAGGTTAATGGACTTCGAACGGTCCTTTGGAGATGCTAACACAGCCCAACAAGCCTACGGACTATAAATCAAAAGTGAACGCATGGGCAACAGCGCACAGGTCTTGCAGTTGGTCGTGACGTGAATAACTGCCTACGATGTCGCATGATAATGACAACGACTGGACCATCGCGTGCCTATTTCCTGCCCGATCATCATCTCATCAAGCTACCCTGCGCCCACCAGTTGCTTTTCGGTCCGTTCACTGTCTCGCGCACTCAAAGACTCTCATGCTTGTCCACACCTTGTCGCTCAAGAACAGGAGGCTTTTGGCAGACCCGTCGCAACCACCACGAGACTCCATCGGCCGCTCGGGATCGACATCTGGTGTCCTAAGATGTGAGTACGCCGCCCGTCGTCATCGTCGCGGTATTCGGACCGTCAAGGACCACCACCACCCATCCCTGAGCGAGCTGGAGCCTCGTGCTCCGGATGCAAGAATTGCGACGTTCTGGGTTGAGCACCGCAGCAGCCACTTGGCAAAGAATGGGCATCGAAGCTGGGGGTGGCGCCGCCTAGTGGTAGCCAGTCGGCTCGTGCGGAGCAGTTTGCAAAGCGGTCGTCGTGCGCATCAAGTCTCAAGACTAGCCTCTCAGGGTCCAATCGAGAATCTGACTTGGGTTGTTGCGACGGTCCTCTGCCTCTCCTTTCGCCCTCGACATGCCTTGGCCGAGTAACCCGGTGAAGGATGGGCCAAGGGAGAAATGGGCGTACCGTCCGCTGGAGGCACAGACGATGAGGGTCTCATCAGGCAAGACGATGGGGGCTGCAACGCCTTCATTATCTCTCATCTCCAGGCTCTGGCATTTTGACACCAAAATCGTGGTCATCGACGGCAGGCGGTGGTGATAAGCGAAAAGTCAGACCATTGTTCTCTCATCAGTGTTATCATGGGGATAGGATCCGAATGCTGGGATCGTGGATCGTGTCGGAAGGATTTCACATGCGTCGCCTAGATCCATTTTGAGAATTGCTGTCCGTTGCCGCAGAAGGGGTCGCCGGCGCCAAGGCTAGTGATCGTGCACTGTGCGCGCTTGGCTTGAAGTTGAATCCCTTGTCACTGGCATTTGGTTAGCCAGCGGCGGAATCTTTGCAGGCTGCAGCAGATAAGTGTGTGGTCAGATAACAAAAGCACCCGTGCTCACGCGCTGGAGATTGATGGAGGATCACCGCCTCCAGGTCGCAAAGTGAAGCACGCGACCACCTACCTGCCCGACGCTTGGACAGTAGTGGCGAGTGCTCAGAAAATGTGAGGCACGCGCGCAGTCAAGCGCTCAATTGCTTGTCTCCCCGTTTGACGATTGATTTTCCACGCCATTTGAAACCTCATCAGACTTGTTGAGCCGCCTCCACTGGAGGTATGAACTAATTACTCGACGACATGGATGGGCCCGCAACTCCTCACATCATATATACAGCCGCTGATTGGCCATCTTATTACGGGTCTCTGTCAATAAGCCACATCAGCCAGTCAAGAGGTCTCTCGCTATCAGAAGAATTGAGTGCCGTAGACTAGCTTAGAATGCTCCGGGAAGTTCGCAGCATATGCAGAAGGCTCATTTCGGGCCGTTTGTGCTTGAACCGGCTGTCGCCCTTAACTCAACCGCCAAACTAGAATCTCTAAACGTCTTTTTTTGCCTCGAATACCTCCATGGCGAGGCATCACCTCTTGACAGCATTTTGCGGGGGAATTGACAAATGTTAACTTCATGCCTGAGACTATTACGTACAAAGTCTGGGGAGGCGACTCTGGGGCAGTGCGATGGAGCTGACAAAAAGAACCCACTGTCACTTTATACTCTGGGGCCAGCGCAGTTCCTGAATATGCTGTACGTAATTACATACTTGTGATGGTGGAGCAGTGTTGGAGCTCAACACGACGTAGGCATCTTGACCAGCTTCACCGTTTCGCCATGAGCTTGGACATGTTTACGAAGCTACTCTTTCTGTCGATACATTGAAAAATGGCCTTTGCCTATGAATCTTTGCCTATTTTGGCTTGCCAAGTGATACGGCGGAATGGGTCCTGCAGGGCCCTGGGAGGCGCCGAGCGGCATACTATTCTGAAAATCTCGAGTTCACTTAGTACAGGTTCGTAGATCACGCATAAGTAAATAATCAAACCTCTTGGGGAGTTTATATGGGCCAATAATTAAAAAGCCATGGAAGTGCCAGCCGCGTGAGCACGCATCATTTGCCCCGCTGGCTCACCGTTAGTATGGCGCGTCTGAGCATGATACGCTCAGGAGGCCGCCGTCTCTCAGGATAACGATGGACATCGCCAAGGCGGCACAGAGTCAAGAGCTGGTCGCTTGCTGACCCCGAGACTGTCCGCTGCGGCGCATCCCACACAGGTTTCATGCATAGTCGCTCAATGCATGCTTCGAGAAGCATGTGTGGCTTCTAGCTCCAAAGCAGCCTGGCAGGCTGGACCTGGCCGAGTCGTCCATTCGGGGACATCTCGTCAAGATATTCGAAATGGCTTGGTCGAGACTCCCGACAGATGACCGTGGCATGGAGAGGGCCAGTCATTGAATCGGCCAGATCCCGCTCGCTCGCCCAGCGGCTGACCGTTCCGCAGGCAGAGTCTTTGGGCACCCTTCATACGGAGTACGTACGGAACACTGCATGCATGTACGGATAGCTTTGCCATGAAGCTGGCCCCCAGCAGACTGATGTCGCATTCGGTCCTGCGGTAAGCGCACGTCAACTTTAACTCTAATTGCCTGGTGACCGTGGCGTGGCCAACCCGATTCTGGGAACTGATCACCATGCTGCTAACATTGACGAAACGCCAGTCGTACCCGTCGTCGTGTTCACGAGGGACAGACAGACATGTGCGACAGATTACGCGAGAACACACCTCGGCGCCACCAATAAGTCACCTACTTAGTTGGGCAGGTGGCAAGAAAACCTGAAGAACCCGGGTGGAAGAAATCGAAGCCCCACCAGAACACCCGGCAGCCACACTGATAAGCGTACTGTCAAAATGTTATTGGAGGGGGGAGCGGCCTCCGCAGCTGATAAGGCCTCGGCGAGAGCGACAAGACCGCCACACGGGCGGGTAAGGTAGCGATCTCAGATCCATGCAGCCTCCTCCGTCAGCATGTGCTAACACTGTGGCGTCGGCCAAGGTTTGCAAACTGGGAATGCAGCAGGCTTTGCGCTCACGACGAGATCGCACACTTGACGGTTGATTTGGGCTCGACCAGCGCACCCCAAGATGCGCAAATGCTAGCAATCATGCCGTCGCTCCTTCTTTCCCCAGATTCCCCATTTCTTTGCTGTATTCCTGTTACGTGACCAGAATTCCTCGAGTGACAGACATGTGGAGGCGGCCGACAGATATGTGAATAATAAGCTTCGCTGTGACCCAGCGGCCTCCGCACCTCTTCCAGTAAAGTGTTCTGGAAGTCTTCCCAGTTGGTGCAGCAATACCGAGCTCCACCTCGACCGATAATCATCATTGGACAACCCTCGGACCAAGCGCGCGAACAGTGGCGCCTCCTTGTACCATGTCGGTAGCTGCTGACTCGAGTTCCGCCGAGAAAAAGGACGGGGTCTATACGCCGGTACGTCGAAATACTTGACAGTTGCTGTAAGCAGCCTAGAAGTACAGTAGATTGCGGTATTGTCATTTGCAACTATTACCCTGGTTGGTCCCATCCTCCACTGGACCAAGCCATTCGAGAGGTGTGGAGGGTCCCAGTTGAACGAATGTCTTATCTCTATGGTCTGTATCCGTGGACGTACACGTATGGACTATGTGGGCTGGTCGGCGCCGGATCCGGCCCCAGACACATTGCGAGTCTTCATTGCTGCGGTGCTGGTTGTCGACGAGGCCAAGGGCGCTTCTAGCGCATTGTTCGCGGTGGTTTTGTTGGACATGAATTGGGACAAATACGCGTACGGAGTAGTTGGTTCGTGTTATCAACACCGCGCTGAGGTGCCCTATCTAGGTAGGCAGTACGATCCTGTCCGTTGCAAAAGGCCCGCCCAAGAGAGGCAGCGTGCGGATTGCACACTGTCCATATCCGCCCACCCAATCCAATCATGTCGTCAGTCCTAACGGTCCGGTTGCAAGGATTATGGATGCATGAGCGGGCTGCATGCACCATTTTGTCCCTCCGGGGTCTGGTCTGGCCTGGCCCAGGGTCGGGTTCCCGAACGAAAATCTCCTCCCCAATCTCTCAAGTTCCTCCTGCGCAGAGGCGGCAAGGACCCACCACACTACCCCGGCGCGGCGAACAGCGCTAGCCCACGCTCTATCGCACTTGCCTTTTGCGTGCGAGACGCAACTGCACAGCAATCGCTTGCCTTGCCTTGCCGGACAGAAGCAGGCAGGTAGGAAGGCGCGCCTGGATCCCTCTCTCCGTCTCGCTCTCTCTCGTTTATAATAAGACCAGCTTTGGCCCCTCCTCCCACGTTCCCTTCCTCCCCTCCCCCAAGCTCCTCTCTTCGACCATTCCCTTTATCCTCGGCAGGTTGACAAGACGTCGTCCCCGTCTGAGAACACCACCAGCCAGCCAGCCACTCAACTCACCACCATGTCCTCCAAGGACTCTTTCCCCGTCCCCGATGGCGGCGAGAAGGGTGTCACCCAGGTTGCCGGCGTCGTGGGTGCCGACACTCACCCTGTTGGCCCTGGCGACGATATTCACAACTCGTACTCCGAGGAGTCCTGGGCCACCCGCAACGGTCTCAACCTCGAGTCGTTCAAGTGCAAGCACTACGGCCACGGCCTGGTCGAGCTCGATCGCTCCATGAAGAGCCGCCATCTTCACATGATTGCCATCGGTGGCTCCATCGGTGCTGGTTTCTTCGTTGGCTCCGGAGGTGCGCTCTTCGATGGTGTTAGTACTTGGCAATGTTTGTCGCCGTAGGCCAGCTCGCTAACCAATCTTAGGGACCCGGTTCCGTTCTTATTACTTTCATGATCATCGGTGTCATGTTGTTCAACACGGTTTTCGCTCTGGGTGAAATGGCCGTCATGTACCCTGTCTCTGGTGGCTTCTACACGTATTCGACCCGCTTCATCGACCCCTCGTGGGGTTTCGCCATGGGCTGGAACTACGTCTTCCAATGGGCCATTGTCCTGCCTCTCGAGCTCGTCGTCTGCGGTATCACCATTGGTTACTGGAACACCGAAATCAGCCTTGCTGTGTGGATCACCATCTTCCTCGTCGCCATCATCTTGATCAACATCTTCGGTACCCTCGGGTACGCCGAGGAAGAATTCTTCGCCTCCCTGTTCAAGCTGGTCGCCATCATCATCTTCATGATCGTGGCCCTGGTCCTCGTTCTTGGCGGAGGTCCCTCTGATGGTCGCTACAACGAGTACTGGGGTGCTCGCTACTGGTACGATCCTGGCGCGTTCAAGAACGGCTTCAAGGGTTTCTGCTCCGTCTTCGTCACTGCTGCCTTCTCCTTCTCCGGTACTGAGCTGGTCGGTCTGGCTGCTGCCGAGTCCCGCAACCCCGTCAAGTCTCTTCCCGGTGCCATCAAGCAGGTCTTCTGGCGTATCACCCTCTTCTACATCGTCGGCCTCTTCATGGTCGGTCTCCTCGTCAGCTCGACCGATCAATCCCTTCTCTCGGAGGCCGCCTTCTCGGACGCCAAGGCCTCGCCTTTCGTGCTCGTCGGTAAATACGCCGGTCTCAACGGTTTCGACCACTTCATGAACGTGACCATCCTGGTTTCTGTCCTGTCCCTGGGTGTCTCCAGTGTGTATGGTGGCTCGCGTACTCTCACTGCTCTTGCTCAGCAGGGCTACGCTCCTAAGATCTTTACTTACATTGACAAGTCGGGTCGCCCTCTGTACTCTGTCATCATCGTCTCTGTCTGCGGAGCGCTCGCCTACATCAACCTGAGCGCCAATGGTGTCACCGTCTTCAACTGGCTGCTTTCTCTTTCAGGTCTTGCTGCTCTCTTCACCTGGGGCTCCATCTGCCTTGCCCACATCCGCTTCCGCAAGGCTTGGGCTTACCACGGCCACACCATCGACGAGATTCCGTTTCACGCTGTCGGTGGTGTGTACGGCTCCTGGCTTGGTCTCTCCCTCAACATCATTGTGTTAATTGCTCAGGTATGCTCTCGTCGTCCCCTTTGCTACAATTTTTGTTCAGCCTTACTAACGGCTTGCGCAGACCTACACTGCCATCGTCGCTCCTCCCGGCGAGCCTGGCTTCGGTACCGCCGAATCCTTCTTCCAGTCATATCTTGCTGTCCCGGTTGTCATCGTCTTCTGGATCATCGGTTTCGCCTGGAAGCGCACCGGCTGGCTCCGCACCCACCAGATGGATGTCGACACTGGTCGTCGTGAGCTCGACTGGGATGCCATGAACGCCTACCGCGCCAAGGTCGCCTCCTGGCCCGCGTGGCGCCGCATCTTGCACAAGGTCTGGTAAGATCTTGTGTCTTGACGCGCGCTATGATCTCATCGAGGGTTGGATAGTTTCGAACGCTTCATGTACATGTGTGAATGCTTGCCATGAGGCCGGTTCATGACGATGATATATTGCTGTACAATTTTTAGTACTAGATACCATTTGATATTGTGTCATCTTACCAAGATCTCCATGTCTTTGCAGGCGGTTGTGCAAACGTTGGCTTGATTGATACAATTGCGATGCGGGCATCTTGGGGATTTATTCACTTCAGCCTCGCCATGTCGTCCACGCCTTTAGTCACGCGTTCCCACTCGTCGCGCCCTTTGCAAACAACTTGTGGAGCTGATCATGTCGAGAAATCCATGGTATTACCAAGTTGTAGTGGGAATATAATTACATGATGCCCACAAGGTCCTTTTGACAAGGTCCTTTTGATCCGTACGGGCCGACGTTAACCTCACCGCGGTTTGTTCTCGTCAAAGTTGTAGCATACCACGTGACATTGCCCAAGCTTCCAGAAGCAGCCAGCCATGACGACGCCTTCACCAGCCAGATCGATCCCTGGCTGGCCGCGGCTTGCGGACGTAGACTTTCGGTTCTTTTGTAATTAGCGGACTTCATAGCTTGTCGACATTATTGCAACAGATGGATAGAACTCCTGCGACGCATTATCGCTCGACCATGGTGCGCGCGTCGCCTACGGCGGCGCGCGCCATCTTCTTCAACACTGTCCGTTCGTCTGCCTCGCGGTATCGATCCCACGTGTCCAGGCCCTCCTTGGCCTGGATGCTCAGCGTCTCGTAGCCCTGCTTGATGACGTCGGCGACTTGGACTGTCGTCAAGTTGCTGGGCCTCTTCTTGTGGCCGGCGTTATCGACGAGCATCTGCTTGTAGTGCGCGCTGACGTTGATGAGCGTGTCAATGGAGTTGCTTCCCCGATTGGCCAGGCGGTAGTTTTCCTTGAACTTGGCGAGGACGTCGCCGGACTCAACGACCTTGTAGAAGAGATCGTCGTAGGCGGCGGGCGTGGGCAGGAAAGCCTCGCCCGCGGACAGCGAGAGGGCTACCAGGTTGACGACGTGGTCGAGGAGGGTCTCAATGTGCGTGAGGTCCTTCAGGTCGGCCGTGTACTGGGTCAGGAAGCGAATCAGGGACAGCAGGGAGCGGAAGAGCTCGGACCAGTGGTACTTTAGCCTCGTGCGCGAGCGGGACAGGTACGATATGATGCGAAGCATGATGCCGACGCAGAGGGTGTACAGGTTCACGTCCAGGCGTTTGCGGAGATTGTGGTTGACGCCGTCCACCATGGCATCCAGCAACGCCGCAGCAATGTTCCGGTCGCCCTTGACCAAGGGTAGAAACGGCTGACGGTGCCGACACAGACGTACAGGTGTACTCAGCTCGTCGCTGCAGAGCTTCTTGCAGATGACGGGATCCTCGACCAGGAGGCGGAACACCATTAGGTTGAGGTGGGCGTACGACGTTGCCCGTGCCGAGAGGTGGGCGTGCTGTAGAAAGTAGGATGTCAGGGAGAGGTAGCTGGAGATTGGTTGCTCCTCGCCCTTTTCGCTCGTAAGCGTGACGAGGTTGAAGCAGAAGAGCTTGTTGGCGTGGGCAAAGTCATAGGCCGAGAGGAGAAGCGCAGCGTTGGGGCCGGGCAGCTGCGTGAACATGTGCTTGGCCGTCTCGGCATCGTAAATGGGCTTCTTCTCCGGCTTCGGTCCTGGCGCAATGAACCCGAGGCCTATCAAGCTCAGCGTTCTGCTCAATGTCCAGCCCTCGGGAATGTCATCCTGGATCTCGACGTAGTCTGCCCTGACGGCCTGGCACGTGTATCCGACGCATCGTATGATCTTCTGTATTGTCGCCTCGTTGACAAAGTCGTTCAGGCGGAGCTGGTACGGATTCTGGAATTCGAACTTGTTGTAGTTGGCGAGCAGCCCGATGAGTGTAAAGGGCTCGAGCACGGGACCTGGCTTCTCGGAATCGTGGACGAACTTCATGATGGACGGGAACAGGTCCCTGTGTATCATGTATGTGAGGAGGGTCGTCTGGTACGCGCCCGCCGTCGTCGCCAGGAGGACCTCGACGGCCTTGTGCCGCACGTCCACTGCTTCGTTAGCCGGAGTATTGGGGGGTGCTTCACGGGCTCGTCATACGGTGCTTCCCATTTCTGATGATTCCATCCAGCGTTCCCACGAAGTCCGTGAATATCGTATCGATGTAGTCGAGGCCGGCGAGGACTGCAATGGCATCGGAGCTAGGTTGGGGGTATTTCTTCGAGAGCACGCTCGAGAGGAATACGCTGAGGGTCTGCCCCTGTCAGATGTCTTCTTCCAGACTTTGTGTGGGCTGCTCACATCTAGTGCATTGGAGGTCGCGCCGGCATGTCCACCCTTTAATGTCGCGACAGCGCGCGCAAACAGCTCCCTCGTCCTCCCCTCGAGCTGGAGCATGTCCGAGGGCGAGACCTCGTTCAGCGTTGCCCGGAACGCATGTCGATCTGGCTTGAGCAGAAAGAACTCTTTCCAGAATCCCTCTGACTTGTCCACATCGTCGTCGTCATCCTGGTGTCGCGTGCGCGGTCAGCGGCGGGTTCTCGGTGGTCGTGGTGGCAGCTTCTGCGTACGTACCTGGGAAAGTCAGACGTGCGCGTGCCAGATTGAGGGGAGAGAGATAGGCAGGCGAACCTTGAAGAGAGACTCGTAGAGACCGACAATCTTCGGTGTCAGGACCTCAGGCTGAGGCTGCCGCGTGAGAGGTGATGACTCCATAGGGAGTTGTGTTCAGGTTTGGGAATGCCCATGAGGTCGGAGTAGATGGTGGCTGATGGCGTTGTCAATGGTCGTGGGGCGCGAGTGACGTGCGCCACGACGCTCAGCTCAGCAGCGGTGAGCGCATCAGCAGTCTGGTCGCGCTCGACATTCAAAGCACCAATATGATGCTTAGCATGACATTCCGAGTCATCGATCCAGTGGGCAGGACTTGACTCATGATTGCTCATCATTCACATGTGCATGTTCTATTCGGAGAATGCTTCCAAAATGCATCTGATTGATGCCAAGGTACCAACACCTGGTGAGCTCATATTAGGGATGCGAATCACCAGCAACACTATATGGCAGAAGGATCTGTCCTAACACCAACCAGAATTTAATATTCCAAAACAGAAAACACATTCTGTGGCTCACCCACCTAAACCATTGCAATTATGGCCATGGTTCGCAGCTTGGCCAGTGTTACAGGGTAGGTGGATAGCCACAGTCAATGAACGAACCAAGTCAACAAACGTCAGGTCAAGACAATACCTTAGATAGGTACAATCCGTAGCGCCATCCGAATCAAACGATGTTGCCAGCAAAATCGAGAGTAATGACTGACTGTGCCCAGATCCATTATGCCTTCGAATGCGGTGTAGCAATCGTGCCGAGCACGATAATCAAGCTTGGCGAGGCTGCCAAACCACAATCCCTCGAATCTGGAACACCGTCGATGCTTTTCCGCCTCGCGAAGTGCAGCCTCAGTCAGCCAGCTCGTGAACATTGCTCTGCCCTTGCAACAGTACGCTGGTACCAACACTCCTTTTCGAAGCGGATGTCCAAAAGCTGCACGACCAAGGGTCCGAAAGCAACAATCGGCAAAAGCATTGCAATGAACACGATGCCTGCGTGGGCCAACCTTGTTCCCCACTCCCTGGCAAGCCGGGGCTTTATCGAACACGGGGATGTCCCCGGATGCCATGTGCCATGTCACGCCAGACTCGACTCGCTCGAGTAGGATACTTAGTGAGGCGTCATGGCGAATTGCTTCTGTTGATTAAGTCTCGGGTAGGCAGTAGTTGTGGGCACAGGGCGAGCCGTGTACCTGAAACGTTGGGCGTGAACCCGACTCACCACTATCACACAGCATAGATGAAAGGGCCCAATCAACAGACGCGCGGCGCCTATTCGGCGTGTTGGTTGGGCCTCCCAAATGAACGGGTTGCAGCTGGACTACCATGCCAATTCCACGAGTCGCGTAATTAGAGTCTAAAATCCTTAGATCCGAGTTGTCATTGCGGGAACTGGCACATCCCTGCCTGTCAAACGTGCTTTGACAAGCCGTAAGTGGAAACCAAGAACTGGCAGCGAGTCGCCACGACTCACGACTCACGACTCACGAGAGAGAAGCTTCGCATTCCCCCCGTCATTTCTCAATGTGCACTGGGCAGCATTGGCCAGCCCATAAATTGGTTGGCCATATGCTCATTTTTCGAGTTCATCCCCCCGTGTCCAATATGTGTTAGGGCAAGGACCCCTGACCGGGTGACCTTGTCCGTCCACTCTTTCTGGGTGTGCCGAGGCCAGGATTGTTGCATCAATAGGCAGCAGGCTTGCAGTAGGGAGCTGTCCATGGGTGACCGCAATCTAAACACGCCCAGTGCTTGCACAAGTACCCAGCTTGCGAGGTGACAGCAATCATCGTTGCGGATGTGACTCCAGATTCGCTATCTAGCTGCGGCTGGGCTGTACTGATCGAAGCGAGACGATCTGTGTATCGCAAGCAGGTTGTGTTCTCCGAATAGGTATCTTAATCGCGCTCTCGAAAAGTGACGCTTTTGCTGAGAACCAAGGCAGCAAATGATTCATGACGCGCCTCGGAACCTTTCATTCATGTGCGTGAGCCAGTGCTGCCGGAGTCTAGGTACTTACGCCTGGAAGACATGTCTCAGTGCCCATGTGAGGCACTGGCAGATGATTAAGTAGGACCTTGGACAATCGTTGACACACGTGTTGGCCTCATGCGAGATAAGCAAGTTCACCTCGAGTCACATGATCGTTAGACACTCTGATCTGCCCCGACGATCCAAACCTCAGCATGGTCCATGGATAAACTGGGGATCAATAACTTACTGTACTGGACGCCGACCGCAGATCATAACAGAGGTTGACGCATATAACAGAACCACCCAGAGTCGACCTAGTAGGTCCGGATCCGATTCCTGGCACACGGTCGCGCAAATCATGAGGGCCCGAAGATAATTTATTGGTGCCTCGAAAATTTCGGCGGACAGACTACCAGCATGGCAGCTGACCATCCTTCAGCCCAGCAGCTAAGCAATGATAATAGAGAGGGGACGGTCTGGCCTTGTGGAATCCGCTGAAGACCTTGTCGCGCCGTCGATTTTTGCTTTTCCTCAGCCTCGGGACGAATTGCCTTCGAAGAAAATGGAACCATTCGGTTCGTCGAGGCACTAAAGTAATTTTAGTTAATATTGAGGATTGCAGATCAGACTCCCATGAACAATGACTCCATTTTTCGAGGTACCGTCTGTCAGGATCACCAATGGGCTTCGATGCCGCCTGCAGTAGCTCCAAGCAGTGCGCCACGCCGCCGGCACCAGCAAAGGTGCTCACGGCAGAGTAAAAAACCTCTCGACCGACTTCTCACTAAAAGGCACGCCGGCAGTCGAGGAAAGAGGAGACATCTGGTTGCCACAGTCGCGGCCAAACTCAAGAGCCGATGGGCTCGACGAAGCATGCTGCAACAACGGGAAGCTAGTACGCGTCTTTTGACGTTGAGACAGTTGAGGATTAGACGAGCACTTCCTCTTGAAAGGACCTTTTGCCTCCCTCAAGATTCGTACTGTACCGCCCACGCCTGAGCGTTGAACGCACTTTTATCCAACAGTTCGAGATGATACAGGCCATTGTGTAATGCGACCGTGGCCCACGAACGCATCTCAAAATCTCGTGTCAGAGTGGATCGTGTAACGGGAATCTGAGGGTAATATCGACCGACCCCGTTGCAGTGCAGCACGCCGTCGTCAACTCGCAATGTTTGACGAATCAGCTGCTCACAGAGGAAGCTTCCAGGTCCAGGATCGACACCACAGTCGCCGACCTTGCGATGACCGTACGCACCCAAATGGGTCGAGAACAGCTTCGTTGTTACGAACTTGCGCAAACGCGACACAGTCTGTTCGACACGAAAGGTTGCCCTGTTAGATTCATGGCTGGTCTCTCCATGGCATGCTCAAAGGCAGAATGAATGATTATTAGCAGGTCAAAGCTTCTGGAGCAGTCGTCCACGTCTAGGTCGGTAGTACGGAGTAATAGTAAAAGAACAGGTGGTCAAGGCTGAAGGCTGCGTTGGTTCGTCGGAAGTAACGTGATGGGCCGAGGATGCATTGTGCAACCAACAATGGTACGAGCCGACAATCGTTACGAAATACGGAAAACAGAAGGATCTTCCCGATTTGTATTGCGTGGTGCCTAGTATGACATCGGGCGGAGAGCCAAACTCCAAAGTGCTCAAGCTCCGGCCAAATGGAAGACCGGACCATGCGACTAGGCGAGAACTACGGAGTAGTGAATGCTGAGTGCCGGCCATCGTTGGAGTTCGGAGTAGTGACTAGCTTGCGAGACGCGCCGAGATCGTCGCGAAAGCAGTGAATACTACCCGAACAAAAGTACGTATGCACTTTGAGCCTTTGAGGACGTCGTCGCGTGTTTCGAAGCTGTCGGGAATACCGCGCTAGCCCGGTCCGAGATTGTAAGTACCTGAGGCAACTGGTAACTTGTAAGCATAGAATGGCCTTTGAGTTTGCGCTTGCCGTCGATAGTGCTGAGAGAGAGAAAGCTTCGAGTACGTATATCTCATGGTGATCTGTGTCTTCCATGATGAGCCCAGGGCAGAGCTCACGACCTCTATACGTAGGGGACGTGAGTATCCGTACTTGGTGCGTCATGTCGGTATCCAAACAGAGCTCTGTAACTGTCAACCGTCAACCGTCGGGTGCCTCTCTGGACTCTGGAGACTCGATTCGTAGACGTTGTTAGGTGGGACGGGAGCAGGGACAAGGTGCTGATGTCACCCCGGCAGCCACCGCACAAGCTCCAGTCTTCTCTCTCGTGGGTCTGTGGGTGGAAAGTGGATGGGGGAATATCGGGACGTGGGACTCCTTAGTACGTACGTACTAATGGCCAGAACAAGAACACGACGCGGGTGAGGCCGACAGGGACGCCGACAAGTTGATGGATTATTGCAGGTAGGTTTTTCAGAGAGCAGCTCGCTTCAAAACTGGCGACTAATCGTACTTACCTATAATGTCTAAGGGGAGAAGTGTGCTTCCTTCCTCCTGCATTGCGTCTCCCGTCCTACCCAAGGTACCTTACCTAACATGCACATGCTCGGTGATGCTTCGATACCATGCGACGAGAAGTGGGGCCTTGCAGCCTGAGGCGAGTGCCTGACATTCGAAATGCAGGCAGGTTCCCCGAGGCACACCATCTGGCGGCAAGAGCACCCACACAACCTCCTCATTTGGGTGATTGATGTTGGTGCCGCACTTTGTGTCAGCAGTGCAACTATTAATCGGCAATGCTATGAGTGGTACGGGTACAGCCTCACTTTGGGTGACAGCAGAGACGATTGATTGCAGCACGGTCTACTTTCGCTCACGGTAGACCGCGCTGCGAGACATGACACACCATCCGAGGCACACATGCTGCGGATTGCCCTGGAAACGGGCTTATTCTCCCCCTCTGCACACAACTGTTCCAGAAGACCACCGTGTCGGCCACATCAATTGCCCGTGGCAGATAGGTCAGACATGGCGAGACATTGTGGTTGGATCACGAGTTGCCTATGCGATCGTCGCTGTCCCGACCTTTGTTACGTTCGTAGTCAAAACGGTCCGGACTCTCTTCGGTTCGTGTCTGAACCTACAAATACGAGGTATACAAATATGCAAGCTACGTAAGTGTTTTATGCACCGCACTCCGCCATCCGC